TATATTCCCTTATTTTTATAAGAAAAATATGATAAAAGTAGCTAACCAAAAAATAAAGGTATAGAATAAATGTTACTAAAACAATATGGTAAAGTTCAAAATATTAAAAAAAATTATTTGACTTTTTAAGGTTACAATTATACTCCAATTTTATGTAATAAGTTATATTTTAATGTTACTTGATGAATTTATTAAAAAAATGTAAGCTTCTGGTACAGCAACAAGAACTGCAATATTTTCATTAAAAAAAAATTCAAAGCTAAAAAACAGTCTCCAAGGAAAGGCAACAAAATATCTCATAGGTGCTTTCCAGCCGGCCTCTAATTTGCGGGCAGCGGCTCGAATCGGCCCAATACAAAATGCCGACGGAAGGTGGTTACCCGAAAAATGGGCGCGCTCGACGTACCTTTCTTCTCTTTCTCTTTTCTTCTCTTCAGTGGAGGGTGGGCCCAAGTACCTGTGTGTGCAACAAAGAGAGCCGAACACAGCTGTCTTTGCTTCTCTTTCTTGCAGAACTATACAAGTGAGAGGCGTGGCTTACCACTGCATAGCGTGTGGTGAAATTTCTTGTATGGCTTGTATAACAGTTTGTTCAAATTTTGTTTAATTATTAAAGAAAATGGAAAATTGTTATTATTTTTAATGTTTTGGATACATTTAAAACTTTTAAAGATTTATTGATGGTTATAAAGAACAAATTCTATTATTTAATTGATTATTTGGAATATAAAAGTTAGAATACTTTTATGGAAATGGGAGAATGTTTGAAATGTATTTTTAAAGAAATTTTTGAGCGTTTTTAGGGTTTTTCTGAGTGTTTTTTATATTATAAAACCTAATTTTAAACCTAAATTAAACCTTAATTTTTAAATTAACATTTTGAAATTATAGAAATGTAACTTTTTATAGTAAGTTTCTTACTTTCTTAAGATTTCTTTTATTTTCTGATGAAAAATGTTAAAGAAGATTCATAATACAAGTTTTTAAAATATCTAGTCCTTTTTAAATTGAAAAATATTGTAACTTCTTAAAGGTATTTGATAATAAGATAAGAAAAGATAGTTTAAGTTTTTTATAATGATTTATTATACTATGAAAAATATTAAAAGTTAAAAGTTCCTTCTTCTAAACTATACAGATTTTTAAGACTAAGATTTATAAGAAGACTATTTTCGATATTTTAAGACTAAGATTTATAAGAAGACTACAGATTCGATTTTAAAAGAGTTATTTAGATCTTTAAAACTCAAAATTTTTTAAATATTAAAATTTTCAAAAATTTCTATTACAAAATTTTAAAAATATAAACATCTTAATTAAACTGGTGACTGGTGGTGACACTGAGGGATTACGAAACGAAATCGTAATACCAGCAGCATTAAGCTGGAACCCTGCCCTGGAACATATCGCAGTTCCCATTCACACCCCTAATGAGTTCGGGGGTTGCACTTCGTACCCACCATTCGGTATTCGGTCCGGTCCCAATTGTTTTCGCATTTTTGAGGGTAATTGTATCGTGTTTGTTTAGAAATTGGTTTCATCGAGTTGCCCCGAAAATGGAGGAAGGGGTGGGTTTTCGGGTGTCCGATTCGGTTTCGGTTTCGGTTTTGGAAGGGCAAGTGTCACGGGCGGCAAGTTCAACCCTTTTCCGGGCCAGCTCCTGATTTTTGCAAGGATCACTCGTTATCCTTTTTCCAAACAAAGTCTGGTCGATTTTGTGGTACAGTCGGTACCATTTGGCAAAGGGGGTTCCGATAAAAGAATTGGAAAGAGTATTGATAAGGGATTATTGGAAAATTTTGTAATAGATGGGATGGTTTCTGATGAAGGAGGGTTTTTGGATGATATGACAGTAATTAATGATCCTTAACACCGGGTTTTTATGTTACTATCGTCTCCCAACGATATCTTACAGATGATCCACCCAAGAAATCCATTTTTTATTGCGATCTTGACCACGCCTTGCGTCGCTGCCGACGTCGCCGTCGCTAGAAACAACAACATCGTCGATAGAAGTCAGCCCACTTTTGATTATCACACCACTACAGGGGCAGTACCGTAATGGGAGGGTATGCAGATGTTGATAATTCCAAGGCTGTGGGTTTTGGAAAATGGTGAAGGAAATCTTGGCAGAAGTCTCGGAAGAACAACAGGTACTGGAAAGAGGGTGAGAGTGAGACTCATTACAGCGATCCCAGGAGTGAGCGAGCGAGAGAGGGTGGCGCACGGGCACTTACAAGAGTGAGAGCGAGACAGAGCGTGTGGAAAAAGTGCAAAGCAATTTACGCTCATTAAACATTTGTCATTTCATTCCTCAAAATGCAAATAGCCCCCGCACGCACACCCTCACGGACGACAGAGCCCATTTGCTCGCCTGCTCGCACCTACTGCCCCCACAGAGTCACTCACACACGCTGCGACCCTCTCGCCCAACAACAAAGAAGCCCCAAGCTGGAGGCATTTGCAATTAATTGAATCGGCGGCAAGAGGAAGAGCGCATGCTCGACACATTGTACAGTTGAGTTGCCAGGGCGAAAGAAGAGGAGGAAAGAACGCGGCCGCAACTAATAAGAAAAAAGCTAAGCACAAAACCCCACAAAAATGCCAAAAAGAAAGAGCCAACCCCACACACACACCAGCGCACACAATCAGTGGCACTAAAAAAGGCAGAAACAAAAACAACGCTGGCAGAGGTGAAGAGAGGCGAGGAGAGCAGAGAAGAGAGCGCCAGCTAGAGCAAGAGAGCGGGCGGCAGGCAGAGCAGTCAGCGTACGTTAAAATAATATGGCGGCAGCGCGGCGAAAAAAGAAATGAGACGAAGCGAACCCCACGATTTCATCAGTCGAACCACAACAGCAACAACAACAACGGCGATTGAATGATGAAAGCCTGTGGGGCGCTGCAACGTGTTGGAGGGGGAGGGAGGCGGAAGAAGAAGACCGACAGAGCCCAAAAGCGGCGCAACCCATACAAATGCGTTCACACACACAGCCCCGAGCACTCGACAAAGCACAAAATGAAAAATGAAATGCCAGCGAAAGGCACAGTGGGACGAGGGTGGTCTGAAACCTGAGTTGCAAAATATATAAAAAATTGGATGAATAAAATAATACCGAATATAAATATGTAAGCTATTATTTATTATAATTTTTTTTTGTGTATAATATTTTATACATTTTTCAGTCTTAGTTGCAAAAGGAACTATCTGAAGAACCTACTCCACCCAGATTCGGCACTTCTCATAATACCATACACATTAGTTCGATCGAACTTTTTGTTGGAACCACTGTGCACTCTGTGTATAAGCCACTGCAGGGAGAAAAAAACGATGAAAAAATTAATGAAAATGCAATCCAATGATAATGGATCGCATGCCACTGTTCGAGCAAAACAACAGTTCGCCCTGGCTCTGCGCATACGCCACCCCACCCCCTGGCGTTTCCACGTCCCGTCTGTTTCCGACAAGCACAACTAATAATAACGTAAAGCCGATCCGATCCCTGGCTGCAGAGCACAAGGGAAGGCGATGGAAGCGGAGGAGGAGGAGGGGGAAGGTCGTCCAGGTAGGCCGGGTGGAGTGGCCGATGGTGGTGGTGGTGGAATGAAAAAAGAAGATGAAGTATAGCAACAATCGGGCGGCAGACATTCGAGTGTAGACACAGAAGGCAGAAAACTGGATTCGGTCGTGGAGGCTAGCGGGGTTGGAGGGGAGCACGCAGTCGGGGTGGTTGGAACCGCACACACACATGCCCGCCAGCTGTATCTCGATTTTTGTATCTTTTTTTGCTGCCTGCCACTGCCGCCGCTGCTGGCTGCTGCTGCTGCTGTTTCATTCCAACCCCAGCCGCGCAGAGGGCATCGCACTCATACACGTTGGCCGGGGTCGGCTGCCCCTAGTGCCGTCGCACTCGCTCCCGCGCATTTCGGTATAGAGAAAAGTTATCGGGTGCGAGAGAAACTGGTTTCCGCGGCCAGCTGCTAGAGCAGCACCAACACGAACACATGCGCGCTTCATTTTGTTTCGCCGCGACCGTGTGAGTTGTCCGGCAGAGTTGTCGCCCCGCCGACAGGCGAGTGCTCGACGGCGCTCTCCGAACCTCCTCAGTCTGCAACTCAACTCGACGGCGTGCGGTTCTCTCCGACGGCGACTGCGACAACTACAACGACAACAACAGCGTTAACGTCAGCGTCAGCGTTTCTGCCTATCCGCGCCGTGCCGTGCATGTGCTGTGAATGAAAAACTCTCGCGCCGACGCGACGCACCACACACCAGAAACCGACACCCGCGGCCAGTGTCCACTCGGATTCGGACTATTTATTTATTTATTTATGTTTTTTTAATCAAATGCCCAGATGTGCACTCGATTAGTGTAATGCAACTGCAATTCTTCGGTGAACATGAGAAGAAGTAGAAACGTCGGCGGCTTCGGCGCTTCGTGGCGCGACTGGAAAGTGTAGCGGCGGCGGCGTGGGTCGAGGGGAGGCCGAAGAAACGAAGCCGAAAAACAAGCATCTAGAGTTGTCGACGTGCGTTTTTTATGTAAGATCGCGTGCACAGGTGCTTCGGTGGCCCCGAGCATATTAATTACACTGAGAAAAAAAAAACTGCAAGCGGAGCCAGTGTGAGTTAATTACAGCGACGACCGCCCCCCCCCCAACCATCACATTACACACACACATATCTACACAATTACATAGAGAAGCCGCTGGGTCGGCGGGGAAGAGGAGAGGAGATACTGCACTTCGTCGGATATTATTCGTTTATTTTGTGTACATTTTTGTGTTGTCTTGCGTTTTGTGGCCTGTATATGTTATATGTTGTGTGTTGCCTGTATGTTTATACTATTTATTTATTGCCTGTATACGTACAATACATTCATGTGCCTGTGTTTGTGTTCGTTTTGTGTTCTAAAAAAAATAAACTAAAAAGAGAGTCTAAAAACTAAAAAAGAAAGCAATAATGCCAAAAAGAACAGCAACAACAACACCAGCACCACCACCACCACCATCACCAACAACAACAAAAACAACATTCTCGTCGAGTGTCGTCTTCGCAGCCGCCGCAAAAAACAGAAGAACAGTGAAGCCTGTGCCGCATGCATACCTTTAATTTATTACAAACATTGTTTTTATTTTAAATAATGGATCGTCGTGCATTGAAGTTTATGCAAAAAGGTATTTTTTTTGTTATTTAATTTGTTTTTTATTTTGCTTTGCTTAGTTTTTAATTTATAAAAAAAATATATATTTTGTATTAATTAATTTATAAATAAAATTTGTTGTTTTTTTTAATGGCCTGGATCGTGGCATGTTAATCATCATTAAGCGGAGGGTTCCCAGCACTTTGCAAGAAATATGGTTCTGTCATAAAATACACTCCACTGGTGGTAGGCAGGCTCATAAAAAAAAAAAAGCCAAAAAAAAAAAAAAACTTCACAAGTCGCAAAACGAGTTTCCCCCCTCCCTTTCACCATGCTGCCCTTTTTTTTATCCCCCCACCCCCTTCCATCTGCATTGTTGACAACGAAATTTCGCAATGCATGCAGTGTGTACAGTGAGTGTGTGTGTGTTTGGTGGTTGTTTCACCTCCCCCCACCACCATCACCTAGCCCCTTGAGTGTTCCATGGTCTCCCGCCAACAATCCAGCATTGAAAAGCAAAAGTTCTAAGCCAAAAGGTAGCCAATTTTTTATTTTTGTTGTTGGGCCCGAATACCCAAAACTGCATGCGGCAACCCTGCTGCTGCTGCTCTCGCCCCAGCAGTGTGTGCTTTGCTCTCTGCATGTTGCTGCTGCTCTTTGCCTCGCACTCTCCGCCTCTCTCGCGTGCAGCCGAAGTAAACAAAAATGTAATTCCAGGCAGGGTTACCAAGTCATAGACTCTTATGTTACAGGATTGCAGCAAACTAGTCTTGAAATAAAAAAAAAAAAATAAAAAAAGCTTTTATTGAGCTCTCATTAGTTTTTTCTTAATTTTGGATACATTTCTTTAAAACTTTTTTAAATTTTAAATTTTTTTAATTATTCATAAAACTTGTTAATTTTGTATTTATTTTTTGTTTAAACCCTAAATATTTAAACCCATGTGCATATGTTTTTTTTTATCAGTAACTTTTTAGTTTGCCTGACAACCCTATGTATTAAACACCTACGCCACCACGGTTTGGGGATAAAAATGTGTATGAACTGCCCATCGTTTCATCTCGTTCACTCGAAATTTTGTTCTGTTCTTTCGTTTTCTTGTTGTTGTTCTGTGTTGTTTTTGGTTTTGTTGTTCGTTTATTGCAAAAACTCGTTTGTGTATCAATCAATATGCTGTCATGCTGTCACCCTCTCATTCTCACACTCGGTAGCACAGCTTTGATTTGAATTATCACTTTCCCTCCATCATTTATCCCCTCACCTCTCACCATCCTCACCCCCACCTCTATCTCCATCTCCATCTCCTCCTTACCTTGCCTTTTTTTGGCAGCGCATGCTCTCGCATGTTGTATCTTGTACTCCTCCGGATGATGCTGTGTTGCTTCAAGTGCAACTTACCGATGATTTTTGCTCTCCACAGTCTCCATAAATACACGCATACACACATGCACATTCATGCACATATCAGAAAACCAGTCTTCTTCTTTTGTTTTTTCTTTGGAGCTTCTTTGGAGTTTTCTCAAGAGGTCTCTCCAACAACAACATATCTTGTTACCCTGCGGGTGGCTCTGATCATGGGTTCTTGAAATAAATATATACATACATGTATATACATGTAAAAAAAAAAAAGCACCACCCTGAGCAAAAACCACCCTCTATATATAAGAGGTCTTTTACCGCCCATCACCCTATTACTAATTTGGTTTTACCCTTCTTTTGCCGGTTTATTCTTTTTTTTTTCTTTTATTTTATTTTTTTATTATTGTATTACAAGGATCCAGCATTTTATGGGTCTCGAGGGCATTTGGTTTGGGAATCTTTATTCTCACACAAGAAGTTGGAAATTGGAATTATACTATAGCGGCGTATAGCATTTCCAGTCCTTTACAACAAGGTCCTTGAACTTGGTTGGCTCCTTTATTGGCGGCATTATTTGAACGTAGCAGCTGCGTGGCTAAATTTTCTTTCACATGGAAATGGAAAAAATATATACACACACACACACACACACACACATACAAAGTACTATGGTGTGGAAATTCGAAAACCCATAGATTAAGATCGATGGATGGAAACGATGGCAACCCCTCTCTCTCTCTGTACTTATAGCCTATATACTCTATGGTTGGTACTCGCCCTCTTCCGTTATTTCCTTTTTGTCCTTTCTTCTTTCATACTCGCATTTGTTCTCGGCCGGATTGCCAATAAAGGACACCTTTTTGCATTTTTGGCAAAAACGAGAAGGGCAACGGGGAGTGGGGGGAAAGGGAAATGGAAAGGGAAGGGAAACGAAATAAAAGAGAAATATTTTCGGTTTCTACCTAAAAGCGTATATGTTTTTTGAGGTTCACAAAATTATTTGTTTCAATAAATCTTAGGATTCGACATTTTTGAGAGACAAAAAAAAAAAAGAGTGACTTAAGCCCTGATTTTGTCCTTTTTTTTTGTTCCATTTGGAGAGTTTTTATTATGTTTTATTGGATGTTTTTTCTTTATAAAGATTATTCGAATATATTTTAGGTTTTTGGCTTTTTTCAAAGATTATTTTTTTTTTTAATTTATTGGAAGGCTTTTAGTAATTATACTTTGTTTTATCTATAGAGTCTGTCCATAGGTTCTATCTATATCTATAGTTTTGATCTATAAGGAAAATATATTAAATATTCAAAAGCTTATTATTATTATAAAGTTAGTTTTTGATAATCTTAAAAAATTTAATATTAGTCTTGGGGTGAACCTTATTTTTAAAATAGAATTGATAATATAGTTTATATTTATTTAAAAATATTAAATACTTTGAAGCTTGTTCTTGAAACATTATTTTGCTTGAAAAATCATGCTTTTCTCTATGGGTTCTGTTGGGTTATATTATTTTTAGGATAATATTTAAAATAAAAAGCATGATTTTTTATATTATACGATTTTTTGGAATGGTTTAAAGTATCTTATGGTTATCTTCCACTCTTAAGGTTCTTATAGTCCAAAAATAAACGAAATCATAGGCTCTGTTTTTGAGATAATCTTGAATATATAAAACCTGGTTCTAATAGATGTATTCTTTGTCGGGTTCTGTATTGTGATATTATTTAGAAGGAACTATTTCATATATGGATATATGTTTATGTATAATTGAGGATATATTATGGATATATATCATGATATACTATATTATTCCATTTTTTATAATTTTCTTAACCATCTTATACCCATCCTTAATGCTTAATGATCTTATACTCATACTGCAAATAAATGAATTCATAGGCCCTGTTTTTAAGATAATCTTTAATTTGTAAAACCTGTTTATTATATTATTTTATTTTTAAAATCATGCTTTGTTTGGGTATTTTTTTGTTGTATTTTTGGGATTCTGTTTGCACTTGGCTTGTTAATATTTGTAGTCATGCTGGTGGAACAAGAGAAGACCATTAGGAACCCACATACCATACCATACCATAACCATCCTAACCATGTGTGCGGTCCACGATGATGGGCAAATATTTATTCTCAACTCTCCACTGACCCTTTCTCTTCTTCTTCTTTTTATTTTTATTTTGGAATCCAATCCCACAGAGCGGACACTGAAAGCGACAATCCAACAGCCCCGGGGAATCCGACTGGAAACTCAGGAAACACTCCAGTTGCCACTCAACCCCTTAAGGATAACTCCAATATCCGCGAGAAGCCGCTCCACAACAACAACAATAATAATAATAATAATAATAATAATAATAATAATAACAACAACAACAATAGTGGTAATCCTCACCAGCAACAACAACAAAGGCCACTCAAGTGCCTGGAAACTCTCGCCCAAAAGGCGGGCATCACCTTTGACGAAAAATACGATGTGGCCAGTCCCCCCCATCCCGGTATTGCCCAGGCACAGACACCAGGATCGGGAACCGGATCAGCACCAGCATCAGCACCAACAACACCAACAACAACACAATCAGCTACTGGAAAACTTACTCCAACCAATCATCGCCAGCGTCACAACCAAACGCCCAGCACCCCCAACACCAACTCCAACTCCAATTCCAACTCCCAACTGCCCACCCGTCACAGCCTCACGCTGGAGAAGTCCCAGAATCCGGGTCAGCAGGTGGCGACCACCGCCACGGTGCCACTTCAGATACTCCCAGAGCAACTGCAGCAGTTTTACGCCAGTAATCCCTATGCCATCCATGTGAAGCAGGAGTTTCCCAGCGCTGGCGGCGGAGGAGCCGGCACAGAACTGAAGCATGCCACGAATATCCTGGACGTGCAACAGCACATGCAACTGCAGCAGCAGCTCTCCGATGCGGCCAGCGGGGCGGCTGGAGGAGCAGGTGGCGCGACTGCGGGAGGCGGTGGAGCGGCCGGAGGAGCTCCTAGTCCGGCCAATGCCCAGAATGCCCAGCAGCAGCAGTCCACTGCCATCAGCACCATGTCGCCCATGCAGCTGACCGCCGGCGGAGTGGGCGGGGACTGGGCCCAGGGCCGGGCTGTCCAGTTGATGCAGCCCTCCACACAGTTCCTCTACCCGCAGATGTTCGTATCCGGGAACCTGCTTCATCCGGGCAGCCTCGGGCAGCAGCCCATCCAGGTGATAACGGCGGGGAAACCTTTTCAGGGCAATGCCCCCCAGATGATCGCCACCACCACCCAGAACGCCAAGCAGATGATCCAGGCGGCAGGCCAGGCGGGATTTGCGGGAGGGGCCTACGCCTCGTGCATCCCCTCGCTCCCGTCCCTCCACTCCACCTCCACCCACAACCAGTCGCCCCAGACGCTGCTCATCTCGCCCGTGAACGTCATCTCCCCCTCCCCCCAGCAGCAGCAGAACCTCCTCCAGTCGATGGCCGCCGCCCAGCAGCAGCTCTCGCAGCAGCAGCAGCAACAACAACAACAACAACAGCAGCAACTCACGCAGCAGCAGCAACAGCAGCAGCTGACGGCCGCCCTCGCCAAGGTGGGCGTGGACGCGCAGGGCAAGCTGGCCCAGAAGGTGGTCCAGAAGGTGACCACCACGAGTAGCACCGTGCAGGCCACAGCCGGCGGAGCAGGAGTGGGTGTGGGACAGGCTGGTGCCACCCAGGCCCAACAGGTGCAGCAGGTGCAGCAGCAGCAGCAGCAGACCACCCAGACCACGCAGCAGTGCGTCCAGGTCTCGCAGTCCACCCTCCCGGGGGTGGCCCAGTCGGTGCAGGCGGCCCAGCTCCTGAATCCCGGCCAGGCACAGCAGATGCAGATACCCTGGTTCTGGCAGAACGGCGCCGGACTCCAGCCCTTCGGAGCCAATCCCATCATCCTGAGGGGGCAGCCGGACGGCACGTCGGGGATGTTCATTCAGCAGCCGACGACGCAGACGCTCCAGACGCAGCAGAACCGTAAGATTGGCTTGTAATCCGAGGATTACTGAGTGGCTACTAACTACCCCTTCCCTTGCAGAGATCATCCAGTGCAATGTGACCCAGACTCCGACCAAGGCGCGCACCCAGCTGGACGCACTGGCTCCGAAGCAGCAGCAGGCGGGGAACAGCAACCAGGCGCAGCAGCAGCAGCTGGCGGTGGCCACTGCCCAGTTGCAGCAGCAGCAGCAGCAGCTGACGGCCCTCCGAGCAGGGGCTCCCGTGATGCCCCACAACGGCACCCAGGTGCGTCCGGCCAGCTCCGTCTCCACCCAGACGGCCCAGAACCAGAGCCTGCTGAAGGCCAAGATGCGGACCAAGCAGACGCCGGTGCGCCCGGCCCTGCCCACCCTGAAGACGGAGAACGGGCAGGTGGCGGGTCAGAACAAGGTGGTGGGTCACCTGGCCACAGTGCAGCAGCAGCAGGCGGTGGCGGCGGCCAATCTCCAGCAGGTGGTCAACTCCGCGGGCAACAAGTAAGTGGAAGCTCAATCCCAAACCTCATCCGCATCATCTAACCCTCTAATCTCTTCCAGAATGGTGGTCATGAGTACGACGGGCACTCCGATTACGCTCCAGAATGGCCAGACCCTGCATGCCGCCACTGCGGCCGGAGTGGAGAAGCAGCAGCAGCAGCTGCAGCTCATCCAGAAGCAGCAACTGTTGCAGCAGCAGATCTTCCAGCAGCAGATAGCCGCCCTCCAGAACCAGCAGCAGGCGGCGGCCCAGGCCCAGCAGCAGCAGCAACAGCAAGTCTCTCAGCAGCAGCAGGTGGCAGCTGCCCAGCAGCAGCAACAACAGCAGCAGCAGCAACAGATCCTTCAGGTGCCCACTAGCACCTTCATTACCTCGCAGCAGCAGCAACTGTTGCAGCAACAACTCCAGCAACAGCAGCAGCAACTGCAGCAGCAGGCGCAGCAGCAGAGGGAGCAGCAGCAGCAGCAGCAGCACAACCTAATCCAGCAGATTGTGATGCAGCAGGCGGCGGGAGCGGGTGGAGCCAACTCGCAGCAGCAGCAGGCCCAGGCGGGGCAGTTGCAGCTGAGCGGGGTGCCGTTCTCTGTCTCATCTCCGACGACTCCGGCCGGCATAGCCACCTCCAGTGCCCTGCAGGCGGCGCTCTCTGCATCTGGGACGCTCTTCCAGACCAGCAAGTTGGCCACAGCCAGCTCCTCGCTGCCCACCAGCAGCGTCGTGACCATTTCCAACCAGAGCACCACTCCCCTGGTCACCAGCAGCACGGTGACGACTCTTCAGCAGGCACAGGCCCAGGCCCAGGCGCAAGCTCAGGCCCAAGCACAGGCGCAGGCTCAGGCACAGCTCCAGCAGCAGCAACAGCAGCTCCTCTCCGCCAGCATTGCGGCAGCGACTCAGCAGCAGCAGCAACAACAACAACAACAACAGCAGCAGCAGCAGCAGTCGCAGGGAGCAGGAACGCTCACCCAGAACACCAATCCCATCCTGGCCATGACCTCCATGATGAATGCCACGGTGGGGCACCTTTCCACAGCTCCGCCAGTCACGGTTTCGGTCACGAGTACGGCGGTGACGCCCTCCACTGGCCAGCTGGTCGCCCTGAGTAGTGCCAGCAGCGGAGCGGGAGGAGTGGGGGGCAGTCACCCAGCCACGCCCACCAAGGACACCCCCTCGAAGACTCCCACAGCCACGCTGGTTCCCATTGACTCTCCGATGACGCCCATCGCTGGGCAGGACTCTAAATCCGGCACTCCTGCGAATGGAAGTGCCTCCGCGGAGGCGAGCAGTTCCACGGGAGAAGCTCTGCCGAACGGAGAAGCCCCCGAGGTCGGGTCCACGCCCTCCAAGTGCGCTACTCCCACCTCGAACCTCACACCCACCAGCAAGCAGAGGAGCAGCACTCCCGGCGGCAAGGAGGAGGTGAAGGTGTCCACTGCCACCAGTGGAACGACCACCACGTCCACCCCCACCACATCCACCGTCTCCAACGGCATTGGTCTGGCTCGGAGCACGGGCAGCAGCACTGTTACCACCACTAGCACCACTACCACCACCAGCTGCGCCATCACCACCACCACCACGACCAGCAGCCTCAATGGAGGCAAGGATCTGCCCAAGGCGTTGATCAAGCCGAACACACTGACCCACGTCATTGACGGGTTCATCATCCAGGAGGCCAACGAGCCCTTCCCAGTCACCCGGCAGCGCTACGCCGACAAGGACATCCAGGACGAGCCTCCCAGTGAGTATTCCTGCTACTTGTTTCCCCTAATCTTCCACTTACTTACCCACTCCTCCATCTATTCCCGCAGAGAAAAAGGCCGCCATGCAGGAGGACATCAAGCCGAGTGGAATTGCCAGCGCCACGCCCCCTCCGGCGGACATCGTGGCCTGCGAGCAGTGCGGCAAGCTGGAGCACAAGACCAAGCTGAAGAAGAAGCGCTTCTGCTCGCCGGCATGTGCCCGGCAGGCGAAGAACGGAGTCGTCAGCGCCATGGAGACCAATGGACTTGGCACCGGCGGCATAGTCGCCGTGGATGCCATGGCTCTGGTGGACAAACTGGACGAGGCCGTGGCCAAGGCAAAGATGCAGGCCGACGCCCTAAAGCCTTCGGTTCCGGCGGAGGTGCCGACGATCCTCCCGCCAGTGCTGGCTCCTGCCTCTCTTCCCCCGCCCCTTGGATCGCCCCTGCCAGTGGCCTTGCCAGCTCCCATACCACAACCTCCACCTCTACTGCCTCCAGCGCCCACTGGGGTGGTTACTCTGGCCAATACAGCCATATCCTCGTCCGTAGTTAATGGATCGGCGGCTCCAGATCGACCTCCGATTAGTAGCTGGACGGTGGATGAGGTGAGCAACTTCATCCGCGAGCTGACCGGCTGCCAGGACTACGTAGATGACTTCATCCAGCAGGAGATCGACGGGCAGGCGCTGCTGCTCCTCAAGGAGAAGCATCTGGTGAGCGCCATGGGCATGAAGCTCGGCCCCGCCCTCAAGATCGTGGCCAAGGTGGAGTCCATGAAGGAAGTGCCGCCTCCCCCAGCCGGAGAAGCCGGCGGCAAGGAAGACGCAGCCATATCAGCGGAATAAGGAAGTCCCGATCAAGAATATATATACTTTAGAATGTATCCTTTGGAAGGATATCCTGCTGCCGACTCCCGCCTCCCCCCAATCCCCGAAAGCCACATGTATGATAAGCCCACGTCTTGAAATTGTATATAATTGTTAGATTTATTGTGAAGTCTAGAGAGATAATGGATATATTTATTGGAAAAGTCAGGACCCCTACACTGGACAAAATGAAATACTTAAAATAAAATATTTTAAATTGTATTTTAACTTAATTAATTAACTATAATTAACTAATAACAGAGTGTACTGCTAAATGAAATTTAATACTATATTAGGATATAAATTGAACATTAAGTAGGTTTTTAACGAAAAACAACAACAACTCATCGTCTTAATGAGTTTTTACAAAATATTTAATACATGATTGTAATTTTAAAACAAAAATTATACATATATATTATAAATCATAGATTGTTCTTACAATTAAAACACATTTTCAGATTTTCGCGTTAGGAGAAGAGCCATCTCATTGTGACTTTGAATTTTTTTGCTAAACATTTTTTAAATGCCTATAGTTAAGGATTTTTTTTTTTATTTTTTTGCTATTGCTGAACAAATGAACATTTTAATAAATGTGGAATTATACAAAATTATAATGGTTTTCTTTTTGGAATGCTGGGGGGTTCTTTAAAGTTCTCAAAGTAAGTATTTTTGAGAACTATTCCTCGAAATCCTCAATTTTCAAGAAACCCCCTTTTTATAAAAAATATTTTTAAAACAATCTGTTTCGTAATCTATCCATAACTTGGCTTGTAGAGGTCTCATTGGCTCATATTATATCTTTCTGACCTTAGTAGCACTTCTTATACCATTATTCTCTTTGCAAAATAATCTATCCTAAATCCTACCCGACTTTTAAAAATTTTCTGAGTGGTTTTAGTAGGAGATTTGACATAAAAAAGGATTAACAGCTATAATTTAGCTACTTATAGCTATATATAAAGATATAACTTCATAACCAATATGTCTAAAGATATTTTAGAACCAATATGTCCATATTTGGAATATCTTCAAATATTCCACCAAATATTTCCATTCTACATATATTATTTAATATTTCCGGTATTCAAATCTTTAAAACATCAATATATAATATTTAATGCTCCTAATTTCAAGGTAAAGCATATCTTTGGCTAAAAGTAAGTATATTAGATACTTGGAATATTGAAAAACATATATATAATATTTCAAAATAAAATAATTTCGAAAATATAACTTTCTATTTAAAGAAAGAAACCCTAAAATTCTAAATAGAAACGATTTCCTTTAAAAATCTAGAAAGTTCTTAAAAAACTGGATTTTTAAATGAAAAATGAACTATTCTAGAAATCAAATCTCTTCCATTTTGAAGAAAGTTCTAGAATCTAAGCATTTTTAAATGTTTACGGTATATGTTTCAAAATAATTGTAGGAAAGGGAAATGTTTAATATAATATTTGAATAAATTGTTTTAAAAATGAATAATGCTAGGATTTAAAATAACCTTATATATTATATTGAATTACAATAAAAGAATTCTTATAATAAACTTTACTGTACAAAGAATTAGAATTCTTGGACTTTTAGATACCGCTATACTGTTTCTATTGAAAAACTCTACAAAGAGTGTCCTATGAAGACTTTCTCTGAAAATGTGACGCCATTTTGTTTTGCGAAGTTTGAAGTTTCTGGACAAGCGGGATTAAAAAAATATAAAGATTCTGAATAATGAAAAACCTTATATAACTTTTTTTCATTTGAAAATGTATATTAAAAATTGATATTCAATCTAAACATGTTTGATTTCTCAATAAAAAGAAACAAGAGTTTCAAATTAATAACAGGATTAGTTTAAATTATCGAGAGGTATTATTAAAAACTATATAAATCTTAAGTAAGTTCCTCAAATTAGTATATTTTTAAAAGTATTTAAAATTCTTCAAATCCTATGTATCTTAAAAAACTTACATGAAATTCTTCTTCATATTTCTTATTATTTTCAATCATATAGCAATATTTGAAACGTTTAACATTTACCGATTTTTAACCAAAGGATTACGTCATTATATTCTCCATTTTGATTTCTGGACAACAACAATAACGTCGTAAAATCTAAGAAGGCTAATTGGCAAAACAATACAATGCCGACGGAAAAACGAGGCGAATAAAAAATGGGTTCACCCGAAATTATTGTGTGGCGTGCGACTGAAATAGCATTATGCCATCTTGCAAAGGTGTGAAAGAGATAACGATAGGGACGATTTTTGAGGGTGAGTCAAAGTGGGCGTGGCCTGCTGGTGTGGTGAGTTCCAGTTGCATACAATACAGAATGGAGAGTATAACAGTTTTGGGTAAAAATTTTCGAAAATATCTTTGAAAATATAAAAAAATTAAGCTTACTCTAAAATAAAGAGGAATTAGCGATAAATAAACTTGGTTTTTTGTTTTATAATTATTTACAGATACTTTTTAATTTAATTGCTATTAAAAGATACATTTCAAAATGTCTAAAGTTCATAAAAAAACAATGGAATGGAAGCCATTCTTTCAAATTTTATAAAATTATTATAATAATTTTACAAACTTTTTTAGCAATATTAGCTTTATATAAAAAAATTTAAAACTTTCATGAATACCAATTATGATAAATGAATTTAGTGATTTGTTTTTAAATTATATTCAAATAATTAACAAATTTTAAGGTGGTTTTCTCCATATTTTTTAATAAATGTGTATAGATTTATAGTGAAATAACCATACTTTCCTAGATTTTAAAAGAAATCTTTTCATTTTCTTGCTTTATTTTTCAGATAAATCTTAAAAAAGGCTCTATAATAATAATTTTCACAAATTTTTATCTTAAATAACACATTTAATTAATGCTTTAGGTTTTATAACATTTATAACATATAGACAACTCCAAATAGATTTCATATCTAACTTAAAATGTTTGATTTAAAAAACTAGATTATAAAAAAAAAACTGTATAAAATTAATTTATACAGTTCAAAATTTAAAGCCCATCTTAAAATTATTCAAAAAACAATTCATGTTTCGTGGTGTTTTGCTTTCTCGCTCTGACAAAGCTCTGCCAGCTGATGGAAAGCTTTCGGCTGCCCCCATCATATGGTGGGGCTCAGCTTTTGTCGCACAACGCCCCCTTTTTTGTGCTCCCTTTTGCGTTTCGGCATTCAGTTGCCGTTTGTTGTGGTTCCCATTTGCACGCTCTTTCTCCCAATCCAACTCTCCTCAGGTGCGTAAAAGGAAAGCACTCATTCGAACACATTTATGGATAAGCTGGCTGAAAGCATCGAATAACTGCACAAAGGTGAGTGTGAATATGCAGCGAAAGCAACAACAAGTTGCTCTGAGTGAGTTTTTAGGTTAGATGGCGCGTGGGGCTCTCTGAAGCTTATGAGAGAATGAGAGGATAGTGGAGTCCAAATCATAAAAATATATCTATGGAAAGAGATGCTGCAATATAACTTGATTAAATTTCCGCTATAATATGCAGTTGCCCTTTCTTTTTATTGTCGCTTAATCAAGCAATAATAAAAATATTGTGTATCACTACTGATAACGCCTCTCGCTTATCAGCTACCTGTACATATGTATTATTATTTTGTTGTTTTTTTTTCGCCAAACACGCGTTTACCAACACACTTACAAAGAAAAAAAAAAACATCTTTCGACGTAAATCTTTGACCACACGCGTGTGTTAGAAAGAGATAAGAGGGCGTTTGGGGCAAAGAGGGAGAGTAGAAAAATAAACAACCAGGGCTGGACACTTTCAAAAAGCTGTTGAAAAGCTTAGGGTTTTGAAAAGTGTTATACAATGATTTTTCTGAAAATAATATATTTTCTAAACTATAAATATTTTTTATATATAAAGTTATTATTATTAAAATGTAGTTACATAATAGATGACTTGCTTCTTTTTCAAACTAATCATTCTGGTTAATTGTGAAAATTTCCCGTTGAAATCTCTTTTCCTTTAAATGCAACAGATTTTCCCATATAATCCCCCCATGGAACATTTTTGTATCTGTCAGATACACTACCTGACCTGACCCGGCTGAATTGTTGTATATCTTTTGTGTCGACCCTGGTGCAAATGGTTTTATGATGGTTTTCGGTTTCGGATCGGGATCTACCTGCCATCTAACCCAGATAAGCCTTGTGGCAACCTTGTGGTGGCCTCATAAAGATCTTGACTTTACGGATTGCACTTTTCCAGACCCCAGACCCAGACCAGACTATTGTGTTTTTATTTTTTTGTGGTTGTATGCGTGGCTTAAAACAAATATGCTAATTTTTTTATGCACGCGCAAAGCCGGTTCGACTGATAACACCCATCTATATAACAGAAAATATAATACATAGAGTTGAGAGTTCTAGTGGAAAAGTTTGGTTTTGGGGTTTCGGTTTCCTGGGGGCTCAACAATCAACGCTATCAGTGCGATACTGCCAGCGGGCTGGAGAAGATTGTCCTCCTCCATAAGTCACCTCGAGTGTATCGTTTTTTTTTTTCGTATTACTGGCTGATAAGCATCACTTTGGTTCGGGGAAGTCCAATACATTTCCGTCTGGCACTACGTCTAGTCCAAGTGAGTTTAAAAATTGATCTTATAAATAAAAGAAATTTAAATTTTAGTAGTTTTAGGGGGATTCGATCAAAACTTGTATCTTTAATTATGAAGTTGTACAAAATAATAATTTTATAAGACAGAAATTTAACTAAAAATAGGTAAAGACATAAATTGTTATACGGGTTGTTGTATATTTTGAGGTTATCACAAACATATAGTTGTAACCATATAGCCATTTAACAATATAGTTTTAATAGCAGTATATAAAACTAATTACACAATATCGTATCTAAATATCGTATATCGTATCGTATTCAAACCTGAATGAAAATTAAATTTTTAGATTTCAAAACTTTAACTTAAAACTCAACATTCCAACATTATGTCATATTTTTCTATGTTTTGATTTGGAAAATGATTTCTTTCTAAAATAAATTAAATAAAACTTTAGTTCAAAACTTAACGTTGTAGTTTATACATTGTTTTCCAAGAATATACAATATTATGTACGGTTTTTCTATGTTTTTGTTTGGAAAACTAATTTTTTATGTATTCTTTAGCTTAAATATTTTTTCTTGATAAGTTTGATAAGTTTAACTTTAGTAAACTTTAGTTTAAAACTTAAATTGGAAGTCTACAATCTCATTTTTGATACACATATACATGTTGTGTAACATTATCCATGTTTTTTTTTTTAATATTTGTTTTAAAATCATTTTTTAAAATTTTTTTCCTTTATTTTAAAGTTTTTTTTATAGGAAAACTCTCTTCTGCCCTGGTTTCTTCATTTTTTTCAAAAAAAAAGCAAAAAACCGACTTTAAAATGTTAATAGTTATTGAAAATATATATAATTAAATATTAAATAATTAAAATTAAAAAAATGTTATTAGATTTTTTTGTATTTTACTCTAAATATTTAAATTATTTTATATTTTTATTTTATTTTTTTTAGAACCTTTTCCATAACATCCAGGTCCAGCATCCTCTGCCCCCCACCCCCACACCATCCACAATGAGATTCCAGCAGTTGCTGCAAGTGCGCAGATTGGCCAGCGCCGGCGCCACCACTCTGATGCGGCCACGACCCACCACTAGCACCACCAGACCCACCACCGGCGCCACCACCAGCATGGGCATAACCACCACTGTGCGCACAATGGCGGGCAGCGGGGCACCGATTCCGGAACTCACCCAGGTAAGTGACTTACGTAACGACAGTGGGCGTGGCCAAGACACTCCCCGCCAAGGCGGAACCCTCCCCCCAACCATCTAATACCCCCTGGCCCATTTTCCAGATCACAGACAATGTGCAACGTGGTAACTATGCCACTCTAACCGACAAGGATGTGGCCTTCTTTGAGAATCTTCTGGGGAAGAACTTTGCTCTCACCGAGGACCTGGAGGGGTACAACATCTGCTTCCTAAAAAGGATTCGCGGTAAGTTGATGGCCGAATACTGCAAGTCATCTACCTCGTTAGGGTTATGACTCAGAAATGTCCTTTTTTCGATTCATCCATTAAGGTTTCTTGGGGTTATCTTGATTTTTGACAGACATCCTGATTATACTTCTAATGGGGTTTGTGGTTTAGGTCTTTTGGACCTTTTCTAATGGTATTTCTCTATCTGGTAGTTCTCTCTAAAGGGCAGCTGTTTTTTCTGGAATAATTCTAAAACTGATTGCTTCAAAAAATGGAAATATTCATTGACTTTAATCGAGGTTTTTGCATAAATCTCACCATATTAATATATATTTCTCTGACAAATCCATTCCGATCCTTGAGGGGAATACCTTAAATCTTTTTGTCAATCAATTACCCGACTTTTTAATTGAAAATCTCTAAAAAAAAAATAGTTTTTAGATTTTGTTTAGCTTTTTGTGGGGAAACCCCTTGAAAAATACGTGCTTTTTATATGTATATTCCACCTTACGATGTCTATATTTTGCCCAATTCTGATCCGATCAATAAGAGGAATAATTAAATAAGAGGAATACCTTAATACCTTTCTTGACGAGTTCCCCGACAATCTGCATTAAAATCTAGACACGAAATATTTTTTTCATTTTTTTCCAATATTTCTAGTATAGTTCTATACCCCTTGCAAAATCCGGGATTTCTAGGCATGGCCCCTATCGAAGTCTATATCTTGGCCAGTTCTGATCCGATTCTCGAGATGAGTAAATCAAACTATTTGGGGACTGATTCCCAATGAATCTACATTAAAATTCTGTAACAGAATATTTTTTCAAAATTTTTCTCATTTTTTTGGGGAGACGCCTTGTGAAATGGAGGATCTTCGTCTATGGACCCTTATACCCTATATACCCTTCCGATGTCTTTATCTCTGCCAATTCTTATCCGATCCCTAAGCGGTGTACCTTAAACGATTTTTAGATCGATTTCCCACCAATCTGCATCAAAATATGAGTACAAAATATTTTTTAGATTTTTTTCCAAATTTTCCTAGGGGTACCCCTGCGAAATCCTGAGTTTCCGTATAAGATCCTTTCCGATGTCTATATCTCAGCCAATTCCAATTCTCTTCTCCCCTGCATATCTGATATATCTGTGTTCTGATGGTTAAAATTTGCCAATAATTTCCATATTTGGATATTTCCGATGTCTATATCTCTGCCAATTCCCATCTTATTCTCAAGAGGAATACCTTCGAAGATTTGTGGATAAATTCTTCAGTACAGTGACTCTGGGCCATAAAACATTTATTAAAATTCATAAAAAATTTAGACTTTTGACAAGAAATGTTCCAGAAATATAAATTTTAAAACACTTGGAATTTATTTTGTATAATATATATGTAGGTGCCATGGAGGACTTCGTCTATTTGTGGTACTTAATAGTATGGTGCCATCTCGTTGGGTGTAACACCAGCGTCTGGCCAGCAGCTCGATCCTCTGTACAATTCTAGAAGATAGAAAACATTATACAAGCTATAGATATATATGTATAGACATAGATCTATAGATATAGTTACATATCCCTCGAACTTACCGTTGGTGGCGCAGCCATTTTGCTGAAATTCACGTTCCTGGATTAACTTTAATTTCGCTTCACTTTTCCGGAAGATCTGAAGAAGTTCTTCCTTTTGTTGTTTCTTCAAGAATCTTTTAAATGGTATTGCCCATGGTTTCTGCAATACGTTACCACGACTCTTATAGGGATTGGATACTCTACGGTGCCTGTTCTTCCGCTTTTGGCGGATCTTGTTTATAACCGATTTGTCTCTCCCCATTACAAAAATTATAACTTAATTTTCAAAATATATCAGACTCTTAATTTTAAAATCGACCTCACAGTTCGGAGACGAAACGTTGAATGACGAAATGGGAAAGCAGTTTGGGGCTACAATTTGACATTTGAGTTTAAGGCCTACTTGGGAGTGAAATGTCTTTAAAAATTATAAAATTAAAAAATGTTTGCACAAATTATAAAATAAAATAGTTGAAAGAAAAATACTACCCAAATTTACTACCTAAAGTTAAAAGCAATTTGTCCATGTAGGATATTTTTCAAATGATGTAAATATGTGTCACTTAAGTTACCTACTTAATGGAATAAATTAATTAATTTAATTAATAACTAATGTGTAGAAAGATTAAAAGATGCTTGGTGAGTTGTATTGGCTTGGTAGTTGTTGTTTTAGTTATGAGATTCTAAATAAAAAAGCTTGAAAAGTTACATGGCAAACGTGTTTATTTTTATGAAAAAAAAAAAAAATAATAATTGAATTTAATAATTAAAAACAGTGCCCTCCTCCTCGATTCTCATAGGTGGCACCTAAGCAGGGCCAAAAACTTAATTTAAAAAAATGAAAAAAATATTTTTAATGAAAAATAATAAAAAAAATAATTGAAATTAATAAATAAAAACAGCGCCCTCCTCCTCGATTCTCATAGGTGGCACTTAAGCAGAGCCAAAAAATAAATATTAAAAAAATTAAATTTCATTTTTTTTATAAAAAATATTTTATAAATTAATGAATAAAAACAGCGCCCTCCTCCTCGATTCTCATAGGTATCACTTAAGCACCACCAAAAGAAAAAAAATCAAGAAAGACCTTTTTTCTAGGAAGACCCGTTTTCAAATGGGGGTGTTAATATAGCACCCTTAACAATGTCTAGAAAATGGGGGACTATCATAGAGTACCCCTTACGATGTCTATATCTTTGGCATTTTTTATCCGATTCAGGAATTGAATATCCTTAAGGATTTCTTTATCAATTCTGTGTTGATTTTCATCAAAATATGATTGCAACATATTCGATCCCTATTTTTCAAAATTTTCTGATGGATCCCCTTGCTAAATTGGGGATATTCACTTTTGATCCAGAAAAATGTCTATATCTTCCCCAATTCTCATCCGATTCTCAAGCGGAGTATCTTAATCGATTTCTGGATCGATTCTCCACCATTCTGCATCAAAATCCTGAGACAAAATATTTTTTTAATTTTTTGTCCATTTTTCGTGATGCGATCCCTTGAAAGTGGGGTTTTCCCCTATGGGGTCCACAGTGATGGCTATATCTTCCCCAATTCTCATCCGATTCTCAAGCGGAGTATCTTAAACGATTTCTGGTTGGATTCTCCACCATTCTGCATCAAAATCCAGTAACAAAATATTTTTTAGATTTTTGTCCATTTTTCGTTATGCGATCCCTTGAAAGTGGGGTTTTCCCCTATGGGGTCCACAGTGATGGCTATATCTTCCCCAATTCTCATCCGATTCTCAAGCGGAGTATCTTAAACGATTTCTGGTTGGATTCTCCACCATTCTGCATCAAAATCCAGTAACAAAATATTTTTTAGATTTTTTGTCCATTTTTCGTGATGCGATCCCTTGAAAGTGGGGTTTTCCCCTATGGGGTCCACAGTGATGGCTATATCTTCCCCAATTCTCATCCGATTCTCAAGCGGAGTATCTTAAACGATTTCTGGTTGGATTCTCCACCATTCTGCATCAAAATCCAGTAACAAAATATTTTTTAGATTTTTTGTCCATTTTTCGTTATGCGATCCCTTGAAAGTGGGGTTTTCCCCTATGGGGTCCACAGTGATGGCTATATCTTCCCCAATTCTCATCCGATTCTCAAGCGGAGTATCTTAAACGATTTCTGGATCGATTTCCCACCATTCTGCATCAAAATCCTGAGACAAAATATTTTTTAGATTTTTTGTCCATTTTTCGTGATGCGATCCCTTGAAAGTGGGGTTTTCCCCTATGGGGTCCACAGTGATGGCTATATCTTCCCCAATTCTCATCCGATTTTCAAGCGGAGTATCTTAAACGATTTCTGGTTGGATTCTCCACCATTCTGCATCAAAAGCCTGAGACAAAATATTTTTTAGATTTTTTGTCCATTTTTCGTGATGCGATCCCTTGAAAATGGGGCTTTCCCCTGTGGGGTCCACAGTGATGGCTATATCTTCTCCAATTCTCATCCGATTCTCAAGCGGAGTATCTTAATCGATTTCTGGCTGAATTCTCCACCATTCTGCATCAAAATCCTGCGACAAAATATTTTTTAGATTTTTTGTCCATTTTTCGTGATGCGATCCCTTGAAAGTGGGGTTTTCCCCTATGGGGTCCACAGTGATGGCTATATCTTCCCCAATTCTCATCCGATTCTCAAGCGGAGTACCTTAAACGATTACTGAATCAATTTGCCACCATTCTGCATCAAAATCCTGAGACAAAATATTTTTTCGATTTTTTTTCCATTTTTCGTGATGCGATCCCTTGAAAGTGGGGCTTTCCCCTATGGGGTCCACAGTGATGGCTATATCTTCCCCAATTCTCATCCGATTCTCAAGCAGAGTATCTTAAACGATTTCTGGATCGATTTCCCACCATTCTGCATCAAAATCCAGTAACAAAATATTTTTTAGATTTTTTGTCCATTTTTCGTTATGCGATCCCTTGAAAGTGGGGTTTTCCCCTATGGGGTCCACAGTGATGGCTATATCTTCTCCAATTCTCATCCGATTCTCAAGCGGAGTATCTTAAACGATTTCTGGTTGGATTCTCCACCATTCTGCATCAAAATCCTGAGACAAAATATTTTTTAGATTTTTTGTCCATTTTTCGTGATGCGATCCCTTGAAAGTGGGGTTTTCCCCTATAGGGTCCACAGTGATGGCTATATCTTCCCCAATTCTCATCCGATTCTCAAGCGGAGTACCTTAAACGATTTCTGGATCGATATCCCACCATTCTGCATCAAAATCCTGAGACAAAATATTTTTTAGATTTTTTGTCCATTTTTCGTGATGCGATGCCTTGAAAATGGGGTTTTCCCCTATGGAGTCCACAGTGATGGCTATATCTTCCCCAATTCTCATCCGATTCTCAAGCGGAGTACCTTAAACGATTTCTGGATCGATATCCCACCATTCTGCATCAAAATCCTGAGACAAAATATTTTTTAGATTTTTTGTCCATTTTTCGTGATGCGATGCCTTGAAAATGGGGTTTTCCCCTATAGCGTCCACAGTGATGGCTATATCTTCCCCAATTCTCATCCGATTCTCAAGCGGAGTACCTTAAACGATTTCTGGATCGATTTCCCACCATTCTGCATCAAAATCCTGAGACAAAATATTTTTTAGATTTTTTGTCCATTTTTCGTGATGCGATCCCTTGAAAGTGGGGTTTTCCCCTATAGCGTCCACAACGATGGCTATATCTTCCCCAATTCTCATCCGATTCTCAAGCGGAGTATCTTAATCGATTTCTAGACCGATTCCCCACAGTTTTGGTTAAAAATCAAAAAATCCAAAGTATTTTTTACATAGTTTTTCCATTTTCATGGGAAATCCCCTCGAAAATAGGGGATTATCATAGAGGGCCTCTTACGATGTCTATATCCTGGCCAATTCTGATTCGATCTTTAAGAGAAATACCTTAAAAGCTTTGTATTTCAATTCCCCATCTATCTACCTTTGTTATAACCTATTATCCTTTTTTTTTTCTAGGAAACAGCAAACTGGTTCTGAAACCAGGAACCACCGCCGAGGTGTCCGCCATCCTGAAGTACTGCAACGAGAGGAAGCTGGCGGTGGTGCCGCAGGGTGGCAATACCGGATTGGTGGGAGGATCTGTGCCCATCTGTGACGAGATTGTCCTCTCCCTGGCCCGCTTGAACAAGGTGCTGTCCGTGGACGAGGTGACCGGCATTGCCGTGGTGGAGGCGGGCTGCATCCTGGAGAACTTCGACCAGAAGGCCCGGGATGTGGGCCTGACGGTGCCTTTGGACTTGGGTGCCAAGGCCAGTTGCCACATTGGCGGCAATGTTTCCACAAATGCCGGTGGCGTTCGTGTGGTGCGATATGGTAACCTGCATGGCTCCGTTTTGGGTGTGGAGGCGGTTCTGGCCAATGGACAGGTCCTGGATCTAATGTCCAACTTCAAGAAGGACAACACCGGCTATCACATGAAGCATCTGTTCATCGGCTCCGAGGGCACACTGGGCGTGGTCACCAAGCTATCGATGCTCTGTCCCCATTCCTCCAAGGCCGTCAATGTGGCCTTCATCGGCCTGAACTCCTTCGACGACGTCCTGAAGACCTTTGTCAGTGCCAAGAGGAATCTCGGAGAGATTCTCAGCTCCTGTGAACTGATCGACGAGAGGGCTCTCAACACAGCCCTGGAACAGTTCAAGTTTCTCAAGTAAGTAGTTTTTTTTTTATTAATTATTTATTATTTTAGGACTTGATTTAAAATTATAGGAGTATAAGAGATATAATGGTTGTTTGGGAAAACAAAAAATAGGTTTTAAAATTTGAGTTACAAAATTATTAAAGAAAATAAGAGTCTGCTTTTGTTTTTTTGGTTTTGAGTTAAAGTAAGTGACGAAATCCAGCAATTAAAACAAGACTTTAGAGTTTAATCACAAGTATTAATAGAAATAATGATGGTTTTGGAAAACAAAATATAGGTATTATATTTTTAGTTGAAAAACTTTTTAAGAAAATAAGTATTTGCTTTTGTTTTTAAGTTTTTAATTCAAGTAGGTGACGAAACCTATCCATAAAAACAATTTTTCACTGAAAAGCTTTTAGTCTTTTATAGTATAATTTCATATAATAATCGAAATCATTTCATTTTAATTTAATGAATTATAAATTATATATTTTACTAAAAATTTAAAACTATATCTAATACCCTTTTTTTAATATTAGTTTTCTTAAATTAAGATTAGTTGTTTTTTTGTTTCACATTCTTCTAAAATATAAAAATTCTCAATTATGAAAAACCCCTTGTTATATGCAAATTTTTCCACCCCTATTAATGGTATTACTATGTATTCCCACCCCCAAATTATACAGTTCCCCCATTTCGGGCTACCCCTTCTACATGCTGATCGAAACCTCCGGCAGCAATGGCGACCACGACGAGGACAAGATCAACCAGTTCATCGGCACCGGAATGGAACGTGGCGAGATCCAGGACGGCACTGTCACCGGGGATCCCGGCAAGGTGCAGGAGATCTGGAAGATCCGTGAAATGGTGCCCCTGGGCCTCATCGAGAAGAGTTTCTGCTTCAAGTACGACATCTCGTTGCCGCTGCGTGACTTCTACAATATCGTTGATGTGATGCGGGAGCGTTGCGGTAGCCTGGCTACAGTGGTCTGTGGATATGGTCACCTGGGTGACTCCAATCTGCATCTGAATGTGTCCTGTGACGAGTTCAACGATGCCATCTACAAGCGAGTGGAGCCCTTCGTCTACGAGTACACCTCCAAGCTGAAGGGAAGTATCAGTGCCGAGCACGGTATCGGTTTCCTTAAGAAGGACTATCTGCATTACTCCAAGGACCCAGTGGCCATTGGCTGGATGCGTGACATGAAAAAGCTTTTGGATCCCAACGGTATCCTTAACCCTTACAAGGTTCTCAACTAAAACGGCAGCCATAAATAGATAAGCTCAGTGTTTTTGTGAATATAAATATATAATCTTTTTTTTTTTAATAGTAAATAATAAAGTAATTGAAAAATTCAAAGAAAGTCCATAATTTTTGGTCAAGTAAGCTTTGAAAGAAGTGTTGTTATATATTAAACAGTCTTTTTTGTTGTCTAATGAAACCAAAATCAAAAGTTCATTTTATAATTAGGCTTCTCACATGTTTTCGAAAAATGTAAGTAAAGTTTAGCTTAAAAATACTTAAATAATTATTTTTAGATTATATATATAATAGTATTTATACTATTGCAGAGGGTATTCACAATTTTGATTGAAGTAGACATCTCTGACTCTATAAAATATATATATTTGTGATCGGAATCACCTTCTGAGTCGATATAGTCAATATATGTAGTCCATATGTCCTTCTGTATGTTTCTTTCCAAATTAGTATCTCAGTTTTAAAGATTTTCGAAAAAGATTGAGACTTTTTATGGAATTAGGCATAGGGATCTGCCGCCTATAATCCTATAGCTGCCTTATAACCTGAACGATTTGAAATGCTATACCTTTTATAATAACGCAGCTACAAGCTTTGGAATTTTAAAAACGATTTATATTATAAATTAATAACTATACCAATATTATAACTTAATTCTTTTAAAGTTTCTAAAGGAAAGAACATGTTTATTTATCGTTGCCTACTTTTAAGGGCGCCTAGAAGTACAATAGCAATTGAGACTCAAATTTTACCGTTATTTTGCGCATGTAACATTCCAAAAAAAGCTTTAATTTAGTAACTATTCCATAAAATATTTAAAAATAACTATCATGTTTTTGTTTTTTAATATTTCTAATATTAAAAACTTATAGATTAGTGTAAGTGTTAACCCTTATTGGGGTCTCACAAAACATGGCCATAGAAACTTGTAGAATAATCAAAGCTTCTTTTTTCAAGTGTCAAGGGTAAATTGTGCTCACTCTCCTTAACCTCTCCCCCACCTCCAACAACAACAACAACACGTACAGTGAACACACATCAGCTGTGCGTGATCGAGAGAACGAGACAAAAGCTAACGGCAACTGAAGACTAGAGGGCGGCTCAAGGTGGAGAGTGCTCACTGTGTTGACCCCCCTCCCGCCTCCCCCAAAAACCAAAAAGCTCTTCCGATCAGGCCGAAAAGCTCTCTATTTCGCTGGCACTTTTTTTTGGCATTTATCGTTTCGCGTTAGCCGGCGAGCGTCAGTTTCACTCACGCCACGGGCCAGAGCACTCGCTCGATTAACAAACAAAACGACAAATCAAATATTAAGCAGACTTTTTACATTTACAACAAAATTATTTTGTGAAATAAAAAAACAACAATTATACACAAAAATGAGCGGGTAAGTTAAAAATAATAAAAAACGCATGAAAAGATCATTAAACTTTGCATTTCCAAATTATTTTTATTGTCTTTGCAGAAAAGCTGATATTGCTCTTATTGGCCTGGCCGTAATGGGCCAGAATCTCATATTGAACATGGACGAGAAGGGTTTTGTGGTCTGCGCCTACAATCGCACCGTCTCCAAGGTCAAAGAGTTTCTCGAGAACGAGGCCAAAGGCACTAATGTGATTGGCGCCGAATCGTTGGAGGATATGGTTTCTAAGCTTCAAAGGCCACGCAAAGTCATGTTGCTGGTCAAGGGTGAGTTTTTGTTGTTGTTGTTGTTATGACTTTCCAAAAAAACCTGATGTTGTAAGCTCACCTGTGCAATAGAGTGCGTGTGTGTGTGTGTGTGAGTGTGCCTCGTGTGAGTGGAAGTCAAAGCAAAGTCATCAAATGATTTTTTGCTGTTTTTGCGATTTCATTTTTTTTTTGTATTAGCTTTTATTTTTTTGCTTTTGTATGACGTTTGAGTTCATTGCAATATGCAAAAGAAAGAAGAAGAGCATGAGAGGTGATATATTTATGAAAGTAGGTAAAAAGAGAGCGAGAGAGAGAGAGAGGAAGGTTGAGCGGAAACAGCATCTGCAATACTTTGCCTTGAACGCTATCAAAAGCTTAGTTTGTATTTTGTCGCGGCAAGCTTAGAAATGGTAGTTTGTCTAGAGATGGGAGCAGAGAGTGATACGATATATTGAAAAATATAACAATTATTTTGATTTAAAGATAAAGAAATTTAAAAAATATATTATATAAAATGGATTTCTATTAATAAAAATTAATAATTAAAATTGTTTATTTTAATAGCTACAATTTCCTCTTAAAAACTATTTATTTTTCAATTTAAACTAGGTTTTTTTTTAAACTAGTCTTTATTTTTTATAAAAAATCTATAAAAATGGTTGAGTTTACTTACTATAATTACTTAATAATTATTATTCACACACATCATAATCTTTTCTAAACACCCACCTCTAGCTCGTATGTTAATATAGGCATGCCGGCTTATCTCCACCTTCATTCCCTACCTAGATGTTTGTTTAAAAAAAAAAAACTAAAACGCCAGACAACGGCAGACTCTGACATTCATTATAGGTCATTCACAATAGATGACTGTTGCTAGAGGGGATTTCCTCGGGATTCAAAATAATCGAAAACCATTCTTTCAAAGATTTCGTTTGTCCCGAAAACGACCTTCCTAGTCGTTTTTTTTCGAAATCAATGATTCATAACGATCCCTTGTTCAGATACAGTGTAGGTCATACAGATAGAATCAGTTTAAGTTCTTAAAGTTTTTTATATTTCTAGAATATTACTAAAAAAAAAAAACTTGAACCTTTGCTATTAAATGAAATAAAAACGACCGCTAGATAGATAGATCAATGTTATCGCCAGTTGGCCTTATCTGGTTCCATAGAGCTGGTGGAGAAGTGCTCACCCGACAAGGGACGCCTCGGGGTGACCTCCAAAGCAGAACAGTGACTTTCCAAAATCAACCAATTGACCTTCTCCGATATGAATGAAGTTTAGTCATATTCTCTTGAAAATATATGAAAGTTTTTTTTTAAATTTTATATTTTATTTAAATTATTTTCCAGCTGGCAGTGCTGTGGATGACTTCATTAAGCAACTGGTGCCCCTGCTGACGCCCGGCGATGTGATCATTGATGGTGGCAACTCTGAATACCAGGACACTTCCAGGCGCTGCCTGGAACTGGAAAAACTGGGCCTGCTCTACGTCGGCTCCGGTGTAAGCGGTGGTGAGGAGGGTGCCCGTCATGGTCCCTCTCTTATGCCCGGTGGCCATGAGGCCGCCTGGCCCATTATCCAGCCCATCTTCCAGGCCATCTGCGCCAAGGCCGACGGTGAGCCCTGCTGCGAGTGGGTGGGCGATGGCGGTGCCGGACACTTTGTCAAGATGGTGCACAACGGCATCGAGTACGGTGACATGCAGTTGATCTGCGAGGCCTACCACATCATGACGGCTCTGGGTCTCTCGGCTGAACAGATGGCCGAGGAGTTTGGCAAATGGAATTCTGCTGAACTGGACTCCTTCCTCATTGAGATCACCAGGGACATTCTGAAGTACAAGGACAACAAGGGGTATCTGTTGGAGAGGATTCGCGACACCGCTGGACAGAAGGGAACTGGCAAGTGGACAGCTATTGCTGCCCTCCAGTACGGTGTTCCGGTGACGCTAATCGGCGAGGCGGTGTTCTCGCGCTGCCTGTCCGCCCTTAAGGATGAGCGTGTCCGTGCCAGCACCGTCCTGAAGGGACCCACCGTCAAGCCCAAGGTGGACAATGTACCCAAGTTCCTGAACGATATCAAGCATGCCCTGTACTGCGCCAAGATCGTGTCCTACGCCCAGGGATTCATGCTGATGCGCGAGGCGGCCAGCGAGAACAACTGGCGTCTGAACTACGGCGGCATTGCCCTGATGTGGCGCGGCGGTTGCATCATCCGCAGCGTCTTCCTGGGCAACATCAAGGATGCCTACACGTCGCAGCCCCAGCTGACCAACCTGCTGCTGGATGAGTTCTTCAAGAACGCCATCGCCCAGGGCCAGGACTCGTGGCGCGAGGTTGTGGCCAATGCCTTCCGTTGGGGCATTCCTGTGCCGGCTCTGTCCACCGCGTTGAGCTTCTACGATGGCTACCGTACCTCCAAGCTGCCCGCCAACCTGCTGCAAGCCCAGCGCGACTACTTTGGTGCCCACACCTACGAGCTGCTCGGCCAGGAGGGCAAATTCCATCACACCAACTGGACGGGAACCGGCGGCAATGTGTCTGCCAGCACCTATCAGGCATAGGGCACCTCTGCTCTCCCCGCCTGCTTTAGTAATTCCCTGCACTCACATTCCATGTCATAAGCTGGTGTCTGTTTTTTTTTTTTTCTGAGTACTTTAGTACTTATTTATACCATTAATAATATAGTATATATATATGTATGTACATATAATTTCATTTTGTTGTTAAACATAAAATTAAATTGGTGTTTTTTTGCTAGCAAATGATCTCTGGGTTCCTTGGTTTGATTCCTACATAGTTCTCCTCATCTCGATCTCGCTTATATAATTAGAATCAACAATGTGTGTGTGTGTGTGTGCAGTGTGTAGTGTAGTATGTTGTGGATAGAGTCTTTCGAGTTGTGTCTCCTGCTCCTGATTCATCCTGCCCTTGGCCATCGCCGCCGCCGCCGCCGCCACCTGTCCATTGGCCATTGTACTCTCATCAACTAACGCTTCTCCAGCTATTGGGATATCTCCAGCTTCTCAATCATCCGATGGCTTCAGGGTTTTCTTATTCTCGATGACCAGCTTGTCGGTAGTATACAAGTGCCCAATGATGACCTGTTTTTTTTTTTTAACGATTCAGAGGGGTTAATAAACTCAAAACCCAGTGATAAGCAGTGGCGGGAAAAAGTATACATATGCTCCCATTTGGGGGGGGACTACGAATAATTGTTTATTTAAAGAATATCATATGGAACGATGAAGTCTTCCTTGTGTTCATGGATTTGGTTCGAATCTGTTTACAAATTCTCAAGAAAGGGCTTTTAAGAAAACAAAAACCCAATGAGAAACCCTAGAAGCTCCATCAAAGGGAGAAGTTTCTTTAAAGATCCCTTTTATAAAATTTTTAATCATTTAATTAATTAAATTATTAAGTACTATGATGGTGAGGAGCAGAGGAGAAACTTTCCACATCACTGCTGACAGCTGATAAGCTCGGCCACATGCCACTCACTCACCTGGCGACGTATCAGCTCCAGATTCTGCTTTCCCGTGGCCATTTGCCGATCAATCTCCTCGAAATCCCGAATAGTCTTGTTGGCGCGAAACGTGTCCCGTATCTTCCTGGCGGCGTACATTCTAGAATATCATAGTTATAGGCTATTCAAATAAGACAATGGCTCTATTTCACCATAATTACCTAAAGTTATAGGAGGGCAGCTTCTCCGATTCGCGGAGCAGATTCCTATAGAGAGTGATTGCCTGGCGACGGGTGGACATCCTGGCGCGTTGTAAGGACTGTTTAATGGGTGGCAGGAATATCAACTACTGCCTTTAGAAAACTGTTTTTAATTGATAACACCGGTGTTTCTTTTATCACGGGGTTGGTTAGTTCCGCGCTTATTGGACTGGCCGCCTGATGACATAAAAAATTACATGCCGGAAAATACCCGCCACCTGGGGCACAAAAATACCATAAACAGCTGTTTCTTAAGTGCGGTATTTTTTTGCAAAGAGTAACAGGAGCTTGTCTTGAAGAGAGTTAAATATATGTTTGTGTGGCGCGCCTAAACTAATTAAAGTTAACAAAGTTTGCCAAGCTAACTAAATTTAGTTAGTAAACAAATTATTCGATAGTTCGATAAGTATCGAAATCTCAAGCCGCAACCCGGTATTCTTCAGATCGCCAGATACGGGCACACTGGCCGCACGGGCACCGATAGTTTTAACTATAAATTTCGGGTTGCGTTCTTTTTTTTCGTTCGTCACATCTAGCACGCTACCAAACAAATACCCAAAAGGTAAATAAAAGCAGCTGAATAGCAGGTGATAAGATGAAAAGTCAAGATCGGTGCAACGCGGCGCTGGAAAAGCCGCTGGGTTAAAAGTTGAGAAAAACTGGACCACGGCCAGGCGATAACAAGATAAAACCTTTTCACTCTGGCCTCACTCCCCCCTTCCGCCCATCCTCACCTCTCGTATTGTGATGGCCAAAAGACGGTGCACCTCAGCGATGAGAAAAAAATGAAAATAAAATAGGAAATACTAGTTACCAGTGAGAAAACATGACGCATTGTTTGCATTTGTATGGCCCGAGTATCGTCTCTGTGTGTGCGTGTGTGTGTGTGCCTGCAGGTGTATGAGTGTGTGTGTGTGTGTGTGTGGTGGTAAAATACGCGTTAATTAGTTAATTTTACAGGAGGCCCAAAAAAAAAAAAAAAAAACGGAAAAGGTGATTGTGTTTTTTTTCGGTTCAGCCCAAGCTGTGCAATGCGTAATGTGCTTGAAATAAACAATAACAATCCAGGGCCATCAATTTCATCAGATCGCTCTCTCCCTCTCTCTCTCTCTCACCCTACCTCTCTCCATCCGCCTCGGTACAACCGACCTACCATCACCATTACCACCACCCACCCGCACCCGCACCTGCCCCACCATAGCTATCGATATTAGGCGATACCGATTGCCTAACGCCCCGATAGCGTTCGTTCAACATATGCAATTATCAGGGGCGTGGTAAAGGGATATTTTGGGGAAAAAGAAACCCTTTTTTAAAAATAAAAATATTTGTTATCAATTAGAGTATATTACTATTATACTACGATTATAGTACTATACTTTTTTTTTTTTTGAAAGATAAATATAAATTTATAATTAATCATTTAATCTTTAATAACAAGCTAGTAGGATTTTTGAAAAAAATTTCCATGTTTTGTGATTCAATTTTTAGTCATTATGATATCTTGTTTTTTCAATTATAACTTACAAAATTATTTAAAAAAAAACCCGATTAAAAATAACCACTTGTTGAATAATAATTAAATTTGCTATTAAATACCCCCCCTTTTTCCAATTTTGTTTATCATTGCCGCCCCTGGGCGAGCTCCAACCGTTTTTTTCCCCGTAAATTGTGTAATATTCCGTTGGACGATTTCCCCGGAAAATAGCGGAAAGTCGAGCTGTGAAAATATGCAGCGAGTGGGGATTAATTAGTTCCCCCTTCACTCCCATCCCCTCCCCTTGCATACAATTTGAATCGAATCGGAGATCGAAGACCCAGTCTTGGGGTTTTAAAATCTGCATAGGCTGTAGATTCGCAAATCGTTGGATCGGGTTTTTGTTGTTTTTTTTTTTTGTTTTCTTTCTGGAAGTACATTTCGTGCTTATTTTGCCCTTTTCTCGCCACGATTCTACGATTCCCCTGATGATATTATCGGTTGCTACGTTTTTGTTATCTGGGGGACCACTTTTCCCATTTATATTTCTTTTTTATTTTTATTTTTTTACTCCCCCCATGGGGGTATAATGATTTACAAACCCGCTATATAGTTTACGGCCAATTGGGTTACTCTACTGAGCGTGGGTCCAAGCTCAAACCTGCGACTTACGTCATGGGGGTTTTTTGTTTCAAACAGCTTTAAAAAAAAACGGAAATATCTTCATTAAATATTTATTGAATCTTTCCATTGTATATGCTTTTTTTCTAAACATATTTCAAAGAATTTTTTTATATAATATCGAATTTTCTTAGATTTCTTGTTAAACATTTATATTTAGAAACCCTGTCAGTCCTGGCGCTGTCGGCTGCACTTCCTGTCGGCCCCAAATAAAGAGTGTATTAAATGATAATTAATGAATGTTTGTTTAGGCCGTTCCAGCTAACTAGTTGAATAAGTAAATGCCCTCCCTGCCCTCCTGCCTTCAGCCACCAGCTGCTACTGCTGCTGTGTCACTTTTAACGCACAAGATAAAAAGCGTGATGTTTTTTTTAGTTAGCACACATTTATTAATCGATTCTCCTTCAACACAGGTCTCTTGTAAAGTATTATTTTGGTTCATAAATGGGCAACTATAGTAATTCATTTGGAATGAGTTCAATGTTTAATGAGACATTGTTTCGCAATTGACACATTTTTATAAATAAACCGTACAGGAAAAAGCTTTTCAAAATAAATACACAGTTCTTATGGGGTGTTTTTGTTTTGAAACAGAAACTATCGGGTATATTGATACATTTTTAAAAAAGATAAAGGAAACTATGGATGGAAAAACATTTTAAAATAAGAAGAGCTCAAATTCCAAAAAATTCTAGGAATATTTTTTGTTGAAAAACATTTCTTGGGAATTTTTTGAAACAAAATCTATCGATAAAGTATCGATAATTTATGGTTACTTTAATTTTTAAAAAAGTACACAACATATTAATATATCTAAGTAGAGTCCTTATCCCATAAACCATAAAATCTGAATAAAAATGTTATTATAAAGTTAAGCAATTTTTTTAAAGAAAAAAATATGGATAAGTTATCGGTCTTTTATTTGAATTTAAATCTTTAAAAAGTTTAAAAGAAGATATCATGAAAAGCTTTTTAAAAGAAGTGTATGGAGATATAATACCATAATCATAACTTCTTCTACTTTATAAATGCATTTTGATTGGATTCAAATTTCGATAATTTCGATTGGTTATCGATAAATTCAAATTCCTCCCGAAGAATAAGCTCTCTATGGTATATACAAACCCTTTATAATACGATGACCTTCTTCCACTTCCAGCTAGAGCCCCCGATCCATAAACCAAAATGCTATCGCTGCAGAACCAACGGCAACCGAAGACCAGTCCCCTGGTGGACGACTACGAGATCTCGGACACAGTGCTCGGCCTTGGAATCAACGGCAAGGTCGTCCAGTGCACCGATCGTCGCACCAAACAGAACTATGCCCTCAAGGTATTGCTGGACAACGAGAAGGCGCGCCGCGAAGTGGATCTCCATTGGCGGGTGAGCGGATGTCGGCACATTGTCAACATCATCGATGTCTACGAGAATACGTACAGCGGACGGAAGTGCCTGCTGGTGGTGATGGAGTGCATGGAGGGCGGTGAACTGTTCCAACGAATTCAGGACAAAGCCGATGGAGCGTTCACGGAACGTGAAGCGGCACAGATCATGCACGAAATCTGTGCGGCGGTCGACTATCTGCACAGTCGGGATATCGCGCACCGAGATCTGAAGCCGGAGAACTTGCTGTACACCACCTCCCAGCCGAATGCCATTCTCAAGCTGACGGATTTCGGTTTCGCCAAGGAGACCTTCTCCAACGACACCTTGCAGACGCCCTGCTATACGCCCTACTATGTTGGTTAGTACTCTAAACTTTTAAATATTTTATACATTTTTTAACAAAGTTTATTCTATTTTAGCTCCCGAAGTACTCGGCCCGGAGAAGTACGATAAGAGCTGTGACATCTGGTCGCTGGGAGTCGTCATGTACATTATCATGTGCGGTTTCCCGCCGTTCTACAGCAACCATGGCCTGGCCATATCGCCCGGCATGAAGAAACGCATCCGTACCGGCCAATACGATTTTCCCGATCCGGAATGGACGAACGTTAGCCAGGCGGCCAAGGATCTGATCAAGGGCATGCTGAATGTTGATCCCAGCAAGCGATTGCGCATCCAGGATGTTATCCGTAACAATTGGATTGCCCAGTTCAATGCTGTGCCCCAGACGCCGCTCTGCACCGGCCGGATGCTGAAGGAGACCGAGGAGGCCTGGCCGGAAGTACAGGAAGAGATGACACGCTCACTGGCCACCATGCGTGTGGACTACGATCAGGTATGTCATTGGATATCATTCTTACAACAGATTACTCTAATACGTACTTTATTTTAATCCCATTTAGATGCAAATTAAAGCTCTGGACAAGTCAAATAATCCTTTGCTAACGAAGCGTAGGAAAAAAATTGAGGAAATTGAGAAATTATATGCGGCCAATGCAACACGAAACTAAAAAACTAAATCAACAACAACAACAACAACCAGATAATAACAAAAGAAAAGAAAAAACAGCTAAAAAGTAATACCTATATGGCCAATCGGGAGATAAGGATAATGTCGGACGGGCCGTGTCTTAACACTTAAGAGGAAAACTACTACGACGACAGCAGAGAAATGCTGATACTACTACTATTATTACTATAACTATAACGACTATAACCTTTTGAAAGAAAAAAAACAGCTCCATGTTTTTTTTTATTTTAAATTTGTTACGTTACGTTTTCCACTTTTTTTTTTTTTGTATTGTCCATTATCTGTATGTATAATCCATTTCCAGTAAACGGTTCTTAGGGTATTTTGTAGTCTGAAAAGTGCTCTTTTTTTTAAAGGAAACTATTAAAAATATGAAAAAAATGTATAACAAATCGAGAAACATCGAGATAAAAAGCCAAGAGCAAAGCTAAGCTTAGCCACAAGAATTTTTTCAAATGTCTCGTTGTTCTGGTTTCAGAAATTTTGAAGAAAAAAAATCAAAAAAATGTAATCTGTAACTTTGTAATTCATTATTTTTTTTTTTTTAATATCCATTTATGTGAGTTTGATTATAATTATATATAATATATATATGTATATTCCGTGTGTGTATATGTATGTATGGTATATATATGAGAAGAGAAAACAACAATAATACTAAATATTAAAAAAAAAATCAATTATAAATACAACAACCAGTTGATGTTCTGTGTTGGTTGTAAAACTTTATTTGCTGACTCTGCAAGCGATATACCATTTTACCGTATAGCGTATTTGTAGTCTACTATAAACAATAAATAAATAAATAAATAATAATACAAGAAACAAACAAACCAACAAAGCCCCATACATATATAAATAAAAACAACAAATCATGCTTATTTTACTATGATTAAAATCGAAAACAAGTCTACTTATTATTTATTAATGGAAGTTGGGGGATATTTGATCTTGTTCATGATTTAGAAAGAGATGGCTGTTTTAGAAGAGTTCTCTTTTTGATGATATGGGGTTTGAAAATTAAGAGTCCTAGGTTGGGTTATGAAATATATAATATCTGGTTTCAGGATCTTTTCAGACTGATCTGGAACCTTGTTTGAAAATCTTTATATCTTAAAAGTGATTTTCCTATTCGGAAGGTAATTTAGTTAAAGATCATCTTCTAATCCTAACTGAATATAAATATTTTATAATAATTATACATAAATTTGGGTAATTTATACCGAGATCTATTGTATATCTTACAAGATCTTACAATTTAAACAAAATAGCTCAATATAATACAAACATAAAGCTATGGGTCAGTACTCGATACTCTATCTTTTATAAACAAGATGGTTGGAAGAAGTCTTTTTATACCCTTTTATTGGGTATTATAATTTTGGTGGTTAATGTAATGTAAATATATCCATATTTCCTTGCATTCCTTCCTTAAATTACCTTAATTTTGTAAAGGAAAACATGTTTGTTTATAAATTAAAAAATCTAAAAATGTAAACACTTCTAGTTATATTTCCTACTTTACAGGGCGCCTAGAAGTCCAAGAGCATTAAATAGTTAGGGTTTATCTCCTCTTTTGATATGTTAACCTTCCAAAAAATGCTTTAATTTAGTCACTATTTATTAAAATCTTAAAATATTATTAATGAAAAATAGCGCCCTCCTCCTCGATTCTCATAGGTGGCACCTAAGCAGGCCCGAAAATCGAGGAAATAATTGTTTATTTTATTTTTTTTTTTTTAATTAAAAATAATTTAATTGTAATTAATTAAATATAGCGCCCTCCTCCTCGATTCTCATAGGTGGCACTTAAGCAGACCCGAAAATTGAAAAAAAAATTATTTTTTTTTTGTGAAATTTTGTTTATTTTTCTTGTTTGTCTTTGGTGCTTTTGATTGTAATTGTGATTGTGATTGTGTTTATGGTGTTATATGTTTTGGTTCTTATTGTAATTTTTGTTGCTTTAATTTTTTGTTGTATTATCATGAAGTTATATCCGAAAGTTATAAGATAACTGCCCTATAACATAAGTAACTGATTAATCGTAAATGCCATGAACTAGGTGTTTTTGAAGATAGAAGCTATGGACTTTTTCCAAATTATAAGAGATTATTTAAAGGTTTAACTTCTGAGGCCAAGTATATCCAATATTTGCAATATATATCCCATCCTATATTATCTTATAACATAAACTGCCACCTAACTACAAGGGTATATAAACTTTGGCTATGCCCGAAGTAGTCTTTCTTGTTTATATAGCTAAAGTAGGAGTATAGCTGATATAGGAGTAGAAAGTATAGAGTTTTAGGTTTATATTGTGTTTAGGGTAAATAAATATATAGTGTATAGTTTCACGATAATCTTAGACTGATCTGAAACCTTTTGTAAAAAGGATTATATCTTTAAAGTGATTTTTTTTTTAATTGATGATTAATGATGTTGATCATTAGTAACATTTGCTTAAGATATCCCAAAGGTACTATATAGGTACTCAAGATCATATTTTAATCAACCAAAAAATATATAAAACAATAATAATAATAAATAAATATGGGTAATATATACCGTCATTTGTTTTAAGATCTTAAGAGACCTTAGAAATCTTAAAGAAAAGAGACTTAGATGAAAGAATAATAATACAAGAATAGAGATATAGAGAATAAATCTTTAAAAAAGCAAGAAAAACTTGTGGCAATTTTAAATCACTTTTTTATATCAAATATATAAAGATACCCCCTATAAAGTTAATTGTTTATATTTTTCCCCCCAAAACACCCCTCCATATTAAAAGTTTTGAATACTTTGTGGCTTTCAAGTGTCATTTTATTGCTCATATTCATATTCATGATCAACAGTGCTGCGAAATACATATTCATGTCCATACATCATTCATATACCATATCATATATCATTATTATACCATCTATATCATCTGTGTCATCAGTGTGGTTCGATCGAGTGAGTGGGTGTGCGGAATAACCAACAATATGTGAAGGGAATGGATATTGGAAGAGGTTCTCAAGGTACGGGGACTATATAGGGGATATTGGAAGAGGTTTTTTTGCAATTTTCTTTGCAAATAACAATTCATTAAGCTCAAATATCAAGATGAGATTCGAACCTGCAGCTAAACTAATGGTATCAGCTAAAATCTACGACTAAGACAATAGTTAACATTTTTTTAAATTTTTTTTCACATACATTTCCATATCATATCATTCTGAAAAAAAGGTTTTTTGTTGTTTTTTTTTTGTGTGGTGTGTGTGGCTTGATTTCTGGTTTTGATTTTGGTTTAGTTTACAATATCATTTCCATAATTCTTGATTTGTTTTTAGTTTTTTCAGTTGTTGCCTTAAGTGTCGTATTAATTTACAAAAAAAAAAGAATATGTGACAGAAAATTGGCTTAGAAAAATACATTTGGTTCGCTATTATCCTGTCTACATTTTCAATATTTATTCATTTTGTTTTTTTTTGTCCATTTTCTTGTTAGCTAATTTTAATTTTATTTTATTTTTGTTTCATATATATTTTCTGTTCTAGCCTTAATTTTAGTTTAATGGCAGATATCGAGATTCACCAGTAACTCCGGGCCTTTCCCGCTAATAGTTGAACTTTAAATTCCTGCATGCGTTTCCAATTCTTCCACCAGAGCTTAGACTTAATGTCCTTTCTTCCAACTCTCTTTCTCTTTTCCTCTGATCTCTTCGTGCATCCTCATCTCTAATTATATTCCATAGGTTGCTTTATTTTTTTGTTTGTTTGTAGTTTTGTAAACTGAAGGTACATTTTCCATTATGATTCCTGATCCTGGATCTTGCTTTTTTGCTTTTCGATTTAATTTACAGGAAGCTGTCGCAGCTGTTCTCCGCCTCGCTATTGGAGCAATCCATCGCCGGCAGGGATCCACCTCGCCGATATACCCACTGGTGGTGGTGCCGCTGCTGATGATGATGATGATGCGAGGTGCCGGCACAGGGTTCGCAGCTTCCGCTGGAGTTGGTATTGGAACTGCTGCTACTGCTACCGCTGCCGGTGACGCCGCCGCTCATCTGGCTGCCCCGCCGACGCAAGGATGTGGGCGTGTCCGGCGGTACAACGGCATTCAGGCGCGGGAAGTACTTGTAAATCTCCAGCAGACTGCCCAGCTTCACGTGCGGCCTGTACTCCACATCCTCCAGGGACTGGGCGGCCGAACTGCTGCTGCTCAGCGGCGTCCAGAAAGTAAGTCCCAACTGTGCCAAGTGTCCACCCTAAAAATTACCAAAAATATTTCTTTAATTATTATGTAATTTTCATTTTAAAAAGAAAACTTTTCACTTTTTCTGCCTGTCAATTGTTAAGAATTTTCGTTTGTTTTCCTTTTTTTTTATATTTTTAGCTTTAACGAATAATTTATTCTATTTTTAGAAACTTATTTCCTGCCCGATGACGTTTAAACCTTGCATCGTTATTTGCGTTTTACTTTCTAAAAGTTCATAAAATGTTTAAAAATAAACTCTTAAAGCTTTGCAAGCGATTATTTGTTTGTTTTATTTTGGAAGTTATTAACTGAAAATTGTTTAAAGTTTGCCAACTTAAAAGTGATTCATATTTTTTATCAGCTAATTGTTAAACTTTTTTAATGAGGGTGATTAACAGGGGAAAACTATAAAATTTGTATAGACTATATGATACCCAGTACACAATACTCTTCCTTAATTTCAAGGAAGTAATTCAATACTCTACGTGATACCCAATACTCTTCCTTAATTTTTCCAGAAACTTTGGCAAAATAATAGATCATACAAATTTTTAAAACTTAATATTTATACATGATATATTCATATAATTATAGTATTATTCAAATAATAATATTATGTCCTATAGACCTTTATTAGGTAAAAAAGCTTACTTTTTTATAGACTTTATGGTACCCTGTAGTCTTTCTGCCTTTTTTCCGGGTATTGAAGTTTTATAGGAGTCATTTCTAATACATACATTGTATATTATAATATACATTTACCTTACTAAAATAAGAATCTATAAAGTCTTGTTTATAAAAACTCAAAAACTATATGATACCCGGTACTTTTCCCGTCTTTCTTCCTTTCATTTTAAGATTATTGACAAAACATCTATTATACATCATAAAGTCGCCTATATCTTAAATAATCGTCGTAATCTTAATATAGTTTAATGAATCTATATAAATAATCTAAAAATAAGAATCTATACAGCCTCCCAATGAAAAAAATACTCATTATTTCCATACTATATGATACCTGGTACTTTGTGCGTTTCTTTCGAGATATTTAAAGCTAAAATATATCATATAATGGCTTGATATACAGAATACAAATCTTTCTACTAACAAACATAATAAATCTTTGAATAAAAATCTTCTAAAAAACTAAAAAATAAAGAAATAATAATAATACCATATATCAAAGTAAATAAAATCACATATCTATAAACTTAAATAATAAAAAATAATCAAGAATATCTTATCAAATCCCCCATATCAAAAAATTTCACTACCGAACCCCATATAATCTCAAGAGTCTAAAAGCCCCCTAAAAACCACCTGTCACGTAGCTTTCCTCAAAAGAGATATACCCTGGGAATCCCGAGTATATTTTCGCTGAAAACCCTTATTAAAGGCAATTTAGGTGGCGGGTGATTCATTACCTTGATGTCTGTTTCCAGCTTGTCGCCAATCATGGCGCACTCGTGCGGCTTGACATTGAGGAAATTGCAGGCCGCATAGAAGATCTCCGGATGCGGTTTCTCCCACGGCAGATCGGACGAGACGAGGACACAGTCAAAGTAGCCCCGGACATGCAGCTTGGCCACCTTCTCCCACTGGGCATTCGAGGGTCCGTTCGTGATCAGGGCGAGGGCATAGCCCGCTTGTCGCATACGGAGCAGTAACTGGACATAATCCGGTGGAACGGCCAGATAGCGATACCTCAGTCTCAGCCACTGGGGATAGATCTGTTCGGCGAGGTGTTTGTGGCGCGTGGGTAACGATTCCCGCCACAAGTGGGTGCGCCACGAATCCAGCGAGGTCTGCGAGTTGTCCGGGCAACGTCGGAAGGCCTTGAGAAAGTTTTGGGTGGCCTGGGCGGCGTCATCCTTATTGAATTGGTATTGCGACTCTAAAACATCTGCGAGCTAATAATGAATCACAACAAAAAAAGAATCATGTTATCAGCAATGGGTTTTGAAAAGGAAATATTACAATATAAGTAATAGATTCTAATGGAAATCATTTTTCAGTGTCTTTACCTAATCGAATGTTATGCCGCAATCAATCTCGTATCAGTGCATTGATCAAACTGCCATTGAAATATCATATAATACACAGAATACTTATAATACTTATTACAGCACACACTTTCCGCTTAAAAAAAATATAAGAATATTGCTAAAAGTTTAAAAAAAATTCCACAACTTAGACTACTATGTGCTCACTTGATAAACAAATAAATAATGATAATCATTGTTTATTTTTAAGATTTTAAGGTAAGATCATCATACCCCCTCCCATCGTGTGGAAGGAAATGCTACGCCCCATGAATTTCAATAATTGAAACGGGGTGTGGCTCGATTTTTTGGTGGAATGATAAAATCAACAATAAATTGTGAACAGGCTGGGTAAACTTTAGAGCTATGTGGGTCAAAAGGTCACTGGATATGGTAACCAAAATCAGACAAAGAGGTCTTATTATATATCTAGATAAAGGGCTCTTAATTAGGCATTTTAAGGTCTTTGCTTTTGTTTTTAAAAGATATTTAAGAACTTTCTTATAAGATGTAAGTTTAAAGAGATTTTAAAGGCCTTTTATATAAGATATATATTTTAAAGATTCAAGAACCTTTAAAAACCCTTTATTGAAAGATATATGGAAGATTTTAAGGATTTTAAAGACCTTTCCTATAAGATCTATGTTTTAAAATGCGTCAAAAACCTTTCTATAACTTGTAAGATATGATTTTAAAACCCTCTTTATAAAAGATATAGCTTCAAAAGATTTTAAAGACCTTTTATGAAAGATATATAAAAGTTTTAAAGATTTTAAAGACCTTTCCTATAAGATATATATTTTAAAAAGTTTTAAAACCTTTCTATAACTTATAAGATATGATTTTAAAAGCCTCTTTATATAAGATATATATTTTAAAGGTTTTAAAGACCTTTAATGAAAGATATACTATACAAGATCTTAAGGTTTAATAAACCTTTCCTATAAGATCTATATTTTAAAAAGTTGAATAACCTTTATATAAGATATAGAATATAATTTTAAAAACCTCTTTATATAAGATATATGTATATTAAAAAGATTTTAAACCCCTTTCATATAAGATATATCTCAAGTTCTTGCCAAAAATATTTCTATTGTAATTTTAAAATGGCACTTCCTAGTTCCTACAGAGACCATTATAAATATTTCAAGAGATATACACACTATATCTCTTTCTCTAGACATGGTCTATAAAAAGGCATTACAGATAAGATAGAAAGAAAGCTTGATTTTCAAGTTCTTAGTGATAGGATAGAATCGGTAGAAGTCCATAATGGAAAGCCCAGAATTTACCATTTTAGAGGTCATTTTGCAGACATGGTTGATAAAAAAAACTGCAAGACCAACAGAATGCGTTTCTTTTACTTTAAATATATGTACATATATTCTCTCTTTTATATACATACAGTTGCATTTACTATCGAATCTTTTTTTGGACATGACATTTTGGCCAAAGGCCTTCACGTGTTATTTACAAAAAAAAAAAAAGATAAGAAGTCCATGGCCACAAAAGTAAACAAACCGAATTTCTTTTTATTTTTATTTTTATTATTTTGTATTTTTTTTTTGGAAGCATGGTGTGCTATCGCGGGATTTTTCGTATACGTAACCATTGCGGGCGGGCGAGTGGAAAATTTTCTATCGGAGCTGCGCACTTTCACCCCACCCCAATGGGGGGTGGAAGGGGAGGTGTTTGGGGGGTTAGCTTTCTGAAGGGGTAGTGGATAATAATGGAATTTCTTATTCAGAAATAACTCACCTTTCTGATGGCTTTTGAATCGCCGGCTCTTGTGGGTATTAATGTATTGTCCAGGTCAAAATAAAAGGCCGAGATCTTCGCACATGTCGCTTCGAAGTGAGTGGCGGCTGTTTTTGAACTGGAGGGGAATTTGCTTGCTGCCATCAGAGTCTCACGAGCACAAGGGGGTCGGTCGGTCGGTCGGTCGGGTTTCACCAGCGGAAGGGGTTAGCGGGTCAACGGATCACCGAAACGTTTTTTTTTTTATTTAATTCGTTTATTTTGGTTTTGGGTTTTTTTCGAAAGTTTTCATAGATTTGTTTTTTTTTTGTAGAGGATATCAACTCTATAGGCAGTTTTTGAAATTGGCGCCAATTGTATCAAGTCACAATAAAACAGCAACTAAAGCTAACCAAAATAAAAAACGGTCGTGAACGTAATTAAGTTGGAAAGAAGGGGAGCGGAACGGAACGGAACAGGTGAATGTGAATGTAGTCAGAGTGAGAGCGGGCCAGTGACTGAAAGTAGGGTTGTTGATAACATATCATATATAACACATTTATCGATATTCCTTCAATAAAATGATTCATTCACGATAATACGATATAATCGGTTAGTGAAAGCCCGAGAGCAGAGGGATGGAACAAAAGAAAGTGCCCCGCGCTCCACACTGACAATAGAAAGTCTTTGCACGCTGTCACTAGTGTTGTCATGTGTTTTCAAAAAAAATTAATTAGCTTTTTTTTTAGCAATTATCCAAAAAATTCCAAAAATTATGAAGCTTTAATAAATTTAAAGCCTTTGTTGATTAAACTGTTTTTTTTTAAGTATAATATTTAATTTATACAAAGCTTTAACGAGCTTAATTAGTTTTGGCGGGCACAAGGTATGACACTTTTCGATGGCACTGTTTCTATTTACCCGTGAGAGCAACAGAGACCGCGATGTCCATTGAGCTCCTTTCTAACTTAATACCACCAACCTGCACTCTTTAAAACAACTTAAATTTTACATTTGCAATGCATGCTAAATTTAATTTTCAAAACTAAAAAAAAATAAATGAGACTAATAATTTTTATTGTTTGCCAATAATAAAAAATGAATGGCAAGACGAACTTTTTTTTTGGCATACTGGAATCGATAGACGATTACGCGTGGCACTCTGGTAACGGGTGGGCAGCACTGCATTTACTTCAACCAGGTGGCAGCTTTGGCATTGCATCGCCTTTTTAATTATTTTATTTACCCAAACAAATAGCAAGTTTTTCAAAGATGCACAAGCTCACACCCAACATAGAGGTCTACTCGGCAGGTGAGTTGATAATTAAGGTACAAAAAAATAAAACTAACTTGCTTTTCTTCGTCGGCATACCCCCAGAAGCCCTTCTGAGAAAGGAACAAGATATCAAAATTAATGCGGAGATGTCAGCGATGAGAAAGGCACGATTGTCCGGCGTGGAGCCGCACCAGGACATCAAGGACCAGGAGGAGGACTCCCCGGAGGATGAGCTCATTTCCATGGAGACGCTGCGCGAATCTCCAGTCCAGTGGCCCGAACGATGTGAGTACCATAAAACGTGCCTCAGTTGGCGCCATTTTTAACGTATTTTTGCAGTTCCCGGCATGGATGAGTTCCTAACCATGAGCGATACGCCCATGTATACGCCCAGTGTGGATTTCGGCAACAATCTGACCCCCGAGGACATGGCCAAGATACACAGTAAGTACCAAAATAAACGGACAGACATTGCTTATTCCGCATCACGAATTCTTGATAACTTCTAGAGCTGAGCCAACTCACACCGGAACAGCTGGTGGAGAAGATTAAGTCAATGCACGATGAGATCTACCAGCTGGGCTTGCGCGAGGCCAAGGAGATGACCCGCGGCAAGCTGTTGGGCATCTTTGATCGCGAGCGTATGCACAAAAGGCAAACGTGATGCCCTGGTAACGTCCCTAAACTCTTAATTGTTAAAATTAATTCTAAATAGGTTAATATATACATCAAGTCGGTGTTAAAATAATGAAAACACGAGTCATTTTGCAACAATAACTAACGTTTATTTCCAATTAAAGCAGTTTTGGGTCCTACGTTAACACGATTACACGATATTGCCATGGATGTGGAACCAGAAGGGGGAAGATGGCTGGTGGCCAGGGTTGGGAGGTCAAGAAGGCACAGTATAGTTTGTAAAATTCCACTATGCATGCATTTTTTAACTTAACATTCAACACCTATAATGATTGTAAGGTGGGTCGCAAAAAGGGAAATAAGATTTAGTTTATATACCAAGATTAGATAGTTATTTTAAAGTATCTTGCTAACAAATGTCAAGTTTTTCTTTCACTTTTTCGTTGGCCAAAGAACATATTCTGTTTAAATTACAAAAAATAAACTTAAATTAAAGATATCCTTGAATTACCGACCTACCCTACAGTTCTGGGACGTGTGTGTGTTTTTTTGTGCTTAATACTTTTTGGTTGGCTCTGGGCCGTGCTCGAGTAACCTATAGTTGGTATCCTGTATCAATCCCATGGCTCAGTGACCCTCATTCCTGCCACTGCATTCCGAAACGCTGCTCGAACGTGATACGATTAAAGACCCCGGCATCGGCCAGCTGCAACGGATCGGTGTAGTAGGCGAACCGGCGGATGTCCAGCATGGCCAGGTCGAACATCTGCTTCCAGCTGGTCAGATCGGTGACGCTCATGTGGATCGGCAGCTGCGGATCGGGTATATCGATGGCGGCCTGCAGCCGATCAAATGCCTCGGCAATCGGTCCGACGGATAGATTCACCCAGTACTCGGCCGGGAAGCGCTTGTTCTCGCAAAACGGCGCCCCCTTCCGCATGATGAAGACCAGCATGAGGATCTCGTATCGCTCGGAGCTCTCGTAGAAGCGCTTGGTGCGAGTCTTCTCCACAAAATCGATCAACAGTATCAGGGGAGTGTAGTTCTGCAAGTGCATCAATAGCTCCCGATCGGTCCACAAGTAGCGACCCCCCTTCACGGTCAGCATGCTCATGTTGCTGGTGAGTTGTTGGTGTTGTTTCTGGTGATGTTGTTGTTGTTGCTGTTGATGATGGAGTTGCTGCTGCTGCTGCTGCTGGTGGAGATGTTGCTGCTGATGAGCCTGAAGTTGCTGATGTGGCTGCGATTGTTGTTGTGTGGCTTGATGTTGCTGTTGCAGGGCCTGATGTTGCTGTTGCTGCTGCTGTTGCTGCTTTTGTTGGAGAAGTTGCTGCTGTTGTTGCTTATGTTGTTGTGATTGCTGCTGTTGTTGTTGTTGTGGGTGGTGCTGCTGCTGTTGCGGCTGCTGTGCCTGCTGCTGCTGTGCCTGCTGCTGTTGCTGTTGCTGCTGCTGCTGTGGATGTTGCTGCTGTTGCTGTTGGTGTTGCTGTTGTTGCTGGAGCGGTGATACTGGATTTCCGGTGCTGGTTGCAACCTGGCTGGGCATGGCGACCACAATGCCCGTTTGTTTCAAACAACCAACCTCCTCGACCATGTGCTGACGGCAAATGCAATTAAGGTTGCAACTAGGCCAAGGTCACCTCGCTGGAAAGCACGTACCAGCCAGCCAGCCACCTTAACTTGTTGCAAGTACAAAATCAACTTACTGCGTGCCCCAGTGCGACAAACCAAATTAAATGGATGGCCTGCCTCCTCCTGACAGAGTCCTAGCTCCTGGCGCTCCTTTCGCTCCTCTTGCTCCTCACAACCTATACCTATTACCCTATTATACGATTATATCCTTCCCCTATATATAGAGATATGTTTATTATTTATATAGGATGTAGTAGTGCCGTTGCAGCCGCTGCGTGAGCTCCGAACTGGACGATTGTTGCCACGCGAGTGCGTCCCAATGGATGGACTTGCCATCAGTTGTCGTACCGTTCGGGTCTTTCGTGGGGGGGCTCGTATTCGGGCTCGTATTCCGATTTGGGACACGGATACGGCATGTGGCTGTGTGTGGGATGTGGCCGTTTGGCAATGAACTTATTGGATGCGGCGCCCTGGCTGCACTTTGCAGATGTATTTCACGATGCAGCCTGCCAACTTGCCATCTTTTAAATTTCATCCCTTATTTTTAAAGAATTATTTTTTATTTTGGAAACCCCAGGACTCCCGACCCACAAAAAAAAAAAAAAAAACTAGATCTTCTCCAGCTTGGCTAATCTTAAATCGAATTCCGTCCTGTGTTCCGCCTTTAAATACTTTCGCATTCCCACCAGAAGGTAACGACATCGCGGACCAACCAACACCTCGAAGAGCACCTTCATCAGGGCCTCAAACTTGTCCTCACTGCCGTCTTTGTACTCCAGCAAGGCCCGGCCATAGGCACGGAACTGATCCTGACTAACCAGACTTCGCAACTGATGGGGGAGACAGGGATATATTATTATAGAATCAATATAATCTCTAGCATGTATATAGTCACCTCTCGCAGGAAATCAGACCGAGCTTCGGGCGCCACCTTTTCCACCTCCGGCGGCTCCACCTTGATGCTGCTTATGTTATCCACTAGCTTGTAACGCTTCTTGGCTGTCTGGCTGGAGGATTGGGATGAACTAGGAGGAGAGCTACGCTCACGTTTGTGAATCTTCACCAGACCGGAGGAGCTACTCCGGCTATCCATGCAATTAAAATCAATGCTCTGGAAGGGGATACAAAATCAAGGATTAGGAGAAGTGTATCCCATTTCTTTAGAAGACCTCCGCTTACAGAGACATTCGAGTCCAAGCGACTCATAAAATCCATGGCATTGGGCGCCGACGAGCCGCCAAGCGTTCGTCCAGCGGCGCAGGCATAGTCGGCCGGTGACCATGATTTTATGGAATTGGCCATCTCCACTTTGCTGGAAATGATTTATTGAAAAGTTTTCCACTTCAAGGACATGGCCAGACTTACATGGCTGTTTCATTGGCCGCCTTGAAGGTGGCATTGGAGCCTGGTTCCCTTTTTATCTGCGTGATGGGGGCCAGTGGCTCGTCCTCCTTTTTGATAACCGTCTCCAGAGGAGTCCCCGATTCTCTCTCATCCGGCTGCTTCATCTAAGGGAGATTACTTTTGTTAGAGACATCCATCCCCTAATCCTCTAAAGACATCTTCCAACTCACAGTGGTTTCGGCATTTTTGAAAAACTGACGCAGCTCCCGGACAATCGGGCCGAAGGGTGAGCACTGCGGCCTGTCGCCGAGGTGTCCGCGTATCCACTTGGACAACTGCTGCACCTGAGCGGCATCCTTGAACCTCGAATCGCACAGCAGAATGGCACCGTAATCGTTACGATGACGGATCACACGACCAATGGCCTGGTTAACGGCTCGGGTAGCCTCCAGGTTGTACCACTCGTTGCCGCTGAGGAGCTGATTCTCCCGGGTGCGATTCGACTCCAGATAGCGACGCTTCAGTATCACCTTGGGATCCTTGAGCGGCGGAAACGGTAGACCCGTGATGATCACCGCCCGACCGTTGCGATCGGCAAAGTCCAGACCTTCGGATACCTTGCCGCGACACACGGCCATGAAGCAGGCACCCTTGGAGTCGCGTATGGCCTGGTAGAACTCCTCCATGGTGCTGGTGAACTGATCCTTGCCACGCGGCTCCAAAAATATAGGCTTTTTGCTGGCTATGTCCGCCCAAAGGCCGCTGGCCTGCCAGGCATCCACGCACTTGTTCAGCATCGGATACGAGGGGAAGAAGACCAGCAGGCCATCGGGAACGAGGCGGGAGACGTTCAGAATGGTCTGTCCCAATGAGCTGATGTACTTAGGATTATCACTGAAAGAACAAGAGAGATTACTTCAAGATAGAGTCCAGGATAATGCCAGATAACCCACCGATTGGTGTAGTTGGATATCAGAGGCTGACGATCGGGTCCTGTGCCAATGATCTTCACATACACCTGCGACTGGTCCACAATGTGCGGGTTCTCCAGGTGCTGGGCCACCGGGATGGCCAGTTCAGCGATCAGAGGCTTCAACGGTGCCAGGGTACCGCTCGTGAGGATTACACTGCGCACCTGGGTGTTGAGCAACTGTTCCATGCCGAAACCCGGATTAAAACACCAGAAATTTATGATTTTGGCCACCTTGCCAGTGGAACCATTCGTTAAGGCTGCCTTGCTCAGCCAGCCGCCTTGCTGCTTGGCTGGGGCCTGCTTTCCCGGCGCCTGTTTGGACTCCTCCACCTGGACATGAACCTTGAAGCTAGCGTGCACCTTGCTCATAACACTCTCCTTGTTGGCAAAGACAATGGTGAGCAGATCGCTCAGTATAGTGAAGCTGCCGCCCTTGCGCAGGCTCATCTGCTGCTGGGAGGCCACCATTAGATACTGCACCAGCTTGTCCAGCAGGGACACTATAGTGGCAACGTTTCCATAAGTGAACTACAAAGGAAAACATTAAATATTTATCCAGAAAGTGGATTCCCCCATCTTACATTGGCTTTTCCCAAAAGATCGTAGATCATGGAGGCCGGATAGGTGGCGCCATCAATGGGATTGTCCACCACCACCGCATCAATGGCCTTCTCCAGCTCCAGAAGCATCTCCTTGAGCAGCATGAGATCATCCACGGTAAAGTCCTTTGGCTCATCGCCGGCCATGTCCTGCGGCGAGTCGCTGGCGAATGCCTTCATGATGTGCGTGACATCCTCAATGGCTATGGCTACGTCCGAGGATTTGATCTGCACCGAGGCAGACTCCTCGCAAATCTTCTCGATGTTGTGGGCCTCGTCGAGGATCACAATCGTGTTGCCCAGTTCGATCTTGTTGGCCTTGCGCGCCTTTGGATCCAGCAGATAATTGTACGGCATGAAGGTAATATCCGCCTGGGGCACCAGTTCCTTCGACGCATAGTACGGACACATCTTGAGCCGCTGGCCCACCTTAATCAGATCCTCGATGTCCATGATGCTGGGCCCCCGAAAGTCCGGATGATCCTTTTTCGACTCCACACGCAGCTGGAAGGAACAGGTCTTGGAGTGGACACGCAGCTTGCACATATTGACCTTGTTGGAGTTGCCCACTTCCCGGGAAACCTCCGGATGGATGCACAGCTGGTCCCTTGATCCGAGGACCACGGATCGCATGTTGGAGTAGGCAGTGCGCTTCAATTCCCGCATGGCCTGTGTTAGCTGCGAGTGCGTACGTGAAGCGTAGATCACCTTCGGCACTCCCCAATTGTTGGCCTTGCCCATGGTCTTGGCCAAATCCGAGAGTTCCGGGCCTCCTCCGCCACCTCCACCCATCAGATCGGCACCTTTGTCCAGCTTAATCATCTGCTGCTGGTGCTCCGATTGGCGAGTCCTGATCCAGGCCAGCGACGAGCACAGCAGACTCAGCGTTTTTCCCGTTCCAGTTGGAGATTCCAGCACTCCGTTTGTTCCATCCTTCAGGCACTGGATAACCTTCTCCATGTACGCCCGCTGCACCGGGTACGGTTCGAAGGGAAAGTGCACCGGTATACCGGCGATCAGACTTTCCGGCATCTTGTTGGCAAATAATAAATAATATTTATTATTTTTGGGCGCCAAAGCCGGCCGAACATGTGTTGCGGCAAAAGTCGATAACAGTTATCGGAAAGGTATTTAAAAGTCTTATTAAGGATTCAATAAAATATTTTATTTATTTAAATCAATAGAGATTCTTAATTTATATTTTTAAGACAACAATTTATTAAATTTAATTTTTCTTTGCTAATTTTACAATCAAATTTTGTAGAACAAACCTTTTGTACAATAATTTATCAATCGAATTTGTTATCGAAGTTTGAAATTCCCATTTGGCGCCATGAACAGCTGATTCTTAGCGGACTGCAAATTTTAATTTTTTTTGTATTAATGTTATATATTATTAAAAATTTGATTATTTCTAAGATGAAAAAGTTACCCTATATAGCTTAGCAATATTGGGATCAGATTTTAAAAAGTTTTTCTAAATTTATTTTTAAAAAAATATTTTTAATAATTTTTTTAATGAAATAAATTTTATTTCATTTTATTTTTTATTTTTTAAATATTTTTAAAAAAATATTTTTAATAATTTTTTTAATGAAATAAAGTGGAAGCTGCATCCTTAATTATCATATTGATGCATAGATTTACCGATTCTTTACAACTCTACACTGAAACAAACTCTTTTTGGTTCAAACTCTACAGGGAATCCTTCAAATCCCCACTCTATGGAGCTGGGGAGTAAATCGGTAACTTCTGAAAAAGAAAACCATCAACCCTTAAACCCTTTTCTCGATTGAAAAAAATAAATTAGTGTGCATAAAATAATTGTAAAAAATATAAATTACAAAACTATGACTAAAATAGGACATTAAATTTAAAAAAATTATTAATACAAAATATTGCCACAAGGCTGTTCACCCTAGTTATCAGTGCTGTAAAGCGGATGATTTTCCGGCTAAACAACACTGATAACTACCCTGAACACAACACTGAAAATTCACACTGAAAACAACACTCCCCCGGTCCATTTTTGTCCGAAATTTTGAACCGAGAGGTTGGCTCGGGACCAACACACCGCGGAAAAGAACAAGAAGAAGCAGGCAGCGAACGGCGGACATCGGCCACGGCGACGACGCAACAACAGTGACGACGGCGACGACGACCTGTACGTGTGTGTGTGTGTGTGTATGTGAGTGTGAGTGCAATGCAGTGTGCGTGAGTGGAGCAAGCGGGAAGCAGTATACGAAGGCCGTGAGTGCGAGCGAGCGAGGTTGCTGTTCGTGCCAAGCCACATACACGTCCCCGCTCTCCCTCTCTGCCTGTGTCTCTCTCTAGTAGAGCGCCCCCCACCCTCCCCCTCCGCCTTTACCGCGCGAGTGCTGAGCTGCGTATGTGTGCCTGTGTGTGTGTGTTCGCGGTGGTGATAAATTTTTGTTGGCACAAAGTAAAAATATAACAGAATAAAAATCGTGGCGCGGGTTAGAAGATAATCGAAATTATTGCAAGTATTGGAGCTGGCAGTTTGCATTTTTTCAAAATTTTAATTTTATTTCAAAAAAATTTTTTTTTTTTTGTGATTTTAGCCGTACGTAGAGCGTTTGTTGTTTGGTTAATTGAGTGCTTTTTGAAACTCTCGCTCGAAGTACTTGTGCCAGTTCTGCTGCTGCTGCTGCTACTGCCGCTGCTGCTGCGGCTGGCGATGATGGTGATGCTGTGTGTGTGTGAGTGAGTGCGGCGACTGTTTTTGGTCGCGGTGGGAGCTTATCCTGGCGATAATCCTCAAAATTCCGACCGGAAATCCTTTGAGGTCAATCCGCATTGGTGTGGCGATCTCCGTGTCAGCCGGCCATCCGCACATTTCTGGCACGATTTCCATCGCACTTCGAAATTCAAATTCGGAAAAGTTTGGCGCCTACGCGAGCGGTGAATCGAAAGTGCGCTCCGATAACGATAACCGGATTATCACATGCAAATCACAAAATTCAATCTTAAAACAATAAAAATGTGTTGTCAGAATGTGTTTATCAATAAACCGACAATCCGATACCCTCCTTACTGCCCCACATTGAGTGCATTACCTTCCGAAGACGAGTGTTTATCGTCCAGTTTTTTTTTTTTTTTGCTGCTTTGGCAACTCTGCTGGTTCTGCTGCTGCTGCGGCTGCATAAGTGAATTCCGACGTATCATTATAGCCCAGCAATATAGCCCAACCACGACCCACCCCCTGCACTGACAAGATTAATTAGCCACAAAAACTCGATTACTTGAAGTGGTCTCCCCTACATTTCTTTTTTTTTTTCTTTTTTTTTTTTTTTGTTTTTACCGTGTGTGTGAGCTTTTAACACAATAGGCCAATCACCCTCCCCCTTGCATGCCCGCTTCGATGCCTCCCACTTTGGGGCCAGGGTTGCCAGACACTTTAACCTCGAGCCCCAATTTACAAGTGTTATTTCAAGAATTAAATTTTTTATTTAAAAAAAAAAAATATTTAATGTGTTACAATTTACACTTTGTAAGTGTTACCACCTGTTTATGGTATGGTGTATAACCATTAGATCCCTTGGCAACCCTACTATCGTACTCGTGTATGCGTGCATATCCATGTGTGCTGGTATGTGTGTGTGTGTGTGTGTCTGTTTGCGCTCTTATTCAAATAGAAATTGAATGTTTTGCACTCGAATTCAGAGTCAATTAGTCGTAGCAGTGATAACACGCTCTTACTGGAAATTTATACAACTCAGGGCCAGAGTCAACTGCAATAGGCCCGGCTCCAATCTAGCGAAGGGGGAGGGAGGTCGGAGGTGGGGTGATATCGTAAAGTAGGTTAGCCGTTGGCGATGATCGTTATCCCGGCATCGGTTTTTCTATCGCAAGCTATCGCATTCCTTTTTGGCATCCCCAAATCCCTCTTTCTCCGGCTCTCTAGGCGCTCTAGGCTCTCTTCTTCCTCGCCCACTTACCTGCCTCCTCTAGCTTCCTCTCGCTTTTGTTTTTTTTTTTGTCGTTTTTGGAGAGCAAACAGAGATGCGCACCTTTGATCGTGAGTGTGGAGAGAGGGGATATTGTGTAACAAGACACAACAAGACGTTATAGACATGTTAAAACACTATTTCCAAATAAAATTAAATATATATATATTTTTTTTTAAATTAAGAATTATAAATTTTGTAGAATTTTGTTCCACTCACGAGCCACGTGAACCCCACCTGGGTCACGGGATCATCTCTAGGCAACGCCAACGAAGCGTAGTGGGGCATCAAGCCGAGCAGACCAGGGGCGGGTGGAGTGGTAGGAGGTGGTGGAATAGATAAAGGAGGACGCCGAGGGCAGGAGGCAGCGACCGAATAGCAGCGACTGGTGGAGTCAAGAGAGTGGATTCAGATTTGTGTCAAAGCATTTTTCTCATAAATATGCACCAACAAACATCTTGAGGAGCGACCCCATGGGACTTAATGCCATAAGCCAGTTGATTCCATACCTAATTAGCACATATTTTATATGTATGTTATAGTGTGTGTGTGTGTGTGATGACAGTGATTACGCAGTTTCAGAAAAAAAAAATCGCAATCAGTAGTTGATATCTTTTATAAAAATCGATCTATATGATCGATTGCATACAGTGCGTATGCGCAACCTCAATATACAACCAGTTGCATATGCTTGTTGTTTCATTATCGTTCCGTTTCGTTTCCATTTCGTTGCAGTTAGTTGTTGTTGCTGCTGCTGCTACTGCTTATCCAGTCCAAATGTCAGCTGTTTCACGCAACAACAACATGTACCATAAAAGCGGCACAGCCACAGCCAAACGCAGAAAAAGAGCTTATCGATCAAGCCCCGCAGGACAAGAGAAAAGAGAGCAAGCGCCAGAGGCATCCGCAACCGAGCGCTGCTAACAACGTAAACAAATAACTAAAAAAAAAAAAAATACACACAAATCAACAAAAACAAAAACAAAAAAACAAATACAAAAAAGCAACAATAAACAACAAATAAAAACAAAAAGAAAAGCAAACAAAACGCAGCCTGAAAACACAAATTACAAAGAAAAAAAGATAGCAAGCATAGCTGCGAAAAGTAAAAGAGCGAGAAAGAGAAGGAGAAAGTGCAATTAAGTGCATAGAAAGAGAAAGAGAAGGCGACAAAGAGAAAGATAACGGTAAGCAAAGCTTAAGATCAGCTGGGAAATGGAAATAGTTGGGAGTTGGGAAATAGTTCGTTTTATTTCAAAATATAAGGAAATATTAGTTATTTCAAAATATTTTGAAAATAGAAAATGAATTTCATAATTTTAAATATTTTTGTTATACATTTATGGTTTATTTTCATTAAAATTTAATTGGTTTTAAAGTGTTTATTGTTTATATCTCGTAATTTGGGAATTTGAAAATTTGGAAATTTGGGAAGATTTCTAAGTTTTTATATTCTTTTCACTTTTAAAATATAAAAATATGATAGTTTGAATTGTGATTTTTTAGTTTCAAATATTTTTGAAGTACACTAATGTCTTATTTTATTTACAATATTTTTTTAAGATTCAAACTTTATTTTTATAAAGTTATATACTTTGTATTATACTTATACGTTATATACTTTGTATAAATAGTTTAATTATTTCAAAATTAACAATAGTAAATATTTGAAAAAATGAATTTTTAAAATCTTTTCTATATTTTTTCATACACTTATGCTTGATTTTCTTTAAAATAGACTTTTTTTAAGGTATTTTATAATTCATATTTAGTTTCCAAATTAATAATCTTTTTAATTCTTAAATTCTTAAATTCATTATTAAAAAAAAGCCTATACATTTTTTTTTTTAGAAACCCCCACACATTCCATTGTGTGGGATTGGGGGATCATTCATAATGATCTTCCTTATGAGTACGCTGACGTCATGGTTCCAATATTTGAATCATCGATGTTATCGAGAAACCATTACATAATATTTATTCCTAAACTTTAATGAAGTCATGTACATTTTTTTTAAATCTTAAAATTAAATAATTTAAATATATATTTTTTTTAATTTCAGAGATTTAAGAGAAGAAGAGTGGAGGTTCCATCACCGCCATGACAATCATACTCTTCCTGGTGGACACCTCGTCGTCCATGTGCCAGAAGGCGTATGTGAACGGGGTGCAGAAGACGTATCTGGACATTGCCAAGGGCGCCGTGGAGACCTTCCTCAAGTACCGACAACGCACCCAGGACTGCCTGGGCGATCGCTATATGCTGCTGACCTTCGAGGAGCCGCCGGCCAATGTGAAGGCCGGCTGGAAGGAGAACCATGCCACGTTCATGAACGAACTGAAGAACCTGCAGAGCCACGGCCTGACCTCCATGGGCGAGTCGCTTCGGAATGCCTTCGATCTGCTCAACCTCAACCGGATGCAGTCGGGCATCGATACTTACGGACAGGGACGGTGTCCCTTCTACCTCGAGCCCTCGGTCATTATTGTGATCACCGATGGCGGGCGGTATTCGTATCGGAATGGTGTCCACCAGGAGATCATACTGCCGCTGAGTAACCAAATACCCGGCACCAAGTTCACCAAGGAGCCCTTCCGCTGGGATCAGCGCCTGTTTTCATTAGTCCTCCGGATGCCGGGCAACAAGATCGACGAACGGGTGGAGGGCAAGGTGCCGCACGACGATTCACCCATCGAGAGGATGTGCGAGGTGACGGGTGGGCGGTCGTATCGCGTCCGGAGTCACTACGTCCTCAACCAGTGCATCGAGAGTCTCGTGCAGAAGGTGCAACCGGGTGTGGTGCTCCAATTCGAACCCCTGCTGCCGAAGGACTCCTCCAATCCCAGTTCCGTCAATTCGGGAGCGGGGTCCGGTTCGGGATCTGGCCCCGGCGGCGGCGGTGGCGGCGGTGACCCAGCACCGGACATTGTCTTTCAGCCGGTGAAGAAGATGATCTACGTACAGAAGCACATCACCCAGAAGACCTTCCCCATCGGCTACTGGCCGCTGCCGGAGCCCTACTGGCCCGACTCCAAGGCCATCACCCTGCCGCCCCGCGACGCCCATCCCAAGCTGAAGATCCTGACGCCCGCCGTCGATGAGCCGCAGCTGGTGCGCAGCTTTCCGGTGGACAAGTACGAGATCGAGGGCTGTCCCCTGACGCTGCAGATCCTCAACAAGCGCGAGATGAACAAGTGCTGGCAGGTGATCGTGACGAATGGGATGCACGGCTTCGAGCTGCCCTTCGGCTATCTGAAGGCGGCGCCGAACTTCAGCCAGGTGCACCTGTACGTGCTGGCCTACAACTATCCCGCCCTGCTGCCGCTCCTCCACGATCTGATCCACAAGTACAACATGAGTCCTCCCAACGATCTGATGTACAAGTTCAATGCCTACGTCCGCTCCATACCGCCGTACTACTGCCCCTTCCTGCGCAAGGCCCTGGTGAACATCAATGTGCCGTACCAGCTGCTGCAGTTCCTCCTGCCGGAGAACGTGGACAACTATCTGTCGCCGACGATCGCCAACCAGCTGAAGCACATCAAGAACACCGCCAAGCAGGATCAGGAGAATCTCTGCCTCAAGGTCTACAAGCAGCTGAAGCAGCCCAAGCCACCCTACCGTCAGGTGGAGACGGCCAAGCTGTGCACCGGTACGGCTCTGAGGAGGGATCTGGTGAGGCATCCCCTCCTCCGGGACACCTTCGCCAAGTTGCATGCAGAAATCGAGCCGGTGGAGAACTATACCATTGTGGTGCCTCAACTGACGCACCAAGCGTCGGCCAAGACGTACAGGTAAGGATTCATGGAGTCTCCATCGATGTCCTCCTACTAATCTCTCTCTTGGTCTTTTAGGAATCCCTTCGATATACCGCGACGGGATCTTGTTGAGGAAATCGCTAGGATGCGCGAGACCTTCCTGCGACCCGCCTCGCTGGTGGCCAAGGACTCGGGCCACTGCCTGCCCATCGCCGAGATGGGCAACTACCAGGAGTACCTCAAGAACAAGGACAATCCGCTGCGCGAGATTGAGCCGACCAACGTGCGCCAGCACATGTTCGGCAATCCCTACAAGAAGGACAAGCACATGGTGATGGTGGACGAGGCGGATCTCAGTGATGTGGCGCCGATGAAGTCACCCAATGGCAATGGCCCCGGCGGTGCTCCGCCCGGTTCGCCCTCTGGCTCTGGGTCGCCATCGGGACAGGGACCCTCGTCGTCGGGTCCACCGGGCTCGGGACCTGGACCGGGTCCTGGAATGCCCGGTGGCATGGTTGGCGGCGGTGGAGTTATGGGAGGCCTGATGATGGGCGGTGGGGGCGGCAATCCCAGCAAGAAACTGGACGGCACTGGCCGCGGACGGAAACGGAAAGCGGGACCACTGCCACGAGGATTCGAGTTCCGTCGCCTGTCGACGGACTCGCGAAGTTCCTGCTCCAGTTCCATATCGTCGGCGTCGAGCGGCGACCTGGGCACCTCGGGCGCCGGCCTGGGCAGCGACTCCTCGGGAGCCGGTCTGTCCGGCGACAGCTCCTCCAATTCCATGGCCTTTGACGAGGACAGCAACAGCAGCTTTGCCAGCTCCAGCTCGGAGGCCTCCACCGACTCTGGCATGTCGCTGGCCCACTCGGATCGCCTCGGCTTTGAGTTCAACGACGAGGAGACCAGCGACCAGGACACGCCCCTTAACGGCTACGTGCACAACTTCATCAACGGCATCAACGACGATCCGATGCTGGGATCGGCCGAAACGGAAGCCGGTCCGTCTGCGGGAGCAGCTGCTGGCCCGCCTGGTTCCGCCGGCTCGGGATCAGCTGCCGCCGCCTCCACATCCGAATCCTCGACGATAGCCACTGCCTCAGTTGCCTCTGCGCCCGCATCCACACCCGCCGCCATTCTGGTCAGCAGCACCAGCAGCAATGGCGGCGATTCGTGCACGCCAAGTGCCTCCGCGACCGCCACCGGCGCCCATCCCGGGCCCAGCTCCTCGGGCGTGCTGTATGTGCCGCAGAACGGCCTGACCGCGGCGTGCGTGGCAACCTACAGCAGCAACCTCAGCTCGCCGCTGGACAACCTGAGCTCCATGGGTGCGACGGGAGGTCCTGGCCTGGGACTGGCCACCTTGGCAGCCCTGAGTGGGAATACCAAGCCCGGAACCCTGTCGCTAGCCAACGGATTCGGGCATGGACACACGTCAGTGATATCGCCGCCTTCGCCTCTGGCCACTGTGCCCCCGAATCCCCTGGGATTGGGCAGCAGCAGCAGTAGCAGCGGGAACTCCATTTCTAGCTCTGGAGCGTCGAGCAGCAGCGCCACATCGTCCGCGACGGGATCGACGAGCTCCTCATCCGCCTACTTCAGTCACAACGACATCAACGACGCCTCGGAGATCTCGCGGATACTGCAGACCTGCCACAACGGCACCAGCGGCAGCAGCGGGAGCAGTTCCTCCAGCACCTCCGGCGGCAGTGGCAGCAGCAGTAGCCTGAACGGCAACGGAAACGGTGATTCCGGTAGTGGCGGTGCCGATAGCGACCATTTGGGATTCGGGGCAGCGAACAGTTTCGATGCCCTGAAACGGGCAGCGGGAACGGGGACAAGTGCGGGCAACCCGCACTACTACTGGGCCAGTGGACTGAATCATCACCAGAACCACACGACGAGCGCTGCAGGAGGAGGCACTGCATCGGCCGCTGGATCTGGAACAACGCCCGCCGCCAGCAACAATCACCGGAGTAGTCCCAGCAAAATAGCCGAGATCAAGGCCAGTTCCAGCTGCTCATCCTCGCCGACGCACAACAATAATGGCGACCTAAGTGCCCCACCAGTGACGAACCCGCTCATCCTGACCGACGAACAGCGCGAGGCTGCCCGGAAGCACAACATCGATTTGCGGCTACAGGTCTTCCGGGATATTCGACGGCCTGGCCGGGACTACAGCCAGCTGCTGGAGCATCTGAATCTGATCAAGGGGGATCATGAGATGCAGTCGGATTTCGTGGAGAAGTGCATTGTGGAGTCGTTGCGCTTCCGAAGGCATCAGATGGTGTCCAGCATACAGGATTGGTGGGATCGGAAGCAACAGCTGACGAGTTAGCGATGGCTACTCCTTGCCAAGCACCACTGAGTCCTGGCCAGGAGCGGTAGCCGGCTCATCCAACAATCCATCTGTCTGTGATGTCATCGAAAAAATCGAAAAAATCGAAAAAATGGAAAGGAGTTATGAAGGAGTTCTCGTCAATTTCCAAATTGTATATAAAATCGAGCATGGGTATGGAGAAAATGAACAGAAACAGGAACAGGATCATCAAGGATCATAAAGGATCATCAAGGATCCTAAAAAATCAAGATCTAAACACCAGAAAAATAATAATAAAAAAAGGGGGCAATTTCTTAGCAACTTTAGGTGATTAGAGAAAGATATATAGAAAGAGAGATAACCCGATAGGAAGGATGAGGAAAAGAGAATAGAAGGAATAAGCATGTGTAGGATGTGCAAGGACGAGGAATCCAATATCAGGATAGGTTCAACTCGCCAGCAAAACACAGATATATATATATGTAATTGTAATATCTATGATATATATTTTATATATAAGTATAAACTAATTTAGTTTACTAAAAAAAAAAAAACCGAAGGATAAAAAAAAAAAACCAACACACACCAACACAGATTTTTAAAGCCGCCGATTCAGTTTTTTTTTTTTTAAGATTATTCACCTTAATTATATTAAAAATAATGAATTTTTTTTTGCAATTCTTTTATATGAAAACATTTATTAAGACCATTTAATTATTGTAATTTAGAATTTAAAACAAAAAAAAAAAACAAAAAATATCAATTTAAGTGTATAGTGTATGTGCAAACAACAACAAAAACTTAAAAAAAAAAACAACTTTAGGAGAAAAGCTTGAGCTTCTTGAGCCACATTTTAGCCAATTTTTGTTGGACCTGTTTCAAAAAAAAAAGAAAAAAAAAATAATCTTCGCTTTGATTTTTTAACAAAACGGATATAAAAAAAAAAAACAACACAATTATACCTATATACATATACAGATATTTATTGCCTAAAAAAAAAAAACATAAGATCCGGTCAGCGTTTTAATTATCTAAGCCAGATGAAAGAAAATAAACAAAAAAATCAACAAAATAGTCGTATTATCCAGTACTTTCGGTTTCCAAATGCTTACACCAATTAATTTTTTTTTTATAATTAGCTATTATGTTATGTACTATATATTCTTTTTGATTAATTAATTTTACAAAAAAAAACCCAATTTTTAATGTGAGTAAAGCTAACACAATTAAGCAAAAAAAAAAAAATGAGAATGATAAGCGAAAAAAAAAACAAAACAAAAAAAATAGGACCGTTTGTTAAACAAAAAAAAAAAAATTCAAACTTTCGCACTATTTTTTTACGTGTATGTTTGTATGCATGAGACGAAGTAGTAGGAAGAGCTAGTTTATTATAGTAGGTAGGAGGAGGACTGCTTCAGGATCCATTCAACAAAAATATGTACAATTTTCAAAGGCGTATCCAACAAACTTCATAAGACATAACAAACATAACAAAAAAAAACAAAGTAAAAACCAACAAAACAGCAAACAAAAACAAAAAACAAACGGAAACAAAACAAAAAATCAAAGGAAAATAAAAAAAAAAGGAAGCATTGCATTAAAAATATCCATTTTCTGGTTTTGGGGATATATCCTAATCATGTTTCTTATCCATTTTTTTTAGGATCCACCCACCACGGCGTTGGCTACGCCCATGTATGAATGATCTATGCCCCTGCCTCCGCCCCATAATTAATGTCGCATTCATTCAATATTCTTATCATTGGGGTTTTTGTTTTAGAAATGTGGAGAATATCGAAATACAAGACTTTAAGGGGACTCCGATCAAGAATTGGATGAGGATTACCAAAGATATACCACAAAAATGGGGTTCTGAATTAAGAATAAGAATTAAGAATAATATGAAGGAGTTTAAACAGGAAATTTAAAAAAAAATATGGTTCGTAAATTTTATAGTCAAATTTTCAAACAGATCGATGCAGAATCGATATAGAAATCCGTTAAGGTATTCCGATCCAGAATCGGATGAGAATTGGCAAAGATATAGACATCTTACTGGGTCAAAAGTGAATATCCCAATTTTGTAAGGGGGTCCATCAGAAAATTTTGAAAAATTGGGATCGAAAATTTCAGCGTAATATTTTGATGCAGATCGATGCAGAATCGATATAGAAATCCGTTAAGGTATTCCGATCTTGAATCGGATGAGAATTGGCAAAGATATAGACATCTTACTGGGTCAAAAGTGAATATCCCAATTTTGTAAGGGGGTCCATCAGAAAATTTTGAAAAATTGGGATCGAAAATTTCTGTATGATGTTTTGATGCAGATCGACGCTGAATCGATATAGAAATCCTTTAAGCTATTCCGATCCAGAATCGGAGGAGAATTGGCAAAGATATAGACAACTTAATGGGTCAAAAGTGAATATCCCCAATTTCGTAAGGGGGTCCATCAGAAAATTTTGAAAAATAGGGATCGAAAATTTCTGTATGATGTTTTGATGCAGATCGACGCAGAATCGATATAGAAATCCGTTAAGGTATTCCGATCCAGAATCGGAGAAGAATTGGCAAAGATATAGACAACTTAATGGGTCAAAATTGAATATCCCCAATTTCGTAAGGGGGTCCATCAGAAAATTTTGAAAAATAGGGATCGAAAATTTCTGTATGATGTTTTGATGCAGATCGACGCAGAATCGATATAGAAATCCGTTAAGGTATTCCGATCCAGAATCGGAGGAGAATTGGCAAAGATATAGACAACTTAATGGGTCAAAAGTGAATATCCCCAATTTCGTAAGGGGGTCCATCAGAAAATTTTGAAAAATAGGGATCGAAAATTTCTGTATGATGTTTTGATGCAGATCGACGCTGAATCGATATAGAAATCCTTTAAGCTATTCCGATCCAGAATCGGAGGAGAATTGGCAAAGATATAGACAACTTAATGGGTCAAAAGTGAATATCCCCAATTTCGTAAGGGGGTCCATCAGAAAATTTTGAAAAATAGGGATCGAAAATTTCTGTATGATGTTTTGATGCAGATCGACGCAGAATCGATATAGAAATCCGTTAAGGTATTCCGATCCAGAATCGAATGAGAATAGGCAAATATATAGACATCCTACTGGGTCAAAAGTGAATATCCCAATTTCGTAAGGGGGTCCATCAGAAAATTTTGAAAAATAGGGATCGAAAATTTCGTTACGATGTTTTGATGAAGATCGACGCAGAATCGATATAGAAATCTTTTAAGGTATTCCGATCCAGAATCGAATGAGAATAGGCAAATATATAGACATCCTACTGGGTCAAAAGTGAATATCCCAATTTCGTAAGGGGGTCCATCAGAAAATTTTGAAAAATAGGGATCGAAAATTTCGTTGTTATATTTTGATGCAGATCGGTGCAGAATCGATATAGAAATCCGTTAAGGTATTCCGATCCAGAATCGGATGAGAATTGGCAAAGATATAGACATCTTACTGGGTCAAAAGTGAATATCCCAATTTTGTAAGGGGGTCCATCAGAAAATTTTGAAAAATAGGGATCGAAAATTTCTGTATGATGTTTTGATGCAGATCGACGCAGAATCGATACAGAAATCCGTTAAGGTACTCCGATCCAAAATCGGATGAGAATTGGCAAAGATATAGACATCTTACTGGGTCAAACGTGAATATCCCAATTTTGTAAGGGGGTCCAACAGAAAATTTTGAAAAATAGGGATCGAAAATTTCGTTATGATGTTTTAATGCAGATCGATGCAGAATCGATATAGAAATCGTTCAAGGTATTCCGATCCAGAATCGGAGGGGAATTAGCAAAGATATAGACATCTTACTGGGTCAAAAGTGAATATCCCCAATTTTGTAAGGGGGTCCATCAGAAAATTTTGAAAAATAGGGATCGAAAATTTCTGTATGATGTTTTGATGCAGATCGACGCAGAATCGATACAGAAATCCGTTAAGGTACTCCGATCCAAAATCGGATGAGAATTGGCAAAGATATAGACATCTTACTGGGTCAAACGTGAATATCCCAATTTTGTAAGGGGGTCCAACAGAAAATTTTGAAAAATAGGGATCAAAAATTTCGTTATGATGTTTTAATGCAGATCGATGCAGAATCGATATAGAAATCGTTCAAGGTATTCCGATCCAGAATCGGAGGGGAATTAGCAAAGATATAGACATCTTACTGGGTCAAAAGTGAATATCCCCAATTTTGTAAGGGGGTCCATCAGAAAATTTTGAAAAATTAGGATCGAAAATTTCGATCCTAATTATATTTGTGTACAGGTCGACGCAGTTATCCGTAGAGACATTGTTGAGGAAACCTGCACCGTTCTACCATTGCCGACCACTTTTATTTAAGGGGAGGGTAAGGTCAAATCATGCGAAAAAAGCCATGTTTTTGTGATTTTTTTCCTGACGACACAGTTAAAATTTATTTATTCAACCAACGGTATATTAAAGTATGACATTAGAAGAATGTTTAATAAAATTTTTACAAAAAAATATTTAAAAATATGGCAATGGTAGCAGTTTTCCAGACGTGTCGCCAAAAAAAGTTGAACTGCGGTGCCCCTCATAACTCGGTGCTGGATCCTTTGTAATCAAAAAATGAAAATTCATTCGTTAGATAATAGTTCGCCCCAGGTAACGCTGTAAAGGTTTTTTGAAAATTGCAATTTTTTAATTTTTTCGAAGACTTTGAAGTGAAAAACTCAATTTTTTGGGAAAAAATCGGTTAATTTGTCATTGCAAAATCAAAACTATGAAAAAAAAAAAAAAAAAACTCGACAGCGTTACCTCGTAAAATATGTACAGAAATAGTGTTTAAAATTTCAAAAGGATCGGTGCAGTAGTTTTGAAGTTATGAGGGGCACCGACTTTGAAAACGTGAGTTTGGGGATTAACGCTTTAAAGTTTTAAACAAAACAAAATCCAGTGTAAAACGTTTGCAAGCAACTTCGTTAATAACTAATAACTTCGTCAATTTTGCTTTAATTGACTTGAAATTTTGACACAATATTCTTCAGATATTATGCATTCAATTTAAAAAATAAAAAAAAAATGGAAAAAAAAAAAATTTAATACCTTACCCTCCCCTTAAAATGTTCAAAACATATCCTATATTTTTTTTCAAAATTCCCGCAATGTTATTGTTATCGTTTTGATTTTGAATTTTTGTTTTGGCCTTGCCACACTTTCTTCCGATTCTTTTCGCAGCTATCGATTTTTATAGCTTATCGACAGTGCCGATATAAAAAACATCGGGGCTGGTGGCGATGTTTTGAAAACCCTACCACCTCTACGGTCCGGTCCCTGCTGCAGCAATATGCGAAAATTAAATTCTGTCGTCTAGATGCCAACTCTAAAATGCGCTAGGCAGCTGGCAAGAACCCCAAACGTCCAGGCGGTGTGATTAATTTTTTTTTCGGCCCGTGGTGGAGTTGCGAAAGAGCTGGAGCTGCGGAGAGTGGAGTAGTTGGCCGTGTGGAGTGGAAAGTAAAAGTGGCGGTGCCTCTGTCTCTATACGTGTGTCCGTGTGTGTTTCCGTGTTTCCCTCAGTGTGTGTGTGTGTGTGCGGTGGGTGTGTGTGTGTGTGCGCGCGAAAAGAAGTTGCAGTTTCTGTAACAGAGTTACAAAAAAAAAAAAAAAAAAAAAAAACAACTGCAACGAGAGCGGTAGCGGGGCAAGTGGGCCTGCAACAAAAGATATTATTTAAGTGTTTATTACAAAAGCAATGAGCAGCATCGTTGGCGAAAATCTACCCGCCCCACCGCCGCCTGCCGCCACAGCCGCTAGCATGGGATCAGTGGGCAGTGGTGGTGGCGGTGGTACAACAACTACCGCCGCCAATGGACCCCGTGTCGTTACCATCTCCAAAACGGAAACGGGCTTCGGCTTCAATGTTCGCGGTCAGGTGTCCGAGGGCGGCCAGTTGCGGTCCATCAATGGCGAGCTATACGCACCGCTGCAGCACGTGAGCGCCGTGCTGGAGAACGGGGCGGCGGAGAAGGCCGGCATCAAGAAGGGTGATCGTATCCTGGAAGTGTAAGTATTCAAAAATGATTCATTATTCAGTATTACTCATCATTATTGCTTGTTCGGATATATATTCCTGAGATAGTTTACAGAAACCCGATATGTAGTTAAGAAAACACCTGCTAGGGGTGGGGGTAACCCCATTCATAAACACTAATTGAAGATAAAACCTAAAATTCTGTATACAACAGACCCTCTCCCCCAACTTCTGTTCGAAATCCCACAATTTTTGCAATTTAATTATTTTCCAAGGTTCCTTCTGGATGTGGTTTTTGGGGGTTTCCCCACTTTTCCATAAGAGTTCTGAAATTTATAAGCTGGTTTAAGCTTTAAGGAATTACACATTCTAGTTTTTTGGCCTGAAACTGGGGGGCGGGGTTAAGTATAAAAATTAACCCCATTGAGAGGGTATTGCATGACCAACCTATGACCCCGCCCCGTCGGTTTTGGGGGGAATTACAAATTTGGAGTTTCTGGAGAGTGGGTCAGAAAATAGGGCTGCCTGGAAATAACCAATAAGTGTTGTAGTATTTGTGGGGTGTTTTTTTTCATAAGGGGGTAGGTATATTAAAAAAAAGCTAGAAAAATAAGAAATATTTGAAAATAGACAATAGATTTTCCATAGCTTTTCTTTTTATTTATTTTTTGGTTTATTATGCACACACACACACACACACATGCTTAGTTGCCACCTACTCTCACATACCACCCTCTCTCACACAGGCTAATTAAAATGCTCTTTCTCCTCTGGCTTTGTTTTCCCACCCATATCCCATACATATCCCCTTTTACCGTTTCTCCTTTACTCTTTCGCTTGAGATGGCAAAACTTTTGTTTAGCATCTTTGACATTTCGGTTTCGATAGTCGTTATCAGTGAGCATCCTCCTACCATCCTCAATACTACCATCCCCCCCTTAGCCACCTCTTTCTCTCCTGGGCCAACATGTCTCTGCCTGCCCCTTTTTCGAGCGGCGTGTCCATCAATCATTCGCTTTTATGGTGTCACTCTTGTAGTGTTTACTTTAGTGTGGGTGCGGCTTTGCTCTCCCACTCTCCCTTTCCCCCTTACACACTCCCACTGAATTCCGCAGTCTCCGCTGTTGGTCTCTCGCTTGCACACGGTTTGGGGCTACCCGCGACCAAATTCAATTAATAAATTTGCTAAAGTTTCGTTACGCGTTGCTCTCGCAACCAACCCAACTTAATTATCATCCTCCCGGTGCGATCTACCCTCCCACCCATGCCGCCCTGGCCACCTGTCCGAAAACGCGCAAATTTTCCACATTTTTCACACATATTTTCATTGCAAACAGAGAATGTATGACAGCAGTGGCAGTAGTGTCAGTGGCGTGGCCAGGATTTTCTCACGGGGGGCGGGGGGCTTGACAGACCGACCACAAAGAGAAAGAGGAGAGGAGGATAAAAAAATATCAAAGGGCTAGGTGTTTGAACCCCCAAAGTAATCCTACCACCACCCCCCTGCCAGGCACAACGCCACTGGGTGGAGCAAGAGCAGGAGAGGAGGCGTGCTCTCGTCTATTATGCGGCTTGTTGTTGCTATTTGCAGTGGCCCATCATTTCATTATCAGCAACAAAGCCAACAACAAGGAGAGCCGTTATAATTCGGCTGCGCGTGAGCTAACAAAGCCAGACGCCAAAACTGCAGAGGGCGAAAGTAAAGAAAACAAAAACAATAACAATAACAAAACTAAAGGCAATACCAAAAAGCAAAAGCAAAAGCAAACAAATTTGCATTTGATTTCCGTCTTTTTTTTTGTTTATTTCTTTTTTTTTTTTGGGGAACCAGTTGGAAACTGGAACTAAGCGGTAAACGACTTGTGGCTTTAAACTTGATATTTTCTAGTGACGGGAATTAATATCTAAAAAAAAAATTATTAATCATAAAAAATAAAGAAATTAGTCTTTAGTCTTCAACTAAAAAAAACCTAGGATTTTTGGAAAAAAATTTAAAAATAAAAAACCCATTTTTTGTTTAATCTTTTGGGGCGTTTTTTTTCTCTGAATCATTTAATTAAATACTAAAACTTCTATCTGATCCATCGAAGTTTCCTGGACCACCAGTATTCCAACAGTGACCACCAGTTATCCGGAATTTGTGGCTGCTCCGACATCTGCAGCTGGCTCTTCCGCCACAACGTGGCTGCCACATTGCACAGACTTCCGTTGCAACGGACACAGTACGGATCGTTCAGCGAACATTCCGGCACCTCGCCGGCACATCCCCGAACCGTATAAATGCCATCCAGTCGACTGACCACCGTGCTGACGCACAACTCCGTCGAACTGGAGCAGTTGCTGGTGGTCATGGCACTGGGCAGGTCCATGGCCGCACAGTCGGTGTCCTCGTCCTGTCCATTGCACCGATAGCAGCTGCGTACGGAGTAGCGATTGCAGGTGTCGCTGCTGCGGCAGAGCTGGCAGGACTCGCCCAGAGCCGAGGGCGTGAAGTTGGCATCCGCACAGCCACGTCGCAAGAAGGTATCTGTCAGAGAGAGGGAGAGAGAGAGAAAGGTTTATTTATTGGGGTTTTTTTTGGAGAAGTACTTATATAGGAAGGATATAGTGTCCTTAGTTTAGAAGGATATAAGATATATATTTAAAAGAAAACTTAAATTTGCATTTAAAACCGATATATAGGATGATAACACGATATTTAAAATAATGATGTGTCATATACGGTTATAATGCGATATACACAATAATAATGGGCTTTATACGATAATAATTCAATATATATGATAAAAGTAAGATAGATACAAACAAAATACTATATATATTTCATGATAATACAATAAATACTGATATATACGATAACAAAACGATAACAAACATGGTAATACTATTAAAAGAAGATAAAAACGATATATTCGATAACAATACGATATATATGATAATAATACAATTTTTAACAATAACAATACGATATTTGGGTTAATAATACCGATAAATAGATCATCGCATTAATCGTATGGACTAACTAACTAACTATGGAAACTATTTTTAATTAAAAACTTGTGAGAAAACAGGCATTTGAAGTTTTTAAAAAGATTTTTAAGATTTATTTGCAGATATCCTTTTCTAGATTTAGTTTTTAAAAATAGCTATAAAACATTTTCCAATAATTATAATAAAAAAAAAACCAAAAATAGCTTAATTTTTTTTATATTTTTTAAAGAATTTATTTAAATACTTCATAGTTTTCAAAAAAATAAATATTACAAGCAGAAAGTAAGATTTAAGGACAGACGGACAAGGAATTCTAAGGCTTTTAAATGAAATACCCTTTCCAAAAATACCAAAAAATACCAAAAAAATAGATCCTTTATTCCTTTCCTTATGAAGATCTTTATTATTGAAACCCTACTTTAGGCCCCTAAAAACCCTTAAACTCACCCTAACCTTGCTCGCAGGAATAGCAGGCGGTGGTGCCTTCGGCGCACTTCTCGGTGACCAGACTCCTGCCCGCCCGACAGCCCGGATCGGCGGTGGAGTTGCAGACGGCGCAGGCAATGTCCTGGCACTGGGAATTACACATCTCACCGAAGCACTCGCTCAGCTCGCCGGTGGGAAAGAAGCCCATGGTGGTGGAGCAGCCGCGCTGCAGTACCTCCGTCTGGGTGTTGCGATGCGTATAGCAGTTCTCCCGGTGTCCGTACATCACCTTGTTGACGCACTGGGTGACGGTCACGTTGCTGAGGGAGCACTGTGTGGACTCATCCTCCTCGGGCTGCTGATTCCGCAGGCAGTCGGGATTGGGGGAGAGCCGCTGGTGGGTGCACTGGAGGCAGCGGGACTCGGTGACGGTCTTCTCGTTGTTGCAGCCGTTGTAGTTGCACTTGAGGCAGACGTGCGGGCAGGTGGTTGGCAGGTTGGTGTACTCGCAGCCCCGCTGGGTGTTGGACAAGTGCATGACATTGGTGTAGCAGCGATCCTCCTCCCGGTAGACGGGGCAGGGCAGCAGGAGATGCAGCTTGGTGGTCACATCGATGCAATCGGAGCCGCTGCACTGATAGCAGCGCAACCGATCCACCGGATAGACATGCCGGTTGCACAGACTCGTGTTGCACTGGTCACAGGGTGCGGCACAGTACCCATTCGGATAGAGCCGGGCCAGGCACCCTCTGCGGGTCACGCCCGCCGATATGGAGGTCACGCACATATCGTTCCCCTGCTGGCACTCCTCCACCTCCAGCTGCTGGCCCGGTCGGGTGGCGCACTCGCTATCCTCCGCCGAGTCGCAATTGTAGCACTCCAGAGCCCGGCTTGTGGTCACCCCAAGGAGGAGCAGAGTTCCAACGGCCAGCAGGACCAACTGTTGATATTTTTTCAAGAATTCCGTGGCCATTATGTGATCGATTTCGAGCTTCTTACCAAACTGAGGGACAAAGAAAGGTATTGTTGGTCTGCCGAAGAAACTGCAAGTCCGATTAGATTAGCCTTCTGCGGGGCCTGGTCGCCAATCTCGAGAGGTTTCTACTTCAGGCAGGCGCACTGATTGGTCCCCGGATAAGGTGGGTATATAGGGGAGCTCTCTCAAGCATTTCTAGATGGCTCTAATCAAGTGGTTGAGGTGAAGAAAGGGTTGCAGAAAGCAAAAAAGAAAGTGAAAGTGCTGGAAAAGAGGGTTACAGTTGGGAGCTGGAACTGGAAGCTTTTAAAATAATAGAGATGACAGAAAAATCGATATTTTTAATAAAATCGGAAATATTTTCATTATTTTAATATTGATAGTTTGATTTTTAAATAATTATTGAGCTTAGTTGGGTTTGAAAAGTTTTTATAAGTCATAACTCTTTATTTAATGAAATTAAGTACAAATAAACATCGATAAAAATCGATTATTTTCGATAATAACATTACATTTCAATAATTACTTTGTTTATACTACTTTGTACTTAAATTCTATTCTAAATTCTAATTATTCCTATAACTACTTCTATAAACTAATATATCTTCTATAGAACTACCTTCTATAAATACTTTAAAATAATTTTCATAATAGATATAATTCGTTTTGATAAAAATACGATAATAACGATAACCATTCTACAAAATGAGCTCCATTTTAGGGATAAAAATTTTAATTTTTGTGATAAACTTCTCAAAAAACTCCACAATTTTAAGCAAATAAGGTTTTAAAATTTTTAATGGATATTATCGATAATAAGAATGACAATTTTTTCGACAATAGTAAGAATATATCTCGATAATAACCGATAATTTTCATAACTCTAACTAATGATAACTAATTAAATATCTTCTATCTTCTATTATTGAGTCTATTATCTTATATCCTCAAAATTGCATTTAAAAACTCAGAACCCTTCTAGTCTGACTCGATAGGTCTCGATAACAATCGATAATTTAGATAAAAAGCTTCGATAATAAATCAGTTACTGGAATCTCTTTCAAAGACAACACACTCTTCCCCTCGGGAGGGGGTAACTCTATTTAAAAAGTTAAACGCCCAACTTAAGCCCATCAACCATCAACTTGTTCTATAAGTATCTTCAAATGGAATAATTGTATCTCAACTTTTATGAAAAGCCGCACTTGAGAACTTTGAAACACGTGTGTGTATGAGTGTGTGTGTGTGTGTGTTAGTTCTTTGGCTGCTGGAATGTCAATCCCAAGTCTAAGGACAAGTAATGTTTTCAATCGAGAACATTAGTTAATTAAAAATAATAAAGTTTTCCGGTAAAGTGCCTGGCATTGGCATCGCTTCTCTGACCTTTTTTTCTGATGAAAGTTTTCCCTTTTTCCACATTTTCCGTTTAACATTTTCAATTAGGGAAAGTTGGATGTGTTTCTGGCTCTTCTCGTAAAGGAAATTAAAATTAAAATTAAAATTAAATTATTTGAGTTTTTTAAGCTCTACTTTTAAACCTCAAGGAATATCTATGTACTTCTGGATATATGACTTAATTGAGTACCTTGTCTTTACCTCTTGGAATCCTCTTTGGGATGTCCTTTATCGGCAGTTTCGTCTTCAGTCGTTTCGGCCTCTAGGTGGCACTTAACATTGCACTTGGGTTGGGTTTGGGCTTTAAGGTTGTGGGTTCCAATCGATGGGGATTATATGAGACTATTTTCAGTCTTTGTTTTGTTTCGATTTTCTCGTTTAAAAGAACAATGCCATAAATGTGCACTAAAGAAAATTAATAAAAATTTGTTAATTAAATAAAATAATATAATTTCTCTCAGTGTAAGGACTTAAAGATACAGGAACTCAAAGATACATTCACTTCAGGAACATTGAGAGCAGCTTTGTTGGTATTACCTTGGAATTGCAATGCATCTTCAGCCGGAAATTTATTTTTCTTTCTGGCTTTGACGTTTATACTTCTTTATTTTCTCTTTTCTTCTTTTCTTCTTCCTTCTTTATCCTATTACTTTCTAGGAGTATTTTCCAGGTATTTCCAGCAGGGAACTCCAATTTAAAGTTGAACTTCTTGGGCGGAAATCAAATTGAGTGTTAAAAAGCCTTTAAATATGCATAGTAGTTTCTCTAGCCAGAACTGCCACCACATCCCACCCCCCGCATGGTGGGGCTTCCAGGGGTCATTGGGCGTTTCTATGGGGCGCATATGGCCCAAGTTATTGAAGGGTCATTAGCTGAATTGGAACTGAACGTCTCTATCCCACTCATACGAGTACATGGAAAATTAAAAACTACACGAAGCTTGAGTTTATAAATAAACACACTATGGACTTGTTGAATACTCTGTGTTTTTTCTTAAATATTTATTTTTTTTGGTATAATATTCTTGTTTAATATTTTTTATAATTTCTTTAAAAAAATCGATATTTATGAATCAAAATTCATAGCTTGAACAATTTTTTTAAGATTATGCCAAGTTTATGGACAATTTTTAGAATACTTTTAAACAAATTTTGTACTTTTTTAGAACAAATTTAGTAGTAGTTTTGAAATTCAGAAGTAGTTTTGAATTTTTCAAAAACTATTTTCAATATATTGCTGAGTATTCCTTACAAACTGTACAAAAAAGAACCAAACTCCCGTTAAAGCTTAAAATAAAATAACCTAATGGGTAAAATAACGTCTAAATATTTTTAGAAAAAAAAAACAAGAAGGAAAAACCCTCTTCGATTTGGTTTTTTATGTTGCCACGAATTTGTGTTTGCGGTTTGGTTCGATGTGTCGATGTGGCAGTATCAGTGTTGCTGGCTTGTGTGGCATATGCCCCAACAATAATCAATAGATTTACGTCACTGAATGGCAGTCGGGGCTTTTGCCTTTGGTTACTTTGGGTTTTAGTTGCTTTTGGCCGACATTTCCTAGAGGAGAGGAGAGGAGAGGGAGAGGAAGGCCTCTGTTTGGTGTCGGTTGTTACAGGTTTTCAGGTTTCACTTTTTGCTCTCGAACTAAGCCAGAAATAAACATGGCCAAGAGTCGAGAGTCGTTGGTATATATACATATATATGGGTATATATGGTATATATGGGTATGGACAGTAAAGGAGAAGGAATTGTAGCAATTGAAGGACACTTGTTAAATACTCATGTCAAGTCCTCTGGTGCTTAATTAATTTTCGATTTCGATTTCCATTCCTGTTAATGGAATTACAATTCAGTTGCAGTTTCAGTTCTCATTCCTTGCTTTTTCAAGGTAAAAATTATTTAATTCAATTGGAATCCATAGGGATTTTCATTTCATACAACATATATAAATCTATCTATCTATATATACATACAATTATTGTTTTTTAATTCCCCTCCCCTAGCTATCTGTAAACATTTTCTCTGATTTTGTTATTTTTGTTCCTCGAGGTTTGCAAAACAATTGCCATTCTGGATAGAATATTCTCTCTGGTTTTGCGGTGATTTCGCCAATAATAATCATTTGCCAAAAATGTATATAGATATTCCATTAGTATTTCGCTCAGAGCCATCATTAAATACTATATATATATAGTAGTATAGTATAGTATAGTTGTATGGAAATTTTGGGCTGCATTCTGGTAGCAGGTTTGTGATTTTTAATGAGATAACTTTTAATTGCGGATTTTTGCTCATTTTGGATATTAAATTTTAATAGTTTTTTGTTTAAAAGTTAGATGTTGCTTGGGCTATAATCATTTTTGGCATTTATTGCATACTTTTGAGCGCTTTTAAGGGGTATCTCTTGAGTTTAGTTATGGAATTTTATTCGATTTAAGATTTAAGGTGAAGATATAGATAGGGGAATATATCTATCGTCCAAATTTTATTTTAGTAGTTTCTTAAGACCCTAATTTTATTGAATTTTATTCGATTTTAGCGTAAAAGTATTTATATAGATATTTATATTGGTGAGAAATAATACAACTGACATCAGAATTTATTAAAAAATATACCAAAAATAAGTTGCTGCATACTTCTAGGCGCTTTTAGGAGTTCTATTATTATATTTATTAAATATTATGGTATTTTAGCTTTAAAATTAGTTATTTCTTATGACTTACAAGTATAATAACCTTTCTGGCATTAAAATATATTTAAAAGAAGATACAAACATTTATAAAAATTGTCCAAATAAGCTGATTTTTAGTCTTTCAAACAGTTAAGCCTAAAAAAAGACATAAATACCAATAGTACCTTATAAACCCCCCTCATATAGTACTCATTTATAGTACCTCAAAGCCATTTGATTTTAAAAATTTCCCAAAATTCCCCTTAAAATTCTAAACAATTTCCGAAGCTTTTCAATTAAAAGTGTTGGCCCCAAAAATCTAATTTTCTGGCCTGTCTATTAAAACATATAATCGATATGAGCCGTGACCTGAATTAATGCCACCTCCCCTACCCCCCTGGGGAAGTGGCAACCAGATGGTAGCTTCGCATGTCACCAATTTCTGGCGCCCCCTAGGCCCACTGTGCAACTGGTTTTTTGGGGGGGCCCACTGTAGGTAATTTGCACGCTTCTGGTGTGGAAATAGTTGGCATTTATTTAGCTTTGTCTGCCCACACTGAGTACACTGTAAGAATTAATTAATAAAATTAAAAATAATTAAGATTTCTATAAAACTGGTTTAAAGAGTAGCTGGTCTACTGCCGATTTCTCGCAAGTCTGGAGTCTCAATTTCCAGCCCTGTCCACTGCACTTTTTTTTTTCTTTCTCTCGTTTATCGTACATTATGCTGGCATGTCGTATATATATATATATATATATATATATATATTTGATTTCTACCATGTTGCTATGTGAGTCATGCTGAGCTGCCATCGAGGCTCCTTGGTGTGTTTCCAGTACCAGTTTCCAGTACCACAATCCATCCACACAACCCGGTGCGTCACACATTTCAAGATTGTATCTGCTGCGATTTATTTTTATTTTTATTTCTTTTATTTTGTTTTTTATTTTATTTATTTATTTGTACACCATGAATGGCAAATTGGAAACCGGAAAGACGCCGCAAAAACTCCACGGGAATTGGAATTGTTGAGGAAACTATCAAGAAAATTGTGGGTGGCATGGTGGGTGGCAGGGTGGGTGGCATGGTGGGTGGTGGTATATAGTCTCTCTTCTTATCAAAAGCCATTCATTCATTCGTTCGTTTCCTTTAGAAGCTATCAACTTGATTTAATTTAAGAAAGGTTTTGGTTTTCTTATTCGATTTCGTTTTTTTTTTTCGCTCCTCAACTTGTATTTCAGCTTTAAGAGTCTTCTGTTTTAAACTTTTTATAGCCGATATTCTATTTTTAAATCATCTCTAATATATTATAAGGGGGCTTCCCACACTTGATGATTACTTGGCTCTGTTTGTTTATAAAACTTTTGTTTATCTGAGAACCTTCTGTTATTTTTTATAAGAACCTCTCCATCATAGAGAGTACTTTGAGTACCAAACTTGACCCGAATCGACTTGTTATCAGCAGTACTCCTGCGATGTCAATGCATCCATTATCGGGTACTACATATATATATATATATGGCACTCGTTACTTGGGTCTTATTTTCGCTTAAATTGATCTGCGCCCGCCCAGATCGTGTTCAGAACAATTTCTATATTGATTCCAAATGCTGCCTTTCCATCACGTTCACTTTGCCCAGTTGACTGCTTTGGAAAAGCGATGTCGTCGGTAAATCAATTCAATTATATACTAAATAGATTTTATTGTTAGGAAATATATTTAAAATAAGACATTTTTTATTAATATATATCTTTTTTGAATTTTTTAGGAACGGCGTTAGCGTGGAGGGAGCTACACACAAACAGGTCGTGGATCTAATCAAATCTGGAGGAGATTGCCTTACCCTGACGGTGATATCGGTGACACAACAGGTGGGTTTTTGCCAAGATATTTAAACCTTGTAGAGGGTGTTATTATTTTAGGCTTATATTTTGACACTTTTTGAAAAATATGTCTTGAAATATATATTGTTTTTATCACTAATTATGATCATATTCCTGATCCTAGTCCTTATAGACTTGTCCGTCTGTCCTTTTTGGTTGTCCTTTTGTTTCTAAACCAACTAGCTCTTCATTTTTCATGTTTTTTTTTTAGTAAAAGTTTTATTTTTTATTAACTATAATTGCTTTGAATATATACAGTATTGAAAAATATAATTTAAATATAACAGTATACACACCTTGTCCGTGTGTCCGTTTAGCTGTCCGCATAGTCTTTTTCTCTCCAAAAAAAACTATCTCCCTAATTTTCAGGCTTTCTTTTAAAGCCTTAGAGCTTATCTTTATTAAAATATAAACACCTTTATTAACTAATAACTTAGCAACATTAACTAAAACCCCTATTTCTACCCTCAGGAGGCTGATCGACTGGAACCACAAGAGGATCAGAGTGGTTACTCCTACATAGACTACTCCGACAAGCGATCCCTGCCGATTAGGTAAGTCCCTCCAAAGAACACTCTCCCATCGATATACCCTAACTCTAAAATCGTTCTTCTCTTTAAAGTATACCAGACTATGGTATTGTGAATCGGAATGGAGAACGCTACATTGTCTTCAACATCCATATGGCCGGTAGGCAGCTGTGCTCGCGTCGCTATCGGGAGTTCGCCAACCTGCACTCACTGCTCCGCAAGGAATTCTCCGGCTTTAGCTTCCCCAAGCTGCCCGGCAAGTGGCCATTTCAGCTTAGTGAACAGCAGCTGGACACTCGGCGTCGCGGTCTGGAACAGTATCTGGAGAAGGTGTGCGCCGTTCGGGTGATTGCCGAGAGCGATGCTGTACAGGATTTTCTAACCGATACCGAGGACGATATATCGGCATCGCCGGTGGATATTAAGGTTATGCTGCCGGACCATGAGGTGAGCACCGTTTCGGTGAAGAAATCCTCCAACGCCCAGGTGGTGTGGGAGATTCTGGTGCAGCGCGCCAATCTCACCGCCTATACGCAGCAATACTTCTACCTGTTCGAGATCGTTGAATATAATTTCGAGCGGAAATTGCAACCGCACGAGATACCCCATCAACTGTATGTACAGAACTACAGTACCGCCTCCTCCACCTGCCTATGCGTCCGACGATGGCTCTTCTCCGTTTCCAAGGAGCTAACGCTGCCGGAGGGCGAACAAGCCGGTCGCTTTATATTCTATCAGGCTGTCGATGAAGTGAATCGTGGAAATATCCGTGCCGACGGCCGTCTCTACGAGCTGAAGGCACTCCAGGACGCCAAAAAGGCCGCCGATTATTTGGCATTGGCCCGCACACTGCCCGGCTATGGGGACGTTGTCTTTCCCCACTGTTCCTGTGATAGCCGCAAAGAGGGACATGTTGTGCCAGCTGTGGGTGAGTTTCAACCATACAATATAGTATTCGATCCTATATTTAACTATTTGATTTGGTTTTGCAGGCATGAAGAGCTTTCGGCTGCACGCCTGCCGCGAGGATGGCTCGCTGGAGGCGCAAATGGTCGAGCTGACCTGGGATAGCATCACACGCTTCGAGAGCGACGAGGAGTCCATGTCCTTTTGCTTTCAGTACAATCGTCCAGATAAGCCAGCACGTTGGGTTAAGGTCTACACGCCATATGTAGGTTTATAATGGAGTTATTTTTTCTTTTTGTCTTTTTTTTGGCTTGAAAGCAGGAGTTAGTAGAGTTTTTAAATATAGATATTTATTAGATGATTTTTTTTTATATGGTTCTTATTAATCTTAAATTGTAGGCTATTTAGTTACATTTTTTTCATGAATATATGTCGTTTTAATTTCAATTATACCAGTTTTTTTACTGGCTTCTAAATTAAATACAACTTTAAAGACTTAGCCTTGAAATTAAACCCTTATTCAGCTAAATTTAGTCTTTTTACAAGAGTTATTTACTAAAAAACTAACTCTCCACGATTTTTTAAACGATTTAAGGTTATGTTGCAAATAAAATGACATATGCCGACCACAAATAAACATGTTTTGACATGTCTTCAAGGATAAATATGTCATTTTGAAACATGTAGTCGCGAATTATGTCATTTTCTTTAAACGATGCCCTCTTATACCAGACCCTTGTTAATAGATAACTATTATTATTTAATTAGTCTTTTAAAAATTATTTAAATTATAAAACTAAACTAACTCCTGCTTTTGCTGCTCCTACAAGCTTCATTTATTCAAGCTTCAACTTAATTGGCCAAAGTGCAATTATAAAGTGCAAACATAATACCAAAATAATTGCTGCCCAGCTTAGGGGCCAAAAGAGTTGGTTGCCAAAAAAAAAAAAAAGGGCAAAGCCCATAAAAGCAACTATTTCTGAGGAATATAATTTAATCCGTATATTTTCCATGGTTTCCACCTCCAACAGCATGCATTCCTTGCGGACTGCTTTGATCGCATCGGGGAGGAGCGCAAGTGGGACGATAGCGGTGACTAGGACAGGCCATTTGCCAAGGACAGGCCAGGACGAGAGCTGGAGCAGATTAAAAAGCAACCACCCACAACCACCACCACAACCACTACAATCCCGAACATCACCAGAAGAGCTGAGGCATTGCACATTGTTCGTTAGCCTTCACATCCTCCTACTGGAAACTCTGGACACTCCACAGGCACATCAGCATCCACGCCTCGCTCCAGACCAAGCTTTCGGCTCCAAGCTTTCTACAGAGATAACTCTTGCAGTTTGGGCTAACCAGGTCCTGCTAGTATCCATAATTTTTTTGTTTTTTTTTTTCTTGTGTGTATTTTTGTCAAAAATTATCCATAAAATAGCATATATTATATATATATATATTGTAAAGTATAATTAGCCTTGATATATATACATTTTCATATATATATATATATTTATAATTTGTACAATGGACTTACTTGAAGCAATTGCAATCGCCTCGAAGCAAATAGTTGATGGAAAATGTTAACAAGCAGCAACAAAAAAGAAAATGTTTCAAATGTTTTTCGGCACCTTTAGCACATAGAACATAAAAAAAACAAAAAATAAAAAATAAAAAAAAAACAGGCACCAATTTAGATCAAGATCAAGCAGAACCGACGATTCTCATATGAAATATATATACATATATATATATATATTATATACAAAAATACATAATATAAACAAAACGAAACAAAATATATAGCAAAGTATATTTAAGCCTCAACCTCAGCGTACTATATATACATATATATTTAATTCATACATTTTTCATATGATTTTTGTTTAATTTTCCACCTTGTTTACACTTGCTGCTAAAAAAAAAAGAACAAAACAAAACATAAACGTAAAGAAAATTGTAAAAAGTCAATTTTAATTATACACAGAAAATAAAATCCATCTTATATACAAGAGAAGAAACAAAAAAAAAACGTAAATATTTAGAAAGAAATCACCAAGCATTGCTAATTTAATTATTTGTATGCAGAAATCAAATAGTAATCATAAATAGGCAACAAAACGGATTAGAAACCAAACGAATTAAAAATTAAAAAATGAATTAAAAAACACAAAATAAAATGTTGAAATTATTGTACTCATTCGAAACAAAACTAAAAAAAACAAGAAACTTTCTATAGAAATTGTTAGTTAACTTTAAGGTAACGTTAATAGTTATTGATCAAAACGAAACTCAAACTCAAAACTCAAACTAAAAAATAAAAAAAAACAAAAAAATAATAATAAAAAAATACAAGCAAAATCGAACTCAAACCAAGTTAGAAAGAGACGGCAGACGGGCGGTAGGAAAGTGAAGGCATATGAATAGCCGAAAGAGATGGAAACAGAAACACAATGACACTTCAAAACACGATTTAGAAGCAGAACATAAACACCATATTACATAAACACTTATATATAACATATATACATATATATATATACAACAAAACAAACATTTATCAACGATGCAAGTGACGTCTGCTTGTGATATTTACAATTTACACAATGATTATAATTAATTTTACGTTACACACTACATTATTAAATCGATTCCATGCATTATTGTTTCGCATCTGTATCTATATATATATATATATATATGTATTGGATTCGTTAATATCTCAATGTGCAGTCCACCACGTAATTTTTTTTCGTAATTTGTACAATGTATTTATTATGCTTATGCTTAGTTTTAGTCCTAAAAAAAAAACAAGTAATAATGTGAATTTAAAATTATCATTACTCTTACTCTATTACGATTATAATTATGATTATTCTCAATTTTTTGTCGTCGTTTTTTGGCCATTTATTGTAGATTTTTTTATGTGTATTCCATATAATTATGAATTATGAATAATACTATACAACTAATAGCACTCAGTCCTTGTTTCCGTTTTTCTTTTTTATTTTTTTAATGTTTATTTGTTTATTACATTGTCATCGTTAAAAAAAAGAAATAGAAAGTGTTTGGGGGTGTCTCGTAAACAACATATATCTCGAACAGCAAAATATATAAATAACATTCCTTAAAATAAAAATATACAAATAATTATCAATGTTTTCTTACACATTTAATACAAAAGAAATCAACAAACAAATTACAAAATAAAAACGATTAAGAACTGGGAAAAATTCTCATAACTCAACTAGACGAACAACAACAAAATCACTTAACAAATTTATTGAAAAAAAAAACAAAAACAAAAAAGCAAAAAAATAAAAAACAAATTGCATTTTTTCCCTTTTCAAAATTATATTTGATTCGTTTTTATTAGGAATTCTTTTTTATAAAATATTCGGAAAAAGGTTTGTATATATTTAAGATGAAGTACCAGGTATCATATAGTCTTCAAATAAACCACTTCTGTTGTAACAACTGCCAATAATAGTAAATGACACAAAAGCCAATATGAGAGTTGGCCAACTTTGGATCGATCCGAGATCTGAATATCAATTAATTCTGAACTATAAAAACTTTTAATTAATTCACAAACGCTATTGTTTTCACAATTTTGTTTCGCATTGATATTCCCATGTAGTAACCAAAGTACAGGACACAACCATTAAAGGTAATAAGACAACAGCATTTAGTTTCACTGTAGTTTATCACTAAGTGTAATAAATTGTGAATGGTTATGAGGGGTTTTTTGTTTTTGTTTGTATCATTAAATCGGTTTATTACCGCGTCGAATATTGTGATTCAGTCTGATTGCAGTTATACGCTTTGGATTAGATACGGTACTTACTGGCTATAAAGGATATAGAAGGAGGTGATATAGGATTTATAAGAAAATAAATAAAGGGACTTAAAATAAATATTTATGATAATATAATCATACATCTCTCATATATTATTCCATTTTTTAGGTAACAGGAAGTAATACCTATTTATCTTCAACACCTGTATTACCCATATATTTCCCCTTCTTGGTCCTCATATAGCTCTCCTCATAAATACAGACCAATCATCAAATATTTGCCCACTTGTCGAGAATTTATGAGTGCAATTTGTTAAACAATATTGTGAATTAGTTTTATTATTCCGTCCCGGTATCTCAAATGGATCGAATCGTTCAGGTAGTATACGTATCAATATATATATGTGTATATATATGGTGGGTATGTCTATTTATATAGCTTATCAGGTAACACATGTAATTATTAAAAACCGTTGGATTGTCTGATTTTTCTGACCGATTTTTTTTTGATCGGATTGGCTCTTGACTTTTTTTTGTTCCACTTGATTAATTTTTTTTATAAATAATATTTTTTTTGTCCTACTGCAACAAGGTCGTTAATTCTGGCCCACAGAGAGAGAGAGATAGAGTGAGATCGAGTGAGATTATAGCCTAATTAGTCAAGCAAACAAATGCGATCAACGAATTTGTTTATGACTTAAAAAAACCGAATTTAATTAACAAAGTCAATACGAGAGAGTTCAAACAGCAGCCGCTGGAAGAGGGAAACGGATTACCGACCATGATGGGCGTAATCAGTACACTGAAATAAAAAATGTGTAAAAAGGACACGTGACTGGGGAATATATATACATATATATATAAAGATTGGTTGCCATTTTCAAATAGTTTTTTGAATTTTTTTGTAGTTATTTTATAAAGTTAATTATACACTTTAATTGTTTGTTTTTCAGATCTTTAAAATATACATAGTTGAGCAATAAAACATGAATTTCTTAATATTTTCTTTACAAAAATGTGAAAACTTTTTATTTTAAAATCTTAAAAATGAAAAAAATAGGTCAATAAGGGAATTCTTAATTAGTTCCAAAACATAAATATTATACCTATGCTTTTGGAATTATGTTTACATGGCATAATATTTTTAAAATATATTTAAAAGATTTAAAAATCCTAATTCCTTAATTTCAAACCTTAAAACCCATACCAATAGCTGCTATTATTAATAATTTTTGGCGGCAAATACTTAGCCATATTACAATTAAGAGAAAGTGCCTTGTTTTTGTATTTTATTTTAGCATTTCTATTTTTGGAATTACTTATCATGGATTTCAAATGCTATATACACGTGATGTACCAAATATGTGAATGTTTAAACTATTTCTGTCAGTGTGCGATTATGGCCAGGTCGATGATAAGCGCTGATTAAAAGCAAACACCGATGATGGCAATCGAAGCTCCAGCCGCCCAGTCCTCCCCCTCCTTTCGCGCGCCAATCTCTCGCCGCTCGAGAGCTCTTCTGCTCCTCGGCCACTCTCCTGCCGGTTGGCTCGCTCTCGCTTTGTTTCCGTTCTCGCTCTGTTGGCGGTTTCTGGCCCGGCTCTCAGCCCTTTCCCACATCATTCGCCAGTGGAACGCGATCGCGTCAAGTTCGCGTCATTTTCGCACAAAAAAAAATAAAACGATTCACGCATTTTTGGTTGGAAAATGTCCCAATCCGGGAATTGGAATTCCCCATCCGGGGGTGGCGCCGCGCAGGCGCTGAATGGCCAACATCCGGAACTAACCTATGCAGATGCCGACACCGATGAGGAGGAACTGGAACTGGACTCCGAGCAGGAGCAGGAGCAGCGGGAGAAGCGTCAGCTCCTCGATAGATCTATGAGCCGGAAGCAGTCGCTCAGCGAGCGCAGAAATGTGGAGCTGCCGCTGCTGAAGGTTGTGGACGAAAAGGATACACCATCGAAGGCATCTCCTGCAGAGCCCCCCTCCCCGGAAAAGTTTGCTCCCGGACTTCGGCGCAACTCCATATCCCTGCCGTCGGGAATTAATGCCCTGGATCTGGAGGCACTGCGTCTGCGACATCAAATGCAGCCACAGGATGCTCTGGATGAGGAAACGGTGAGTTTTATGGTATTTTTTTTTTAATTTAAAAAAAATATACTAAATAATTTAAGAAAAAAATACCAAGTAATGGGTAGAAGAGGTTTCTTATTTTTGAGGTTTTTTGTAAAAGAATCTTGAATCTTTTCTTGTTTTTATGGTTTTTAAATAGTTTCCTAAAATGTAAAATATAGTATTTTATAATTATTATGACTTTCTACAATTCTGAAACACTTTTTCATCTTAAATTTGAACTCAAACTGTCTTGTTTTATTTATTTCGCTTTTTTTAAAACAAAAACTTTTGGTTTGAAACCTTTTAACCAATTAATATTGTGAAAAATTAAGAAAGTCAGTTTTTTAATGAATTCGTATAAATAAATTAGGGTTACAGAAAAAAAATTCCCCAAAAAAAAAATAATATCCAGCCGTTAATTGAGATTTAATTATAGTAAGTCGGTAAACAAGCCGCATGTGACACAAAACCCGAAAACCAGTTAATAATCACATGATTCTCTGATACCCAAAAGGAATATAAACATATATATCTTTAACTGTTTTTTTAAATAAAATTATAATACGTATTAGAGTAAATTATGGCTTCAAAACCGAAGTAAAAAAAAGCCCTAGATTTTAAAAGGTGGCTCTTAAAAATTATCATAACGATTTAATGCCGACAGGCTTTTAACTTTGGTAACAAATTTATTTGATGGGAAATCGAAATGCAAACCAGTTTATTGGGCTTGACTCGTCAAATTGAGCGTTCGATTGATTTTCGAAGCCACCCACAAATATTTGCATTAAAATCAACATTTTTCATTTCCCCCCACAATGCCGTGGGAGACTTTGTCAATTAATTTTTTTTATTTACCTTTTTGCTTGATTTTTTTTTTATCCCAGAACTCATTATTAATGTCAAGCCAGAGAGCAGGTATGACTTGCGCTAATTATAGAGCTGCAAATGAGAAGCCGGGCGGGGGAGTGTCGGTGGCCGTGTATCGTGGTGATGCGACCACCACTGCGTATGTGTAATTTTCTGCCGCAACCAGGCAGCACACATACGCACTGTTGGCTTTGTCATTTTCTCGTTTGTTTGCCTGCCAGCCCGAAAGTATGCTTCATTTTTTGTGCAAGCACAGGGATTGTTGATTGAAAAAGCCAGAAGAAGATAAACATGGTTTTTATTTAAATTATATTGAGTGGGATATTAATAAAAAATAAGTATTAAATAATAAACAGTTTTTATGAAATATACTTACGTTATATGTATGTATTTTTGGGGCTTTTTTAAATGAGTTTTACTTGTTTTTTTTGGACATTTTGTATTGAACTTCTTTAAAGTTGCAACTGTTTCTTTAGTTAATGTTTTTATTTAAAAAGAAATATTTTGTGTTTTTTTTTAAGGTTTTTTTCAAATCTTTATCTTAACTGCAAACTTTTAGAGTTGTTCTAATTTTTTGTATGTTAATATAAGGAAAACATCATATTATTTTTTTTAAATAGTTAAACAAATAATTGTTTAATTTAAATTTTAAAATCACCAAAAATTTTAATTAAACTAAAATTAACCAAACCCGGTAACAACTAAACCGAAACGGGTACAAACTAGAACAAAAACCCGCCTATTCCATTGACTTCCCACTAACCGGTTATAAAATGTGAAATTGAGAAATTTCTACACCGCAAGACAGTTATTTATGGCCAGAAGTCACGATTTAAGGCTATATCTGATTCTGAATCAGAATCGGGCTGGCTGCCGGCTTGGTAATGAATTTACGACTCTCGGGTAATTTTTATGAAATCAAAAAGCCCATTTCCAAGGCATGGGTTTTCAAAGGTATAGATATAGTGTGTTTTTTTGCCAAGTGTGGGTGTGAATATTCGCACTCGGCACTGTTTACCGTCAACGTTGACGTCGACTGAAGCAGCAGCGGAGGCAGAGGCAGCGACTGAAGCAGCGACAGCGAGTCTAGCGATTAAAACGCATAAATGGCAGCGAAATCGACGCTTCGGAAACAATAGCAATACGACCATTATCAGTGCGGTTAACAGTTCGGATCAGATCGTCTCTCTATATAATAATATACAATATATATAATTTGTATTTTGTTCGTTTGTTGGTGAAAAGTTTGAAAAAAAAAAACAAATTCGAGTTTCAAAAATGAGTTCTCCCAATAGTCGGTTTATTCTTTCGAGTGTGGCCAGCGAGGATCAGCCTCCGGATAGGTTGCTGGATATGGAAAAGGATCAAGACAAGAGTACCATTATTATAGAGGATTTGGTTAAGGAGAAGGCAGGTACTAAGTGTGAAATGGATATTTTTAATATGGAATATAATCTCAGGCAAACAAAACATAAAAGAAGAGCAGTTTTAAATATAAAAGTTGACAGAAACATAATTGTTTAAAGAATAATAGATAAATATGTACATACCATAAATTTATACAAAAAGTAGAAAATTATGTGAAAAATTCCTAGCATTATAGTGGGTTTTAAGAGATAAAGTTTGTTAAATAAATTACTTTACAAATTCATATTTAAAAAAAGTGGTTCTAAAGAATGTCGAGAATTTAAAGAATTCTCTACAAAATGTAATAGACCTGTAAAAAAAATCCAAAAATAAATATAATTTACTGATTTGTTTTATCATAAGCAAGTTTCTTTTTTATTAAATCCTATTTTCTTATTACTAAAAATAATTTAAATATCAAACCAGAAGTCTAGAACCTTAGCTTCGGTTTGCGGTTTAAAATATCGCATCTCGCCTTGATATTCCGGGACCTTGTTGGGTTTTTTGTTTGAGACTTTTGTGCTAATTGCACTCACCTTCCCAAGTTCAGGCAGGTGCCAAAAGAGACCCCCCACCCACTCCCCGGCCATCCAGCCCCCTTCCTAGGGCTACTTCAATTGTGAGAGTACTTGGTTACAATTGTTTAGGGTTTGCTTTATCAATTGTTAAGAGTTTGAATATTATAGAGTGTTTTTTGGTAAATAGTACTAAATATGTGTAATTCGTGGTAACGATTTTCAGATAAACGATGATGGAGCCTCCAGCCTGGGCAGTCCGGCGCCCACAACATCCGCCACCACGCCGGATAAGGGCGTCAGCACGACGACCATCAATTTCGCGAATAATACCAGTGCCAGTGCCAACGATGACAGCGATGGAGATGATGAGTTTGGCACCCGGAGACCCGTTCACCGGTGAGTAGTATTGACGGCATATATCCTATTATGAAGAGTGTTCTATCAATTAACCAGATGATTCAGATTTTATTTCACGCACTCACTCACACATAACCCCATTCATTTCGTTAATCGAGTAATTAGATTAATCAATTGAAAGTCGGTGCCTTTCTGTCGCCGAGCGACAGTAATTCAATTGTGGCGGCATTACAAATTTATGGAACGTGCCATTTCTAGTTGTTTTTATTAATAAATAAATTAAACAAAAAGGCGAAAAAAGTCTCATTTCAACCGCCCACCAAGTGTCAGTTACAGTTACGGGCAAATGGGATGCCAATTTAATTGCGATTTTTATTCGATTTTCATTTCCCGCCCCGAGCGACGAATTCCAATCATGTTTTACACTTGAAGAATTATTGGAATTTTATTAAATGAAATATATAATTAGAATTTATCCATTGGAGTATAATAATTGCCTTTACTTTCTCTCCATTCAGCTTTTAAATCTTAACCAGGTTTAGTTGAAACAACTATCTCTCAAAGTAATGCCCTATTTTAACCAAAAACTTGTACTTTTCATTAATTTCATAAAATCGCTATTTATCATAGGTATATTTTTAATATATATATACTTATACATATATTCTTTATATTATAAATCCCGCAACACACTTTCCAGACCGACTATTATTTTACATTCTCTATTATTCAAATATTTGTAGTTTACAAGTTCAAGAAAGAATTTATTACCCAAGCTTTAAATTACCTTTTTTCTTTATAATTAAAATTATTTCACGCTTTCGTAGGCAGTTGAAAGCAGTTACAAACATGTGATTAAAAGTTATAATAAACAATTATTGCCAAGGGTTTGGTTATCAGTTCGCTGGCATTGTAAATTCTAAATTGCATGACAACTGCATGTTTTTGTAATACATAGAGGTTTTTATTTTAAAATATATTAAAGGTAATTGAGTTTTTGGAAATCTATAGGTTTTTTTTTGTAATTTTTACTTTAATAAATCTTTACGAACTAATTAACTATTTAATTATAATACAAAATTAACAAAAATACTTCTTGACTTTGTTATTCCTTTTAAAGTCTTATGGAGTCGTTCTATTACAACTCGTATATTCTTGTAACTCTATATCTTAATGTCTAATTTTCTCCAAGTACAGTGCCACACTGCTATAGTCGACATATACACGCGATCTGAACAATTTAACTGCTTAAGCAAATTACGCGAGTCTCCAATCTGGGGAATGATAAGTTAATTCAGAGGAAGCCTCAGAGACTCTACAGATCTTGGAGGTTTACACAGATACTGTAGCTGTATCTCGAACTGTAGCTGTATCTTGAACTGTACCTGTATCTGTATCTGTAATTGAGCGAGTGTTATGATTTCTATACAGTAAACCCAACGACATAAACGAACCTCAACTCAGTTGATGGTTGTGATTAGGCGTGATAACATCCAGTGGGCGGGCGTGTTCCCCCAAAAAATAATCTTAATTCGATTTCCCACTATTTCGCTGAAATATAAAACTGAAATTTTTATTATTTGCCGTGTGTATGTTTACGATTTTTGAGAGCTACAACAAGCTTATCATCGCCCGTCGTCTTCTGATCTGTAAATATATGTACTTATATATAGAATTCGCTTTATAATTATGTTTATCAGCTGGCTAGACCGATTTTTTGCGTGAAATTCGTACATACACCTATACGATGTGTTTCGAAAAGTGTTTTTCATGAATTTCTTTAGTGGTAACCCAGTTTAAAATATTCGTCAGACAAATATTTTCGTCTCAATGTGTTCTAGATATTTATTTTCTGCGGTTCGTGTTCTTTTGAACTTGGGCCGACTGGGAGAGAATTATATATGACAGGCCTTACTTATCAGGCCCGTAAATGATTATGGGCTCTATCTGTTTTCCGCTAAAGAAAGACAAACGCCTTTCAACATCTTGACATTACTTAAGCACTGTTAAAAATTAAAAAAGAACACATTTTGACTAATTATAATTTTATTCAAAGTATAAGTTTATTAATTAAACTTTATGAGAAGCGCTGAGAAGAGCTGTGTTATTTTAATATCCTTGCAGGAAAGAAAATTTCTAAAATTATATCATGCTAGAAAAACTCTAGAAAAATAAAGCTAACTTAAAATTCAAGCTAAAATGTACAAAGGTTGGCAACCCTACCTTAAATAGTATGCTTTTCTTAAAGGAATGCCGAAATCCTAAAGTCAAGTAGGCTTGGCCCTTTTTTAAAAACTATCCTTGGCAGAAAAATCATCAGATTTTAGTCATTCGTCGTTCGGCATTCGACCTGGCCGGTTTTTTCTTTTCGAATTTTATTATATTTTTTTCCTTTTTAATATTTAATTTTCTTCTACAATATATTAATGTGTGTTAATTTTTTAATTTTCAAAACAAATATATGGGTTTTGATGTACTCGCTTTCTATTTGTCGTTTTTTCTCATTTTCTTATTTTTTTTATGGAAATTATTAATTATTTGTTCTCAACTTTTTACCTTTTTCCCATGGAAGAATGATATAAAGTTAGGCTGTAGAGAGGTTCCATTGATGTCAGGATAGTCTTCTTATTTTTTTTCGTTTTTTTATTTTTTTATGGAAATTATTAATTATTTGTTCACCACTTTTTATCGTTTTCCCATGGAAGAATTAAATAAAGTTAGGCTGTAAAGAGGTTCCATTGATGTCAGGATAGTCTTGTCTTATTTTTTTTCGTTTGTTTATTTTTTTATGGAAATTATTAATTATTTGTTCTCCACTTTTTATCGTTTTCCCATGGAAGAATTAAATAAAGTTAGGCTGTAAAGAGGTTCCATTGATGTCAGGATAGTCTTGTCTTATTTTTTTTCGTTTGTTTATTTTTTTATGGAAATTATTAATTATTTGTTCTCAACTTTTTATCGTTTTCCCATGGCAGAATAATATAAAGTTAGGCTGTAAAGAGGTTCCATTGATGTCAGGATAGTCTTGTCTTATTTTTTTTTTCGTTTTTTTATTTTTTTATGGAAATTATTAATTATTTGTTCTCAACTTTTTACCTTTTTCCCATGGAAGAATAATATAAAGTTAGGCTGTAAAGAGGTTCCATTGATGTCAGGATAGTCTTGTCTTATTTTTTTTTTCGTTTTTTTATTTTTTTATGGAAATTATTAATTATTTGTTCTCAACTTTTTACCTTTTTCCCATGGAAGAATAATATAAAGTTAGGCTGTAAAGAGGTTCCATTGATGTCAGGATAGTCTTGTCTTATTTTTTTTCGTTTTTTTATTTTTTTATGGAAATTATTAATTATTTGTTCTCAACTTTTTACCTTGTTCCCATGGAAGAATTATATAAAGGTCGGCTGTAAAGAGGTTCCATTGATGTCAGGATAGTCTTGTCTTACTTTTTTTTCGTTTTTTTTTTGTTTTTTTATTTATCATTTCCTTATTTTTTATAAAAATATTTTTTGAATAAAAAGGGAGTTAATTTTTTGCATTAAAACATTAAATTCAAAATCAGAAATTCAGGTAATAAGCTTTAAAAAAATTTAAAATGGAAATTAATTTTTAAAATTTCTTTTTTTTTAGTGATCGTTTCCGGAGCAGAAGGCGTGCCTCTATCGCCCCCCTCCCCGCCCTCCGGCTGAACAGCAAGGAAATGCTCGCCAGCGACTTTGATAGCCACAGTGTGGCCTCCAACCAGGCCTCCATTACCAGTGTCAACTCCCTGGCCAGTTTGCTCCGTGAGAAGATGCAGGTGAGTCTTAATTAATCCTTTCAAGGCTTATTTCCTATCTTATGTATATATCCTAATATAATATCCTCCCTTCCAGGCCTTTCCGCAGTTGATTCGCAAAAAGAAACGAGAAACCAAGGACTACAAAATTAAAATATTTGTGATCATCATGTTCTTCATTATCATTTTTCTGGTAAGCTATGACTTTTATTCAAGACTTGAAAATATTTTAAGATAAAAATAGAACAGATTTAAGTTTGTCAAACTAAATGACAGAATTTTTAAGGCATTGATAAAGGTCTTAATTTTTTTAGGCAGAGATTAAGGGCTATGGTTGAGAATTAAATTTATTATTGGTAAAGATTCTAAGAGATTGGAGAGATCAAAAGGGCAAGGTATTATAAAGGCTTTTTTTAAAGATAATACCTCTATAGAAAGAATAGCGAATAGTTATTGATAGAATTATTATAAGATACATTTTAAGAGAATTTGTCACAAAACCTTAACGTTTCAATAATAGTTGTTATAGAAACCAGTCACGAAACTTTTCGATTTCCGTATATATTATATCTAGTTTTAAATTTTTAGAAAAGTTAAATCTTTTATTTATTAAAATATATAGGTGTTTTTTAAACCTTTAAAGACGTACGCCTTTTTTAGTTTCAGTTATTTTCCAGAAAGGCTTAAAAGATTTTATTTGAAAAAGATTCTTACAAGTTTTCTCAAGAACTCGATATTTTTTCTTTTTATTTTGATGTTTTTTTTTAAGATACAATACTATTTATTAAATAAAATTTATAATAATTTTGTTTATAATTTAAATAGATCGGTTACGCCTATGTGGCCTACCATCAGCAGCTCCTGACGAAGAGCTACTTCCAGAAGATCAAATTCAACTCGAAGGACCGCATCCTGCGTATCCTGAGCCACGAGGACAAGGAGGTGATCTCCGGGCAGCTGGGCGTGACCCTGGGCTACGACACGGCGCCATTCCACTGCCTGGAGGAGCAGCGGCGGAGCGACGGCAGCGTCTGCATCGAGTGGAACGGCATCGCCCGGCTGCACATGAACTTCGAGGACAAGGGCGTCTTCCGGTGCTATACCCTGCAGTGGCAGGCACTCACGCCGGGCCTTCTGCCCACCGACTGCTACGAGCTGAAGCGGGACAATGGCCTGTGGTTCGGCGGCGGGGTCACCAAGGGCCAGGAGTGGTCACTGAGCTATGCCAACTTTGATTTTGCGCCGTACGCCTCCGGAGACTCGCAGGTGCATCAGTTCGGCAACGGGGTGAAGAGGTACTTCATCAACTCGATCGGGGTGGCGATGCAGGTGAGCGAGAAGACGCCCCTCCAGTTGGGAGTCAACCGAACGGAGAACCGCTTCTGCCTGCGGGCGGCCAACGATGAGTTCACCTTCGTGAACCGACTGACTCCGCTGCCCCAGTTGGATTACCGGATCTGCACCACGGAGGACATGCGTAGTCTGCACATGCTGATGACCCAGCAGAGTCTCTGGGATGGCCTGGGGGAGCCCGACATGATGGTGTTAAAGTCCCTGCTGAACGAGCCCGTTTGGAGGATACCCCACGACTCGTCGCCGGACTCCCTGAACGAGACGGCGATTTGTGATTACTCGGAGAGCGCCATTGCCATGGGTCTGGGCCACATCGTGATCAACGAGTTCTGGCAGGAGAATATCGGAGACTTTACGGTGGACAAGTCGCGGTTTCCCACGCTCAAGGATACCATTGCCGTCCTGCACAGGCGCGGCTTCAAGGTGGTCCTCACCATTCAGCCGTTCATCAGCACCGACAGCGCCAACTTCAAGGACGCCGTGCGTCGCAAGCTCCTCATCTACGAACGCCACTCGGAGCGCAGTATTCCGGCCCTCACCCGGTACAAGAGCAGCTCCAGTGCCGGTGTCCTGGACATCACCAACAATGACTCGGTGCCGTGGTTGCTGGAGAAGCTGCAAGCCCTCCGCGCCGAGTACGGAGTGGAGCGATTCTACCTGGATCTGGGAACGGGCTATAATCTACCCCACTACTACCAGTGCCGGGAGACTCTGGACAATCCGGACACCTACGCCCGACTCTTCACCGCCAGCCTGGAGGGCGCCGGGCTGATAGCTGTGTCCACGGCCAGTGTGGTGCCCAAGCCACCCACTTTCCTCAGTACTCCGCCCGTGAACGCCACCTGGGAGGGCTTGAAGGAGACATTAGCCGCCGTTTTGAACTACGGTGTCATTGGGTATCCCTTCGTCCTGCCGGGAGTGATAGGTGGCGACTATTTGCTGCAGCGACCCATCTCCAAAATGGTGTCCTTCTACTCCCTGGGCCAGCCGCCATTGCCCGACCAGGAGCTCTTCATCCGCTGGCTCCAGCTGGCCACCTTCCTACCCGCCATGCAGTTTGGCCACCTGCCCTCCGAGTACCGCAGCGATCTGGTCACCCGGGTGGCCCAGGAACTGAAGGAGACCCGGGAGACCGTGGTGATTGATTTGCTGATGAAGTACCTCCATCCTTCGATGAACGAGGGTCTGCCGCTGGTGCGTCCCCTCTGGATGATGGATCCCCACGATCCCGCCTGTCTCATAGTCAGTGATGAGTTTTCCGTTGGCGAGGAGCTAATAGTGGCTCCCATCTTGGAACCAGGCCGAGAGACGAGAGAGGGTAAGTTGGCATTTCTTAGCTAGAAAGAGTGTTAAGCTAATAGACCCTGTTGATTTTAGTGTACTTGCCCCAAGGGGTGTGGAAGGATGGTATTGACAATTCCCTGCGGAAGGGAAGTCGCTGGATGCACGGCTATCGAGTGCCCAAGGATAAGGTGGCCTTCTTCCGCAAAATGCCGGACAATACGAGGTTCTAGACCAACCAAAAATAGAACTAGCGCACATATATCATTCCTAGGCCAAGCCATGTGATCTAATCCAGCTCGAAGGACCAATAGCCGGCTCGAAGGACCAATCAACTTCAATGAAATAATTTTATTGGAAGTCTGGCTCGAAGGAGCAAAAGTCATTAAAGAAATACTTTACTTAAAAGCCGACTCGAAGGACCATTAGTCCTCTAAAAAATACTTGATTTGGATCCTGACTCCTCGACACAATTCATTCCAAAACATATATCCAAAGAACACATCGTGTTGTATCTGTAACTTGTATTGAGTAAATCCTAAAAACTAAACATAAAAATCTATAAATATATATATCTATATAAATATCGTTAAGCCCGCAATCGTAATACATAGTTCTACAAATCTAGATTAATTAATTAACCTTATCTTCTATGTAATTTCTTTTTCGTTTTTTTTTTGCTTTTTTTTTTTTAATATTTTTAAGTACATCTGGGATGATCGACATTCGAAATTCTTAAAAGCTGAATAAATATGCTCCATTAAATGAAATAAATATATGGATATATGTGGGGTAGTTCTATGCTAGTCCTTAGTTCGGCACTCCGGTAATGTCGCTTCGCAGGGTTCCATTTCCGGTGGTTTGGTCAGAAGATTACATTCCGTGTCCGCCACCACCACGTCGTGCTGATCCAGACACACCACGGATCGACGGCGTTGGGGCAGGGCGCCGGCGCTTGGACGGCAGGTGACGGGACAGAATTGCCAGGGTCCTGGCCACCAGTGAGCCGGACAGGGCTGATCCGAGCAGCTCCTGGTCTGACGGAGAGGTCTCTTGTTCTTGGCGTGCGTCCAACACGGCAGGGTATCACCCAGAACTGAAAAATATACATAATCAAGGTTAGAATTCTTAAGAATGTGAGGGGATGAAGTCCTCACCTTTGCCATTCTCCTGGCAGACTGGCTCCCGGTGCTGGACTCCGCCTCCGCAGGTGGAGGAGCAGGCAGTCCAGTTGCTGAGGCGCCACACGAACTGCCTGCCGGCGGAGACATTGAGGGCGGGCAGGGTGAACTCGTAAAAGATGCCGGAGTTGCTCTCATTGCCACGTACAATGGCCTGCAGGATAAACAAGGACTATAAGATACCCCATACTTTGGAAGAATATTGCCAGATAGGATCTTACATATAACGTTATGGAATGCTGGATGGGCTGAGGTATCGTGATGGTCTCCTTCTCATCGACCCGGTCGTACAGGCTCTCCGCTCCGGCGATCTCAAACTCCCCGGGCATCGATATAAGACTATCCCCATTGAGATAGAATCGATCTGAGTCCTGACCATTCTGGCCCACCCGACCCACGGCCAGGAAGTGCGGCGAGTTGGCCTCCTCCCGGATGAGAATGTGCCGGGCCCTGGGCGGTATCGTGACTATCTCGACGTAGGCACCGTCCCGGACGGCGAAGGCCGGAAAGGGCTCCGTGTAGACATCCCTCACCGGCTGGCACTGATCGCCAGAACCGCCACAGACACCGCAACGATCGTCCTGCATCTCCGAGTCGACGATCCAATCGCAACCAACTTTCTGAACAAAAGGCAGATCGGTTTAGGATCAGGAACATGACAATATGGATCCAGGATCCAGCACCCAGGACCTTACCTTGCAGATGCCGTCGATGCACATGTTGTTGGTGCCCAAAGTGCAGGGAGTTCCATCCAGTACTGTGGCGCCCCAGTTGGCGATGATGGTGTCGTCCACGTCAGTGCAAAACAGGCGACACGGATTATCTGGTATGGTAAAAATATATATGTATATAAGGGTCACTTATTGGAAAATATATCAAAGGCTTATAGCTATTTTCTAAGCAGTTCTTGGTTAGATCCCAGAGCGATATCTATATCTGATCCAATTATAATCCCATTCTTAATCGGAATATCTTAAAAGATTTGTGTATCGATTCTGCGTCGATCTGCATTCAAATCTGTCTATAAATTCCCCGTTTTATATTTTTCTAAATTTTATAAAGGAACCCATTACAAATTTCAGCATATTTACTTATGACTCTAAGCGATGTCTATATCTTTTCCATTTCTTATCCGATTCTTGCTCGTAATACCTTAAAAGATTGTTATTTCAATTCTCCAACAATCTGCATTAAATAACTCTCTTAAAATTTTTATTTCCTATTTTTAAAAATTTTTATACTGAAACCCTCTTTAAAATCCAGTATATTAACTTCTCCCTCTAAGCCCCACCAATATCGTTTAAAATAAACATCCCATTCCATCAAGCAATACCCTTCAATATCAATTCCCCACCAATCACAGAACCCGGATAAGAACCGGATATCATAAAATAAAAAAAAAGGTCCAAGATGTTTACTTACTTTTATCGAAGAAGGGCAACCACTTATAGGTGGCACCCTGGTAGCTAACATTATCGAATTTGGCGCACTGCTGAGCCCGGAAACTGGGCTCGTACTCCGGACACGGACGCTTCCGGCACACCTTGTACCGTTTCCGTTCGCCGATGCAGAAGACACCACCGTTGGCAGGTACCGGGGAGTCGCACTCCCGCTGCTGGGTGGAGACGCCGCCGCCACAGCTTCGAGAGCAGTCGCTCCACTCACTCCAATTGCCCCAGCCCCCGTTGACGGCGGCCAGCTCCTCCCGGCGGACGCACTTGCCGTTCTGACACCACTTGTTCCGGCCGCAGGCGGTGCCCGGGGCGGTGGGTCGCATGTGGGTGACGCACTCCCCGTTGACGCGACACCACAGCGTCGAGCAGAACTCGTGGGGGGCGGAGCAGGAGCCCACCTCGCTGTCGTTCGTCAGATTGAACTGGAGCCGGCACTGGCCCCGGGCATTGTACCTGGCTCCGGGCAGCTCGTCCGGATAGTTGTACTCATCCAGCGGCGTGGGCGGATCATCCAGGCACTCGCCCAGTCCCTGGCTGGAAATGTAATCACAGGATGGAAAGGTTTTCTTTAGAGGTCTAGTGTTACAATAGTTACTGACTCCAGGAAGTGGGTGATGTACTTCCGGCTGCAGTTCGACCAGCAAACCTGCAGGGTGTCCGCTCCGAAGGTGGGGGTCATGATGTGGACAATGGGACCCACCCGGGGATGGCAGCCAATCTTGGCAGTGTCGTGGAACATGCCGAAGCTAAAAATAAATTGGAAGAAAAATATTTCAAAATTAGATTAAAATTATGAATATTTATTAAATATATCTATCATTTATTGAAGAGTTTTGAAAAATCTATACCTAGTTTTTAAAAACAAAACATTTCTTAGAAAGATGTTTTTGAAAAATCTGTAGTTTAACCTATTTTATAATAGAATCTTATATACATATATCTTATATAAAAATTCGTATGAAAACCATATGATATGAGGTTCGAAACCGACACTACAAAGTTGCATTTTTCTGTCAAGAAAAAGCTAAGAAATTAAAAACCTGATTATTATAATAGTAATTCGTAAAATAATAACCAATGCAGAGCAAATGGCTTCTGGCCTAAACAAGCGTGTTTATATCCGATTAAAAAGACATTAACTCGTACAAAAAAAAAACAAAGAAAAATTAAAAAATTAAAAATCAAATCGTGACACTGTCCGGACCACCTGTTGCTCCCGCCCAGGGTGAGATGGCTGGAGATTCCGGCCGGTCGACTTACACAATTAATACAAGTACCCACCGGAGTCGAAAGGGGGCGGACCAGGACACAGAAAGAAAATTATAATACGCTATTTTTTAAAAACAGATTTTCTTAAAAAAAAAATTCTTCAAAAATTAGCCTTTTATATATACGTTTTAGTATATGTATATTTATTTGGTTTTCTTACAAAATTTCTCTCAGTGCATCACTGACTGACTGAGCCAATTTCGTAGCGATCACGCTAGACTAGCTGACGGCCACTTGGCTGAGTTTGCAAAAAAAAAAATAATAAAAAATTTAAAAAAAAACACTTAAAAAGTGAGAAAAAAATAAACAACGACCCACAGTCAGTCAATTGGAAACTTGGTTCCGATCTGAACCAATCCCCAGCCACTGGACCCCCCCGGATTCCCCGGACCCGAGGCGATAAGCCAGCCAAACCGGACCCGGACAACATCGACTACGTTGGCTATACATGGGTGTAAGCTTTCATTCAATTTCAATTTAATTCAATTCAATTTCAATATGATTCCACTTGACGGAAGTCACTATGAATCACTAAGTACTTTTCAGAAGTACCTGAGAGGTTTTCGGATCATTTTTTAAGGGGTATTTTTTATAAATATATTTTTTATACTTCAATTTCTAACTAAAAGGTTAATTCTTTACAGAAATGTTAGAAAATTTCAATATAAATAGTGACTTGTTCAGTTATTTTTCTTAAAATTTCAAATATTTTTATAAAATTATTTAAAAAAACAAGTTTTTAAACAATATTTTGATAGAGAATCTTAAATTATAAGATCATAATGCTACAAAATATCTAAGTATCTTTAAATAATACCTCTATAAAATTTATTAAAATATTTTTATTTGAAAATAAAGTGACTTTGTCACTTGGTCATCTCTAATGGAGCTCGACTAATTGAGTTTGAATCGTAGCAGGAAGCCGGGGCATCAAGAGGTGACACCGGAGGCGGGTTTGGACTCAGTCTGAGTCCGAATCGGAGTCTGATTTTGTGACTGAAACGGGGTGCCAGTGGGCGTGCAACGCAGGCGATCATTGTCACAACAAAAAGGCAGCATTCAAGAAATAAAAAAAAAGGCAGACACAACACGCAGGTGTCGTAGCATCCGTCGCGTCGCGTCCACTTAGGTGTTTGAATAAAAAATTATACAACAAATTGTATAGCTTATATAGTATTAGTAGTAGCTATTGATTCATTCATTAAACTGAATTGGGCCGGTCATAAATCTTGACAGGTTTCGGTTATCAGGCAGGCAGGCAGGGGGCTGCTGGGTATGGGGATGCAGCATGTGTAGTGGCAAGTGGCATGTGGCATGCGTTGGCCGCTGACTGTTGGCCAATGTCTGGCGCCGCAGGTGGTAATGCAAATTGTTGCCGGCTACCTGTCTGCCACCGCCACCGCTTAACTGGACACCCATGCTTGCCCCAAACACTGACACTTAAATGTGGAAAATAATTTCCTTAAAATTTGACAGAAAAAATATAGTTTTTGTTTTATAAATTAAATGAATCGAAAGGGAAATTAAAACATTCATTAATGTTTAAGTTAATTAATTTGTATTCAGAATATTCAGGCTTGGTAAAGTTTAAGGTTAAAATGGTTCAAAAACGTTTAATATTCGAGGATAACAGAACTGTTTGAAAGCTTTATTTATAAGAAATATTTAAGACTAAAACTATACTTATTTATGGAGTGAAAAATAAATTTTAAAAATCTTTTAAATCTTAAAATTTAACTTTAATCTTCAAAAAACCTAATAAAAGACTTACTTATGACCCAGCTCGTGAGTGATCGTGTGGGAAAGCATTATGCCATTATCCTCATTAACGCTGCAGGATTGCTTGGGCTTGCACATCCCACCCACATTGGCCAAGCCCAGGGTCCTGGAAAAAATCACCAAAATATATATCTAGATTCCAGATAAAACCATATATAATATTATTAAAACTCACATGCAGTTGTTGGCACAAATATTTTTACGTGTAATTAGAATGGCCACATCGTGATGATGGGGATCCTTTTCACTGATTTTGTTTAATTTGTGCTGCCAGCTAGAGTTTAAAACAAAATAAAATAATTAATATATATTTTAAAATACAAAATATTAAAAAAATTTTAAGTAAAGAACCTGCAGAATCGATCCAGATTCTTCTGAGCATTCTGACTGAGATTTAGCTGCTGCTGGGACTCGTCTTCGTCCAGCTGGATGATTCGGACCACCACGATCTCAATGGAGTTGCCGATGCTGGGGTCCTTGTAGAGGGCCGACACCATGTTCATGATGGTGAGCAGATAGCCGTTGAGGTCCTTGTGGAAGGCCGACATTGTGGCATCAGCCACGATCAGGGTCTCTACGTGCCGGGGACTGCTGATGGAGCGCCGTCGTCGGGGCGTCTGCTCCGCCGGTGGCGTCTCCTGGAATTGCGTCTCGTACTTGAATTTGGTGTGCGGCGGCCGGTGGTGACGCTGCCGGCGAGGATGCTGGCGAGGATGCGGCCGATGGTGGTGGTGATGATTCCTACGTATCTGCCGTCCGCCCTGGATCTTCACCTTGCCCCGGGCCTGCCATTCCAGGCGGGTCTCCATCCGTCGGCGGGGCTCCCTCGTCCCGCAGTTACTGATCCCCGATGGGGAGGAAGATGAGCCTCCTCCGGCCGCTCCTCCTCTCTTCCGATTGTGCCGCTTTCTGGACTAGAATGTTAAATTATAATCCTTAGTTTCAAAAGTCATAGAAGGTGTATATATTTTGAGTTACCTTTGGCCTCACGGAGGCCCTCTGGAAGACCACATGTGGATGACCATTTTCGGCATCCGGTTCGTGGTGCTTGGACGGTTCTATGAAGTACTCGTTGCTGGCCGTCCGTATGTGACCCACCAGTCCGGAGCACGTGGAGATGGCCACGTTGGTGTTGGCCTCCTGACCTCTGACCTTGCCCTGGAAGTGGCAGTTCAGATGACGGGCCGTCAGGGGCGATCTGGTGCGAAGATCCCGCCGGTGTCGCTCCACAACTAGATGCGGTGCCAGGAAGTAGTTATGCGGTCTACGAGGAGAAAGATCTTGAGATGAATCCTTAGGGCTTCAGGTCTTACTTACACCAGCTCCAGGTGCAACGTTTCATTGGCCAGCGGCAGTTGCAAGTGCAGTTCTGCCGGCTCCAGATCCTGATTCGAGAGACTACGTCGCTGGCGATGACGACGATGATCCCGCTCATGGGTGTAGACCAGGTCGTGGGTCATGAAGAGGCCATTGGAGTGTACGCGTCGCGGCACCACCAGCTGCCCCTCGCCAGGCATCAGTTCTCCGGAATGAAGTCCGTGTAGAGGGCCCGGACTCGGACCCGTTGCCCCCGATCCCGGGGCCAGCCACAGGAGTAGGAGCAGGGGTAGGAGGAGGACCTGTCGGACGGGGCAGTGATCCTGTGACATCCTGTTGCTCAAATCCATGTCTCCTGATCCGCAGCCCTAGCCGTTGTCCAGCCGAGTTCTCAGCAGCATGGCAGCGATTGCATTCTACGCCGCGAGGATCGTGAAGGACTCAAAGGATTTAACTGAAAAGATGCAATAAATTAGTATTAATTTTTATCCAAAACTATTAGATATCCATCTTGTAATCATATTTGATTAGAAATCAATCAAAAGGGCCTGAATACTTTTGCGGTTTGGCTATTTTTATTGATTTTAGACTCGAGACCCTCTATGCGGTTTCTGTCTGGCGCCAGATCTTAGCCAGGTTAGGAAAACCTACCCACCAGAGGAGGAGGGGCGGCTAGGCTTAACCCATAACCAGCCAGACTATGCTAAGTATATGCCATCAACAGAAATGGATATCTTTGCCGGATAATAAATAAAAGGTGATTTGCTTTTGGCCAACACTTTCGAGTTGTGGGGGCACTAGAGTAGCCAAAAATGGCTAAAAACAAGAAAGGAAAGCTAACTTCGGGCGGAGCCGAAGTTTATATACCCTTGCAGTTAAAACCGGATATATATCGCAAACATCGGATATAGTTGGCCGATCCTTATGGGAATAGGAATATATAATCCAATTTATTACAATACAAAATCTAAAAAAAGTCCCAAACTTCTATCTTCAAAAATACGAAAGTTGATATTTCTACCAAATACCATTTCCGATCGTTCAGTTATATGGCAGCTATGGGATATAGTCGGCCGATCCTAATGAAATTTGGTAGGTTGGATCAACTGACCAAGAATTAAATCTGTACTAAGTTCCAGCTTTCTATCTTCAAAAACACGAAAGTTGGGTCATTTCCGATCGTTCAGTTATATGGCAGCTATAGGATATAGTCGGCCGATCCTTATGAAATTTGGCATGACGTAATGTTTTGCCAAAAATACAAAAATAAAAAAAAAATGTTTTGCTCACATGTCAAATTTGAACTCTCTAACTCTAAAAACACCAAAGTTATACCATTTCCGATCAATCAGTTATATGGCAGCTATAGGATATAGTCGGCCGATCCGGGCCGTTCCGACTTATATACTGCGTGCAAAGGAAAGAAGGGTGTGTGCAAAGTTTCAAGACGATAGCTTTAAAACTGAGAGACTAGTTCGCGTAGAAACAGACAGACGGACAGACAGACGGACAGACGGACAGACGGACAGACGGACATGCTCATATCAACTCAGGAGGTGATCCTGATCAAGAATATATATACTTTATAGGGTCGGAGATGTCTCCTTCACTGCGTTGCACACTTTTGACCAAAATTATAATACCCTCTGCAAGGGTATAAAAATCGAATCGAAAATCTTTAGACAAGACACGGGCCATAAAATTAAACAAATTTTATTTGCCTTTAGTTTTTAGTTGTTAGTGTTTAGTGTTTAGTTGTTTTTTTTTTTTTAAGCGGCGCTTCAAAGCAACAAGAACAACATCTCAGTCTGAGCCAAGTTCGAGCCAAGTCCGAGTCATTATCAAAGCAACACGACAACTTAATTATTCAATAGATTGACGCAGTCAACGGGGCTCTTATCACGATCACGATTTGTAATTTATGATAAATGTTGGCAATTCCATTAATAAAATTAAACAAAAGCTCATTAGCTTCAGAGCCGATTTGCAATCGAAACAAAAGCAAGAAACTAAATCAAAATTATCAGAATTTAAACTAGACTTCCCCCAAAAAAAATACGATCTGTAGAGTCGTATACTCTTAGTTTTGGAAAGATTTTATTAATTTATATTGAGTTCTATCTTTTAAGATTTTTTAAATAATTTTGTAAAGCTTTTTGATGCACTTTTTTTTTGGGAAAGACCTACTCAAAAGTTTGACGTCATTTTGTATAAAAAATTAACACTTTTTTTGAGACTGCGTCAGTAAAAAATACATCAAATCAATAAGAAAGTAATAACAAATATATAAATAAGGTATTAAATCTAGGAGAAATTTGTTGGATTCATTTAAGTATTTTTATTGACTTGATAATGTTTTAAATAAATATTTTAAATAGTCTTTGGAGAGGGATGTCTTTGGAGAGAGAATGAACATTAATTATTTTCATTCTTATAACTTTGTGTTAAAAAAATATTTGAATTAATGATTCAAGATTTTTTAATAAACACCTTTACAAGTACTCCTCTTAAGTCAATATAAAATATATTTAAATATATTAAAACATAATAAAGACCCTGTTTAATAACATTTATATTCGAATGTCATGGAAGATCTCTTTTCCTTAAAACAATAGTATAATACAAAAATTATTTAAATTACTTTTATACATATATTTATGAAACTTATGGAATATATTAAAATCCTGCTCTCCTAGTCCTCCTCCTATTAAAGTAACAACTCCTTTTATATAAAAGATCTTTAAAGAACAATCTAGTTTCTTACAATATTCAAATATTCCCAAAATATACAATTAATAAAATATTCCCTAGGGTATATAAAAGTCAAATGTACCCCTTTTAAACGGGCAGAGCATCTGCCTGGCGCCAATGACCTTGATGTGGAGATGTGGCGCCTGCGGCACAGGTGCCGTTCTTAATTCCGAATTCAATGCGAACTCATCATGGCCATATAATGATGGCCATAAAATATGCGCTTAAATATTGGATATACCCCGAAAATTCCCACTCGCCGGCAATTCCTGTTTGTCTCTCTTTTTATTCTTTCTTCTAAAGATATATTATATTTAGACTTATTCTGTGAATCTAAAGTCGGCGAAACTTGAAAGAGTTCCCATCTAAATTAGCAAGCGCCACATGATTGTATATTAAAATGTATGTGCCATTGTCCGTCTGTCCGTCTGTCCGCCTGTCCGTTTTGTATTTTTTTTTCCTTCATTATGCTGCTGAAATGACAGAGAATGGCGACCGGCAGTAGGCGCCACTTTTAATTATCAATCAATCAATCACTGCCGCCCGACGGCTCCCTCCATTAAATGTCAGCCAATTGATTGCAAAGCCCCGAAGACTGGGACGCCAGTCGAGGCGTCCTCTCCGCTGTCCACCCATGGCTGGGCCCCCCTCCCCCCTTATTGCCTCCCTCTTTGGTGAATGATCAATGATCGTTGGGGTATTGTGGGCTCGGCTGGCTTGGAGCTCCAGGACTAGCAAGAGCTCTGCCATGAGGATGTCATCAATCAACGAAACCTTGGCATTGCCATTCAAGACTAATTTTAAGTTTTAATTTTAAGAATAAAAAACCTCTTAGAATAATAACAAGGCCCTTATAGTATAATTTGATATTCCAAGAACTGAAATGATCTCATTCATGTATTCCATTCAGAAATTTCACTTGAATTGAATTTCAATTTCCTTCGATTGGGGAAGTACCTCAATCAAAAAAAGTAAACCTACGTCATACGTTGGCGTTTGATTTTTTTTTTGTTTATTAATTTTTTATGAAGCTTTTTTAGGCAATTTTCAGACATTTATCAGAAGATTTGTCACCTCTGATTTTGGTCAAGCGATCCATCGATCATCGCCTTTCGGCCAAGTGACGCATATTTATGTTAATGAAAGGCCATATCAAGATCGGATATATACACCTCCACCTCCTTAGCCGTCTCTCCTTATAGCTATAGCTATGGTCACATCCATACATACATCTAAAATCCAAAGACCCTCTGGCTCTGGCTCTGGCGAATTTCCGATTTCACTTTGTGCCTCCAGCTAGTACTCCGAAAAGGCGAAGCAATTTGTACGCCCACCGATTTGCCAGACCCCAAGACTTTTCAGACCAGACTGGGCCAAAGACCGGACCAAAATGGATCTCCGAGCTGGAGAATCGAGGCGTTGGGGATCTGGACGGGGGCTCTTCGGTATCCACATCCACATAGGCATTGGCGGAGCCGGTGGAGCTGGAGCTGGAAGCTTGGAGCTGGATTCTCCATTCATGTGTTTCTGCCATTCATGCGTCGTTGTGGATTCATTGAGAAACGCACAGGCCCACTCCATACACACATTTCGTTTTTCTATACACTTTCTTGGGAGGGGTATAACATTTTTATAGCAGAACTTATATAAGATTTTATTTTTTGTACAAAATTAGTGTTGTTCATAGTTTTTCAAGAGGGATTCTATATTTTCTATATTTTGGTATTATAATTAATAATACAATACTATAATTAAAAAATGTATTTCAGATTTGAAACATTCAAAATGTGCTTTATATTGAAAATATTAAAGTTTCAGTTAAATATGAATATAAATCCCTCTATAGAGATCTATTTTGGAGATGAAGATCTATTAAGGTATAGGCTTTTTAAGGAATTAGGTTTTTCATAAACCTAAAAACTGTTTTTATGATTAGGATGTAAAATTGGAAGTAGGAGGAAGTAGTACTTTTCAGAATAGTTCGAAACTTTTTGAAAATTCTTATAAAATACCTAAAAAAGGGTATTTCAAAACTCCTCTTGCTTTTTTCAGCCTTTTTCGTTTATGAGGTTTTTTTTATGAATGAAATGAAACTTTTCACGTAAAACGACGATTCCATATTGCTCGCTTCGGCTACGGTTGGGTTGGGTTTGCCCCCCCAAAGACCCCCTAATGCCCCTTGGGCCCCCAGACCCCTTCCATTTCCCATAGGCAGTGTGTGCTTGTGTTTTTTTTTTTTCTCCCATCTCGGGGCATACTATTTGAATCTCAAGTCTCGGATCTCGGATCTTTGGGCTTCGCTGGCGCGTTCGTTGGCATGTGGGCCGAAAATGTATTTTTATGGCAACGTCGTTCGATTTATTATTTAATTTTTTTGTTGTTTTGTCTTTTTGTTTGTGTTATTATTACCAAGTAGTAATGCTTGTGTGCTTTGTATTTTTTTTTTATATTTTGCACAGCATTTCTTGGGGATGATGTGCTGGTGCAGTTTTATGGACCGTCAATGGATCGAATTGGCCAACTGGTTCGGGCCAAAAAAAAAACAACTAAAAACTTGAAAAAAAAAAATTGTTTAATTTTTAGTTTATTTGTCACCAGAAAACACGATTACATTGTTGCTATTTATTTTTTTTTTTTGGGGTGACCATACATGACTTGCTGTTTTTTGTTTTTTACCGTTTTTGGGAGTAATTTTTTGTATATTTTTGGCCAGACAGTGAGATAAATTTTTTATTTATTTTTGTTTTTTTTGCCATGCTGAGATCACACAGGAAATTAGCTGGAAGTGTGTGTGCAAAGAAACAGCAGAGGAAGTGGGAATAGCGAAACCCGAAAAGTCATAGATCGCTGGCCCGTGATAAGATACAGATAGAAGATACCAGATACAAAATATCAGATACTATTAAGATACTAGATACCAGATACAAATGGATCTGGTCGAGTTCGACCTTGTTGTTTCCGATTTTTATTAATTTTCTCTTTCTATTTGTTAGGATTTGTCATTAGTTGTTTCCTAGATATGATTGTGGTATTTACTTAATTAGCTAAAATAATGAAAATACAATAAAAATTGATTTAAAATTTAGTAGATTTTGGGAAGCTTTTTTAAGAAGATTGTAGCTAGTGTAGGTACATACATATGCATGCATATTTTCTTATAGGATTCAGTCTTCTAAGCCCTAGTCCCTCAAAATCTTTACTTTTTGTGTGTTTTTTGTGTATATTCTTAAATAAATTTTCTTATTAAATAACCTATATTTCTGAACTAGATGTACTATATTTTTAGATATTTCTATAATTTAAAAAAAAAGCAAAGAAACCTATTGAAATCCAAGCTAATAAGCTTCAATAGGATGTTAATAGGTCTCTTTGGTTTATCTTTTGAAACCCTTGAGAAGTTTCAGAAAAATGTTGCCATATTTCTAATTTTTTTTACATTCTAATAGAAAGTTTTGGTTTTACAAAAGTTTAGGATAAACTGCCAAACCAAAAATCTTATCAAAAATAGCCATAAGCATACCGAGTTCGATTCCGATTCTGATTCCGTTTAGTTTCCGAATAAGATGCCAAAATCGAGTTCGAATCCAATTTCGAAAAACTGATCGTCGGATGAAGCCCGCAAATATTTTAAAACCGCAAACAAAAGCCGACGGTGGCAGCAAAAAAAAATAAATAAAAATAAAAACAAAGAAAGAGATGGCGTCAAGCCGGCGATGGTGTGTTTTTCGTTGTTTTTGATTGTGGGTTTTTTTTGTTGCTTATTTTTTATTTTATTTGTGTGTGCGTTTTTTTTTTTAATTTAGCTTGGCTTTAGGGGCGGTGATTATAACGCCAGGTAGGAGAACACCGGCGGCTTTCGGTTTCCGCTGCCAGAAGATTTCACAAGACGCGCGAATACATAAAGTACGAAACCAACAAAAAAAATAAAAATACATAAAAAACAATCAAATAAAAAATGATTTGTCCCGGGCACTGGCACTCGCAAAAAAAAACCAAATACGAGACACGAGATTACGATTTTTCGATTCAACTCCGATCTTCCATTTAATCACACACTCACAGCTATACACATTGTATTTATTTTGTTATTCAATTATTTAACATTAACAAAATAAGTTTGTTTTTTAAGCGAAGACACCGCACGGTCTATTTTGTTCGAAAAAACGCGATATCTTCGACTTTTCATCCGATTCGGTGGCATGCGTTGTGCGCGCTGCGAGTTTGCTTTTCAAATTGAAAGTTCGGTTGAACGCGACAGCGTTTTCAACATGTTGCAGCTCTTGGTTTGACGAGCGCCAGTGTTGAGCAACTTCGAACAGAAATTCCATTTTTTTAAGTTTTCCAACAAAAAGCTGCAGAAAGTCGCGCGTTTATTTAGTTATATTAATTAAATGAATAACTAAATATAATAACTTCATATTAAACTATAATAACTTCATTTAAATAATATAAATAATTTGAATAAAAAAAAAAAAAACAACAAAATTAATTAAATTCTTCCTCTGAATATATTGGGGATGGGTGATGGAGGTGGGGAAGGAAGGAGGAGGATTTCTGGTGACCTGCCACCACATCCACAATTCCTTCATGGTGGAGCCCGGGACATATTTTTTACTAACCACATCCATACACTTTTTAAATTTTAGGTGCGTTTTAGCATTAGCAGTGATCTTCAAATCAAAACTCACTGTTTATTTGGCCAAAACATTGTAAGCTTGTGTGGGCCAGGTTCGTTATCGAACCTTTAAGATTAGAGCCTTGAAGACGCTGATTTTTACCCAATAAGAGGCTTAGAGATGTACTGAAGAAGACTTTCTAAAGTACTATTTACTGAAAAATAAAAAACCAAAAAATTGTAGCAGTATTGTAGTAGCCTGTCTGTCGATTTTTTTTTTTGTTGCCATGCGTGTTTGCTGTATAATTATAATCGTATCATGCACATCTTCTTTATGGCGACGATCAGCAGAAATTGCTGCCTTATCTCTCGGCTCTTCCAGAAACGGCTCAAAAAAAAAGAGGAAATATTGGGTGGAGGAGGGGCTATAAGGCCGGCGTATCCCGCCAAGGACACTCCGTTAAATGCGGCCCTGCAGCTAAAAAAAAAAAATAATAAGAAACTAAAAATAAAAACAAAAGGGGAGTAAATTGTTTAAAATTATCACATACTAAAGCTGCCGGAGGAACAGGAGTGGTCTGCTGCTCTTCTTTCTCCACAGTTCTTCATCCTCTTTGGTTTTTTTCTGATGTTCTTCTACACCGAAAAACATTATTTGGCTAAACAGCATCTGTAAAATATATATTCTTTCTCTCTCTCTCTCTCTCTCTAAAAGAGATTGTATCTTTTTATCTCTAAGATGTATCTGTTTTTTTTAAGTGCATCCTCTTTGTCGATCCTCCACCGAAGCAAATCACATTATTAGCCGCCGTCGCTGTCCGCCGAGTGTCCGTCTGTCCGGCGTAGTTGCACGTTATTTTTAAAATTTTGTTCGTTCGGCCCCCGTTTGATTTTAGGCGCCAAGCGATGTCGCCGGCGTTTGGCTGCAAATTGTGGCGACACGTCTGGAGCGTGGCAGCAGCAACAGCAACAACAGCAATAGCAGCACAGATACAGATACAACTTCTTACAATTCAGATACAAGATACAAGCAAGCAGATAAGGCGCCAAAAGAGCGCTAGTGTCAGAGGGAGATGGAGCTAATGATCTGTGAGAGGGAGCTGTTGTGTCGGAAGATACAAGATAAGGGAGACGGGCCAACAGACGCCACCAACGCCAGACTGCCGGCTAGAAAACAAAAAAAAAATACAAAAAAAACCGGGCAGCATCGGCTCTGCCGGCGCTTCAGTCGCTGCGATGCCGGCAGATATCAAGCACGTCTCAATCTCAATCATTCAGGGTCTGGTCTCGGGGTCTGGAAAGCCACTGCCGCTCAATTAACAATGAAAAGTCGGTCTGGTACGTCATAATATATTTTTATCTGATTACCTGGCTGCGGTGAGCGCTAGAGATGGACTTGGCGGCGTGTCACGCCAGCATCACTTGGGAATTAAGATAAATTATAAAATAATTTTTAAACAATAGGATGTATAAACTTTCTCCTTGAAATTTTGTAGATTTATATTTCAAGTTTTTTAAAAACAATAATCTAATAATAAATTCTTATTGATTTATTTTCAACTCCCTTTTTTTAGACACAACTTTTTTACTGTGTACCTCGTGACACGAGGCCACCTTCAGGCATTTACAAGGCAAGCAGTGGCGCCGATCGTCAGGGACGCCAAATGGATGGCCCGGTCGGGTCCCACAGCACCGCAGAATCGTGCCTTAGCTCCGTCCCGACTCACAAACACAACTGCCCGCTCAGCTCCAGATACACAGATACAGATACAGATGCAGATGCAGATTGTATGTCGGCTTTGGCGCTGACTCTGGGACTGGAATAACATCATTGCCGGTCCGTCTGTCATCCGTGTTGTTTGCATTGTTTTTTGTTTGTTGCTTCCTCCGGCCCGCCACTAGTGCTCAGATTCTGTGGCGTATGTAATTTTTCGCGTGACTCCCATGTCAAGATTTGATCTTCAGCAGATCTCACTCGTGGCGTCTACGTCTGCGCCTGCGTCTGCGCCGACGTCAACGTGGCGCGGGGCGGCGCAACGCTGGCGTCAGTCGCCAGTCTCATCAATCGCGGACCCGGGATCGCGGAAAAAGGTCAAAATTGTGAAATGTTGGCACAACAACAACCATATTTGCATAAATATTAAGTGGAGGAATATTTCATGAACATGAATACCCCACAATTTCGTGGGGTACCCTTTATAAAAACCTAAAAAAATTTTTAAAATCCTATTTAAGGAACGGTTTTTAAACTTTTCGAATTTTTCCCAAGGGACTTACCCCAACAATATTGTGGGTTTTCCCTATTTCCGATCAGGAATAAAGTACCATTTAGTAATCAGGGAACCCAAAAGCGACTTTCCTTATTCAAAACATTGCTTAAATATCGTTTTTAAATTTTTCGAATTTTTTGCAAGGGGTTCCCCTACAATATTGTGGGTTTTCCCAATTTCCACACTTTTGCTCCTTCCGATGGCCATAGCTCTGGCAATTTGTATCCGATCAGGAAATAAAGTACCATTTAGTAATCAGGGAACCCAAAAGCGACTTTCCTCATTCAAAACATTGCTTAAATATCGTTTTTAAATTTTATGAATTTTTTGCAAGGGGTTCCCCTACAATATTGTGGGTTTTCCCAATTTCCACACTTTTGGTCCTTCCGACGGTCATTTCTCTGGCAATTTGTATCCGATCAGGAAATAAAGTACCATTTAGTAATCAGGGAACCCAAAAGCGACTTTCCTCATTCAAAACATTGCTTAAATATCGTTTTTAAATTTTCCGAATTTTTTGCAAGGGGTTCCCCTACAATATTGTGGGTTTTCCCAATTTCCACACTTTTGCTCCTTCCGATGGCCATAGCTCTGGCAATTTGTATCCGATCAGGAAATAAAGTACCATTTAGTAATCAGGGAACCCAAAAGCGAATTTCCTCATTCAAAACATTGCTTAAATATCGTTTTTGAATTTTCCGAATTTTTTGCAAGGGGTTCCCCTTCAATATTGTGGGTTTTCCCAATTTCCACACTTTTGGTCCTTCCGATGGCCATAGCTCTGGCAATTTGTATCCGATCAGGAAATAAAGTACCATTTAGTGATCAGGGAACCCAAAAGCGACTTTCCTCATTCAAAACATTGCTTAAATATCGTTTTTAAATTTTACGAATTTTTGGCAAGGGGTTCCCCTACAATATTGTGGGTTTTCCCAATTTCCACACTTTTGCTCCTTCCGATGACCATAGCTCTGGCAATTTGTATCCGATCAGGAAATAAAGTACCATTTAGTAATCAGGGAACCCAAAAGCGACTTTCCTCATTCAAAACATTGCTTAAATATCGTTTTTACATTTTATGAATTTTTGGCAAGGGGTTCCCCTACAATATTGTGGGTTTTCCCAATTTCCACACTTTTGCTCCTTCCGATGGCCATAGCTCTGGCAATTTGTATCCGATCAGGAAATAAAGTACCATTTAGTAATCAGGGAACCCAAAAGCGAATTTCCTCATTCAAAACATTGCTTAAATATCGTTTTTGAATTTTCCGAATTTTTTGCAAGGGGTTCCCTACAATATTGTGGGTTTTCCCAATTTCCACACTTTTGGTCCTTCCGATGGCCATAGCTCTGGCAATTTGTATCCGATCAGGAAATAAAGTACCATTTAGTAATCAGGGAACCCAAAAGCGACTTTCCTCATTCAAAACATTGCTTAAATATCGTTTTTAAATTTTCCGAATTTTTTGCAAGGGGTTCCCCTACAATATTGTGGGTTTTCCCAATTTCCACACTTTTGCTCCTTCCGATGGCCATAGCTCTGGCAATTTGTATCCGATCAGGAAATAAAGTACCATTTAGTAATCAGGAAACCCAAAAGCGACTTTCCTCATTCAAAACATTGCTTAAATATCGTTTTTACATTTTATGAATTTTTTGCAAGGGGTTCCCCTACAATATTGTGGGTTTTCCCAATTTCCACACTTTTGCTCCTTCCGATGACCATAGCTCTGGCAATTTGTATTCGATCAGGAAATAAAGTACCATTTAGTAATCAGGGAACCCAAAAGCGACTTTCCTCATTCAAAACATTGCTTAAATATCGTTTTTAAATTTTCCGAATTTTTTGCAAGGGGTTCCCCTACAATATTGTGGGTTTTCCCAATTTCCACACTTTTGGTCCTTCCGATGGCCATAGCTCTGGCAATTTGTATCCGATCAGGAAATAAAGTACCATTTAGTAATCAGGGAACCCAAAAGCGAATTTCCTCATTCAAAACATTGCTTAAATATCGTTTTTGAATTTTCCGAATTTTTTGCAAGGGGTTCCCCTACAATATTGTGGGTTTTCCCAATTTCCACACTTTTGGTCCTTCCGATGGCCATAGCTCTGGCAATTTGTATCCGATCAGGAAATAAAGTACCATTTAGTAATCAGGGAACCCAAAAGCGACTTTCCTCATTCAAAACATTGCTTAAATATCGTTTTTAAATTTTCCGAATTTTTTGCAAGGGGTTCCCCTTCAATATTGTGGGTTTTCCCAATTTCCACACTTTTGGTCCTTCCGATGGCCATAGCTCTGGCAATTTGTATCCGATCAGGAAATAAAGTAC